TACTTATTAACTAAAATATGTATGTTACCCATCGTGGATGAGTATAGGCCGACCACAAGCATTTTCCAAACAACTCTGTCCTTGATAATCCTTTCCGGCTGTTTGCGGTTGATATTCATTCTTTTTATATCTGCTTAGAATTCCCGACGTAATGTGTTCGTTCTTATTCCTCTTCTCAGTTTCCATTCATGATTCCAAGTTAGTGAATACTTCGTGATGCAGTTTGATAGTGTCAACAATGTATCTCTTATCCACCTTCCAGAGTCTTTTCTTAATTTCCTCTTCAATTCGAAGCCAGTTTGTCCTCTCACACAGTGGGTTGTCGTTGATAGTATCAGGTCAATCAACATTGAGTATATTGTGTAGATAATCGTTTATAAATACTTGTACATCTTTGATGATGGTTTTGGTGGCTTTCCGAGTTTCAGCCCAGTAAACTAGAACTATCTTGTTTTGTCAACCCTCGCCTTTACGTCTGCATAGGATGCTTCTTGTTCATCAATTATGCTGCTGTCCAGATATTTGGAACATTCCACATCTCCCAGAGTTTCCTCATCAAGTGTGATTGGGTTGATGTTCTCCGTGTTGTATTTGAGGATCTTGGTTCTTGCCATATGTATGTTGAGGCTTAGTGATGCAGAGGCTGCTGCTACACTAGTTGTCATCACCTGCATTTCTTGGTGTGTGTGTGATAGTAGTGCTAGGTGATCTGCGAAGTCCAAATTGTCTAGCAACATCCAAGCTTTCGATCGTCTGATAACGGTTCTCACTTGGAATGTAACTGTCGTCTGTCTTCTATATATGACTTTTCAGCGTAGTCCGTCGTACAAATTGTTCATGATGTTGATGACGTTCTCAAGTACACCATAGTGTCGAAGAAAGTTCCATAAGGTTCACCCATCCACACTATCAAGGATGTGGATGTATAGTGACGAGTTCACTCGGTCGATTGTTCACCAATGATCTGTAGTGTCGTGATTTGATTGGTACAACTGATCCCACTCTTGATTTGTCTGATGACCGGCCATCCTGATTTCTTCGATTGTTGGTGGAATGACGTCTATAGGAAGATCTGAAAGTGTTGCTTTGATGTCCGGTTGACTCAATGGAGCTGACCTATTCGAGAGTTCTTCAAATTATTCTACCTAGATGTTTCTTTGATCTTGAATCTCAGTAATTGAATTACCTTCTTGATCATTCACTCCGGTTTACCATATTTCCTTGCCAGTTTCTTCATCGTGTCATATAGTTGTTTCTTATTTCATTCTCTTGAAGCTTTCCCGCTGTCATTCCTAAACCTTCTACATATTTCTGCTTGTCAGCTCTGATGCTCCCCCTCACTTGCTTGTTTGCTCCTATGTATTCAGCTTGTGCCTTGTCTTTCTTCGTTCTTGTTCGACTGTTGTTAATTGCTGTTTTCCTGTTCTCTCTTTTTCGAATCTTGTCCAGAGTCTCAATAGAGATCTATTCTTTATGATGATGCTTGTTGTGACCCGGAACCTCCTGACACGTTTAAGTTAGTGCTACTTTGATCCCTTTCTAGTTATTCTCCATAGTAGTTTCATATTCTTTGAAAAGATGTTGTAAGACGAGGAAAATGTTGTTGAGAGTTATCTTGAATTCGTTGAGTTTGTTAATATCTCGTGGGAAGGTTGTATTGGGCCTTTGTAATGCCGTTTCTTCAGCTGTCCAATCCTTCTTTAGCTTCACTTTCATCTTAGCCACAACTAAGTGGTGATCTGAAGCTATGTTAGCTTCTCCCTTGGTTCTCATGTGATTTAATATCCTTTTGAATTTTTACGGGAGCAGATATGATCTATCTGCTTCTATTTGTTTTGGTCCGGTGAGACTCATGTAGCTTGTGTATGTGTTTGTAAGGGAATATTATGCCAACCAACTCTGTCCTCGACAGTCCTTTCCAGGTATTCCCAAATGCTATCTATTCTTCCGACATATACCTTAATTTCCTTAAGTAATGTGTTCTTTAGTGTTTTTTTGGGCAATACAATGCCGTCTATAACAAATTTTTTTAAATGCAAATAGATTGGCCATTCTCGTTCCTTCCATGTTGTCTTCATACTCCATTCCGACTTTGGCGTTTAGGTCTCCATCAGGATGTTCAGGTCCTTTCCTGGACACTTCTCTGCGATCAGCTGAAGCATCTCGTGAAACTGGTCTTTAGTGTCATCATTGCTATCATTGGCAGGTGCATAGCACTGGATAAAATTCATTGTGATTCCCTCTTTCTTTGTTTTGAATGATGCTTTGGTGATTCCTAATCCAAGAAGTTCCTATCCTATAAGTGCATTTTGTGCTTCTTAGGAAAGTATAAGACCAACTCTTTGAGTGTGTGGGTCATTTTATTCTTCATGATCAGATTACACCAACATCTGTCCAGAATCTAATCTTTTCTGTTCAACTTGAGTCCAGTGGGTTTTACTGATTCCGAGAACCCCCAAGCTATATGTCCCCGAATCCATAGCTATTTAATTAGTCCTCCCGGTATCTCATTCTGTAAATCTTTCGGAATTTGAACATATAAATTAGAATCTTTTATTTGATGCACAATTGCATTTCCATGAGAGTCAATAACTTTTGAACAAACTTATTCTGTTGTAAACCATTCTTTCTGATTCCGACTATGAATGGCAGTTTATACATATATATAAGTTGAGTCTCAGGAGCATAATTACATTTATTTTCACATAAAATATCTAAAAATCAAGTATACAATTAGCTTGGGAGAGATTTCTTTCAAACTTATTGGAGCAACGGGTCCAGGGTATATCAAATAAATCAGTAAAAGGAAGAGAGTAAATATGCATTTGAATAAACATGTGTGATCGAGTAAGCACACGAGTTTATATGTAAGACACTGTTTATTAACTATGATCATTTACAACCAATAAGACAATAAATAAAGGTAAACGAATGAAATCCAAACATTTATACGTCAATAAGAATATAAACAACTGATCACTCTTTTGAGTAGGGAAACTTATTAAATGCGTTTTTTATCCATTCATAGGGTTAACATTAATTGCACGGCCATTTATTAAAATTTTGTCCGAGTGAACGTTTTTTCATCCCCATCTTCCAATAATTTTCATTCTATCAGTTTAGGGGTTGTGAAGATTGTTAAGTTTTTGATTGAAATCATGAGACAACTGTAGCTAGACCACCATGGGAAACCTGGAAGCACTGGACGGCCGTTTCGTCCTAGTATGGGACTCCTCAGCAGTGCGCATACGCGATCCCGCACCCCGTGAGATTCGAACCCAGAACCTATCAGTTCCGCGCCAGGCGCTTAACCAACTAGACTACTGAGCTGGCATACAATGGTGTTAATGTCTAACCTCAACCAATCCACTGCTGAGGAGTCCCATACTAGGATGAAACGGCCGTCTAGTGCTTCCAGGTTTTCCATGGTGGTCTAGCTTCAATTGACTCATGATTTCAGTCAAAAATTTTCATTCTGTTTCGTTCAATCAAATAGCTAGTTTTAAGTTCGTTATAATTGGTTGATATGAAATGTCAGGACTTGACGATAGAGCGCATTTTCTTCCAATTATGGCCGTGTAATTAATGTTAACCTATTCATAGCAAGGTTGTTGGTATGTGCACTTCACTGGAACAGGATTGTTACACTTTCTTTGAGTCTGTTGTAAAATCATGAGCAGCTATACAATAAATTATTCATTAATAAATAATTCATGCCCATTTAATTACTAAAATTGCAAAGTTACCTATTTGGTTTTGTATATCCTCATTACTTATCACTAATATGATCAAGTGGGACGTGAAAATCACATTTGTCTAAGAATAGGTCACAGAAATGAAAAAAAATTCAATCATTTTAATGAATAAGGACATAACTAAATGCTTTACAGTATTTTTCTTAGCCATTTTTATCAAAACTTTTTCTGTTCAAAACAAGCGAGCGATTGCCCTGTTCTTTCTTGATCTGAGAAATTTTAACAGAAAATCATACTAATTTCTAGGCAGTTTGATAATAGAATCCAGGTTGCATGTTTCATCCTATCTGAAACTGGTTATTTGGATGTCCCTGAACTCGTGTTAATATTTATATAGGACTCTGAATTAAAACCTTTCGCTCCAAAAGCCAAATCACGATCTATTTCTTCCCATTTTTTTAAAAAAAGTTGCTTATCTACTTTTTATTTATCCTTCATTATTTATATATTTAGAGAGATTATTCAAATACTTTGTATCACAATAATATAAATGTTATCATTTTACTTTTATTAGCCATGCCATTACTACTACTACACTCGTAATATTTCTGTCAATTCTCACCCCTTATTTATTCCGGTAATATTGAGTTATTATCCAGAGTGATTAGGTTTCAAAGTGTGTTCAAATTATTATTATCACACTTATTATTAACCTTGTCTCCTCTTACCCCATCTCCAGTCTAATTGACCTTGGAACCTACTGCCTGAAGCAGTGGTGTCCGCACCTTCAATTGACTCTTTCAAGAGAAGACTGGACACTCACAGAAGCATACTAGAAAAGGAATAACATAGGCCGTAGGCCTTTTGTCCTTACTACTCAAATCTGAATATGAATCTAAATGTTCTTAACAAGTGTATTATGTGTGATCAGATTGTTCGAAATGTATTACAATAATATATCATCACATAGTTCAGATAATCTTCATCTTCTTAATACATTATCGAAAGTTATCGAAGGGACTAATTACTTTAAGTCATTGTTTTGTTCGACTAACACATTTCAGCATATCAAACCAATTTTACCAACCACAAGCTGAATATGTAATACATGACAGTAACCAATCATGTTTATCCAAGTCCATCACCTGACCTACCTATGTTTTCGCAAATGGAATATACCGTATTCTTATTGGTTTTCAAGCCTTATCACTCAAGTACCGTAGGCGTTTCTGCTTTCTGATTGGTTTATCTAAAATTGGCCTTCTAGTTTAATCCTATAAATAACAATGCGTCATTTGACTGGACGTATAGATCTAATGCCTTATGGTTGCGTTGTGGTTCGTTTCCTTGTTGTTGGTTTGCCTTGTACATTCTGAACCATATAGGGATTGTGGTAAGTGTGTGACTAATTTGTACCGTAGATGTATAGCTTTAATTTTCCCCAAAAAAGCTTTTACACTTAACGAAAATATAGTGTGGCCGGAAATTATAATTAATGACTCGACCACTTACGTTACTTTATTCGTTTAAATGCTACCAAGACTGTGGAATATATTGTGATAACGAGTAATCGGATTTGTTGTACCGACTATAAAATGTTAAGATTGTTCAGTGCGTACTCTAGTGGCAACGAATTGACCTCCACTCAAGTGAGAGAGAAAACAGTGATCACACTTAGAAGTATTGTATTTTGTAATTCGAATTAAGGGCGAACTAATGTTAAAAGTAATTTTAATTATTTAGAGACTATTTACCTACAATTGAACTTAGTTAGAAACACTAATGTGCTAATACATTTTGATTCGATGACTAACATAAACTATTGCAGTAAGCCCATAGAATAGTTTTTATTATATGTCTACTTGCTATAATTTGGACATTTGACCCACTATACAAGATTATTTATGAATCTCATTGAATGCATCAATCTTTATCCTCTCGTTGGTTGTAAACACAGACAATCAACAATTTACCCACAATCGATCAACATATATATATGGATTTTTCGACACACTTTTTGCTGTATGCTTTCTTCATGCTTGCGGATTTTATCAATTATTAACAGCACACTATCCTTACAACTGGTGTTCTGGCTTTTGAATAATCTCGAGTAAATTCATAGTAGGAGATTTGGCTTACGTAAATACTCGTTTAACGGGATATTATATATTGGAGTTAAATATAGAGAAATTATCTACACTATACTACCGAACGACCATGAGGAGTTAACCCTTTCTAGCCCATTGAAAAACAACAAAGATAAATGAACGAGGTATTTCCCCTGGATTAAGAATTATGATGTTGGGTCTTCAAAATCTTGTACAGAAAATCCTACTTCTGACTCGACTTCTGTATGTTGATTGGTTCGTAAGTATACTTCATGTTAACTAGCCTACTAGACGTCAGAATTGATAGGTTCAGTTGCCGGTCATTTGAATATCAATAGGTTCTGTTTAGGCAGCCAGGTATTATTATAAACCCACATTACAGACTGTGCCCGAGTACACACCTGTACATGGTAAAAGATTTGGATATTTTACTTTAAAAAGTTAAATATGTAAGATGATTACTAGTTTATAATTTATTTATTTATTTGAACACATAAATATTGGCATAAGAGGACACCAAATATATATATGCTCCACACCATATTTGTGTGTGTGGGCTGTGATACTGCCCGGGTGCCCAGACCAAAGCAGATGATTTTTTCTAGGGGCCCACACCCCAAGCCTTTGACCTAAAGGTCTGATCCACAAGGCAGTAGAGCATCGTAAGGAGATGCAGTCCCATAGTAGCCGGTGACCAACGATTGGTTCATACGCCATTTGTTCCCTCAGGATACTAGAGCCCATGTGCACCATTGGTTTAGGGTCCGGTTAAAGCGCCGGACATTCTCTTTTCGTCCTCTCATTTTCGTAAACAACAGTAATGCCACTAGAAGGTAGTAAGTAGGACTTCCCTGGCAGAGTCTGTATACGCGCGGCCGTGTGAGAGCATTTCGAGGAGGACGGGCCCACCCCACTCTCGGCTATACCAGGGGATTTGGGGGCAAGATGATTACTAGACTTCATTACTTTTTATCATTTTAGAAATCTATGATAACATTACAGCTACTAGGGAATTTTTTCACAATACAATAAGGGACCTTTTTAGTATGTATTAGTGATCTCTACATTCTTAAAATAAAATGAGACGGTTGCCTGATCCTAGCAGTCATATAAATATAGGACCTGGCACATGTGTATATCATTCGAAATCTCTGTACGTTCTGTTAGTGGAATATAGATTGGATCAAAGCATTCCATAAACACAGCAAATCAGTAAGATAGATCATATGCGCTGAAATAATTTTTAATGGTTGTTTCATTAAACATCACTTTCAAATTTATCAGAGATGGTCGACCTATTGACTATTTGAGATTATTTCGCCATTATTGTTTATTATTTCTGTATTAGGATCTAAAGTTGGAAAATTACATTCACTGACTGTAACACCATGTGACAGGATACCGTGTGCGTTATATAAAGGTCGAAACGCCACTGTTACAATTGAATTCAGTACCCGTAAGTTATTTAATTACATGTTTAATGCCTCTCATTCAACAATTTCGTATCACTACTAATATGTTGGTTGTTTTAGAGTACACAACATAGATCTAATGATTATCTGGTAACTGAAACTGGTTGGATGGATAAATCAATTTCTGAACTGGGGTCACTTTATAAGCACGGAAATTATTGAAAGCCTGCTGAAAGTATGAGCCAAAATAGGGTGTTCATACCGACTCATGTCAAACTCTAGATGAGTTGTAGCAAACTTAAGCGTAGATTATAACAGTTGATTTTAAAGATGAAACTTCAGCGATTACAAATAAAATAATGCCAATACTACACTGGCCATTCTAGTCCTAGTTTCTTCAAAGTTATCGAAGGTCAGTAAAACAGCTCTGTATTAAACAATCGACCAATCATATTCAAAAGTCTTGTTTAAATTATTCACTGTGAAGTGTTTTCATGTTGTAATACGTGAAAATATGTATGTCATTCTTATTCACGGCCACTCCAGGGATAGATGTATGTTACATATATTGTCGAGCTATATCATTTACCAATCATATCAGTGAACATATATAAATCACTATTCCCTTAAAAGGAAACTCACAAAATTTTTATTATCTGAATATGAAGAGAAAATGGACAATGCCTGGAAAGATTTGTGTAGGATATACTGTGAGAAAAATTGTGTATATAGATTTATGATCCCTACTACAATATGTAAGCTTACAACATTCTGAGCCTGCATTTTTTTGTTTAATAAGTAACAGCACAGTGCAGGGATCGTATCGGAATCGCTTTTACTCGGATAACAAATTGACCTCCTCCCCGCTTGTATTCTCAATGACTGCTCTGGGTAATAAATACTTAGAAAGTCTAGAATATATGAAAATGAGTGAAATGCTATCAAGTGTTATCTAATAAATGTATGGATAAGTAAAACAATCAAATGACACAACATGACAAGTCGGTATCACAATTCGACGTTAAAAACTACAGTCCTCAAACCAATTATGGCATTTGCAAATGAAGAATATAAATTATCAACTTCACAGATTAATAAATAAATCCATTTTATATCATTACGATGTCATGTTTTGAATTCAAACTTGTGACTAGTTCACTTTAATGGCTAATTTATTAATTTACCTAATCTAAATACATCCAAAGTAAAAACATTCAAGTTTACCACTTTTGTACCATACTACTATTTCTCTCTTAATTACAGAAGAGACTGTAAAAGATGGTCATATTTCTGTACATGGAGTGATTGCACATGTACCAGTACCATTTCCACTTGACAACTCAAAATTATGCAACTTTGTCAGCCCAGTGTGTCCTTTAACTCCATCTATAGAGAACTATACACACACGTATTCTTTGTATGTTAGCACATCATATCCATCGGTAAGTTAATTCAAATTTATCGTTTACTTTGCATCATATACACATATTTAAGAACAGTGTTTCATCTGCGGACATCTATTGTAATTAGTTAAGGATTCACCATTTGTAATACACAAATTGTCGGTTGACAAATGTATGTAGCGTTGTCGAGGAATTTGTTTGCTGGCATTATAAACTACACACAGTGGGATGGTGGGTTTGAACCACTTGACCATAGTTTTGAAAACCGTCTCACCTATTTCACCTTGTTTAAGAGACTTAAAGTGTAGTGGTGGGTCACACGTGTCAGTTACCCACGCCATGGATAGACGTTTATTCTTAACGAACGCAAAATGGATAACTGGATCGGTATTGATGGTCATTTTGATCCGATAGCATGATCATAGATATCGAAGAACAGTTACTGAAGTCCCGTCATATACAGTGTATTTTAGTAGTTATTTTATTATAATCACCTCTGTACTTTTCAAACCGCCTGTATTTAAAATCCACAAACCAGTAAAGGGTATCGTATTTCTAGAGCCAACTATTCATACCTTCCTTAATTTTTTTTTAAAAGACGGCATTTCCAGGGAAGCTAGTTATCCGTAGAGAATGTTTTACTTCTGCATCATTACAGTATGTACACCAGTTAATATACTGATATGAATTTGGCTTCGAATTTTACGTATGTAGCTTTTTGTCTCCGCACTCTTGCAAACTATTCCCCTTACAAGTATGCTTTTTAGGAAATAATCTTAAACATCGTCAGCATATAGATCGGCACAAATATGCGTTGTCCCAAGTTGCCATACGTAACTGGCACAATGTGCTGAGAATAACAAGCGATCAAAATAGTGAAGTAGCAATCATAAAAAGAAGGACTTAACCTTAGGAATATAGTTTAAAAGGATAGAGTCGGAAAACGTATATATGAAAGGATGCTGAAATTCAAGATTAACTACTTTTATGAATCCGTTGTCCATCTTGTTGTGTTAATGAGGTATGGCAACTTGGACCGATGCATATATGTGCCTGGTCGTACGTGGTAGCTGACTGGAAAATAATGAGTGGAATGCATCTATGTCATTGTAAATAGTTCTGAACCATGTCATCCAACGCCTCCAACCAGTGATTACACTTGGGGTTATTAACCAGACCCAAACCAGGTAGTCTATGTCCATCAACATAGTTTAGACTAATAGTCAGTGATTTCGCTGACTGATGCCACGTTTTGATTTAGCCGTTTCTTTCTTCCTGCCTACTTCAACACTAACAAGAACTGCTCGTCGAGGTAGGTGGTGGTTAAGCTTGCGTGATACATGTCCTAACCATATCAGTCTATGGAAATTCACTACATCATCTACCTATTTGACACCTTCGGCAATTACCCTATGTCTAACCTCAACATTGCTCACTTGGTCATTTCACAAAAGGTGAATTCTAAATTGATAAGCCAACGATCTGGTAGGAGATCGACCCTCCAAAAGTTAATTAAAGAAACTTTTATTGATAGGAGGAAGTCAGTGCGTAAAAATGGGAATACTGTGGAGCCCTGTGGTTAAGAGTTCGCCATACGAACAATTTGTGGTGGTCGGTATTCGATATAAACATTAAACTTCGTATACAGTTCGTCTTGATAACCGTCACTAGATAACGCCCCAACGGTATATTAATCCGAAGGCGAATACATAGCGTTGATTACGTTTATTACGGGACCACACACAGATATCCAAAATTACAGATGCGTTAAACAAGCATGAAAGAGTTGTGCCGAAAGGCAAGCAGGCAAGCGCGCGAGAGAGAGCAAAGAACATGAATGACATGCACATATATATATATATATATATATATATATTTATATAATCAAATGAATGAATCATCGAATCAATTAAGCGGTTAGTAGTAAGGCTAGCAGCGTGAATAAATGCGTAGGCAGTAGCAATGCTCAAGCATACATGTTCATACACTCGCAACAGTAATAAAGATACAATGATATAGATAAGTTGTTGTTGTACGGATGACTCAGTTAGTTAATAAGTTGACTTAATCGAATTAAATGTGAACAAACTCAATTGCACGTAAGTTGCTATAGATTTCTTAAAACTATTGAACTAGTCTTTGCGTAGCTATACTGAAATAGGTGAAACTAAGTTTTTGGAAACTCGATGTGCTACAGAAATATAGCCTTTAAACTATTGAGGATGCCACAGGTATTTGGAGTTTCGACAACGCTTTAACCATTAACACCTAATATGAATCGTACCCACCAAGTGAAATCAAAAGACAGAAGCGAGGAGGTTCGAAGATATATTTGATAGGCTATCAGTATATCGTGGATCGACTGGTCTAATCTGGCTAGCGACTGCAGATGTTGAGCACGGTGATCTGGTGTGGATACATGACTGAGCGCCTTCAGCTAAGTGAATCCGTTAAAACTAGTGTGGTCAGCATCCAATGTGGAAGACTTACAGAGCTATTGATCTTGGAGATTTATTTACCACTACACTATCAGTACAATGAACATACAACTGAACAGTGAGAAAGGAGTAAAACAAATAAAATAATGTGAAACAGTCACGCTTATAAAAGAAATATACTTTCATGATTGATAATTCAGTAAAGACGGGTCACACCAAGGTTAAACTGCGTTATAGACCATAACTGTTAACTGTCAAGGTGATCTGACTGTGATGACAACTTTAAAGAATGAGTGTTTTAACTAATATAGTGTAGTTGGGTTTTGAGACAAATCACATCATTAAAGGAGTCACTGGTTAAACATCAAATCGTAAGTGTGACTGACAGTCAATTACACACACTTACAATTAGTTACTAAGTTGTATCATTTATCCATACAACTAGAACAACAATTAAGACAGAATAACATGAATTCATTTCATTTCATGAGTTCTCATCAGCTGCTTACAACCCTATATGTATTGCATAATACAAAATCGTAAACATTGGTGGTTGAAAAACTGTGTGACAACGATTACCAGTATTATGTATATGTGAACAAATTTAATTTCATGATTGCCGTACAAAGGGTGATTCAGTAATTACTCGCTCATATGAAGCAGGTTGTTTTGGCCGTACAAAACGAGCTCTTTCGAAGCCAATCTCCGGACACTACCTTGCCTGGCTTCAATGGGTTACAGAAGTCAGTCAAAAGCTCAATCTTTGAGCATCTTGGATCATTTCCGGCCACTCTGCTTCACCAGAAGCCTCCTTCAAAATGATACTGATGCATCAAATACATTATTTGCATACTTTGCTTTAACTGTCCTTTACATATTTCACGGTTCTTCCAATTCTGTTATTATTTCAGTTACACTCTGTCTCCCTCCCTGTTCTCTTCAATTTAACATTTTGCTGGCAAGCATTCCAAATCCAATTGCTGTTAAGTACTATTTATATCTGTCAGCATAAGTAGCGTACACCACAGTACAATCAGCTAATGAGAAACTACGAAATTGTCATTTTCCTCTTATATGAATCCATAAAGGGGATTAATTGTATAGAATTCAGTCATATATTTGATTAAAACACGAGCAGTGATACTATAAACTTATTAGGTATCCGAATTTACAGCTTCGTTGCTTAGTTCATACTTAATAAAAACATAGTTTTCATTTCTAATGATATCAGCTAATAAACAGCAATTTAATGATTTCTTAATCTTAAGTTTTCCTCTTCTTTTCAGATATCTTTAACCATCAGATGGGAATTACAAGATAGTTCAAATGAAGATATAGTTTGCGTTGAATTCCCTGTTCAACTTATATAAAGTACAATGTATAATGTAATTCATTCATTAGTTTAGTGTATAACAAACCATTTATCTTATTTTGCAATAAATTATGACAATGAGAAAAAAGGGACAATCATAAATTTCTGAAGACTTATTTTTCATTTTTATTTATCAGGACAATTCATTGTTTGTTTATTTTTAATAAAAAAAAAGACAGACAATAATAACTATTTCTTACTGATTTCATCTTTGATGCATTTTGTTTGATTGATTAGTAAAACTTTTTCTGATCAGAGAAGAGTTTAGTGGAGATTGTAGTAATTTAGTAGTTGAAGTATTGAGTCAACTGAAGCTAGACCAAACATGGAAAATCTAGAGGCACCAAAAGGCCGTTTCATCCTAGTATGGGACTCCTCAGCAGTGCACATTCACGTAACCTCTGGCTTCAATTGACTCATAAATTCAACTAGTAAATTACTACAATCTCCACAAAACCCCCTTCTGACAATAATCATCATATGCTCACTAGTGACTGTCTCGAAAAGATATTTCCTTGAGATATAGTGATAAGCCGTGACGAGTGGAGTTTAACCAGGTCTGTTGTGAGATAGTAACTGACTGAAGACAATGGTGGAGGTTGGGGCAGTTTCGTGGATTGGTTGAAGTTAGATATTAACACTGATGGATTCCGTATAGAGGTTAAGCGTTGGTGTGCGAGACCGACAGTTCCTGTGTTCGGATCTCGTGGGTTGAGATCGTGGATGCGCACTGCTGAGGAGTCTCATACTAGAGTAAAACGGCCTCCAGTTTTTCCATGGTTGTCTAGCTTTAATTGACTCGTGAATTCAACTGTTAAAAATTTTTCTATTATTAATACATAAATAATGGATTAATATTGTTTTATCAGAATGGGTTTTGTGGAGATTTTTAGAAATTTCACAGGTTGAAATCATTAGTCTATTCTGGTTAGCGTATTTTTTTAGCGAAGTTGTTTCCTATGGCAATACAATGAACAAGTTAGATGCAACCAAACTATTTGAACCTCGCAGATCACCTAGCTCTTCTATCACACACACACGCCAAGAAATGCAGGTGATGACAACTAGTGTAGCAGCAGCCTCTGCATCACTAAGCCTCAACATACATAAGGCAAGAACCAAGATCCTCAAATACAACACGGAGAACATCAACCCAATCACACTTGATGAGGAAACTCTGGGAGATGTGGGATGTCCCAGATATCTGGACAGCAGCGTCATTGATTAACAAGAAGCATCCTATAGAGACGTTAAGGCGAGGGTTGACAAAACAAGATAGTTCTAGTTTACTGGGCTGAAACTCGGAAAGCCACCAAAACCATCATCAAAGATGTACAAGTATTTATAAACGATTATCTACACAATATACTCAATGTTGATTGACCTGATACTATCAACGACAACCCACTGTGTGAGAGGACAGACCGGCTTCGAATTGAAGAGGAAATTAGGAAAAGACTCTGGAAGGTGGATAAGCGATACATTGTTGACACTATCAAACTGCATCACGAAGTATTCACCAACATGAAATCATGAAGGGAAATTGAGAAGAGGAATAAGAACGAACACATTACGTCGGGAATTCTAAGCAGATATGGCAAGAATGAATAGCATCTAGAAAGGATTATCGGGGACAGATTCATCTGGAAAATGCTAGTGGTTGGCCTATTCTCTTCGATTAGGGGTTAAGTGGCGTAATTAAGTGAAAATAAACATCAAATTTTAATTATACAAAGTTTGTATTTAAATAAAATGTTAAAATAACATTCATTTATTCATCTATCGGTACAGTTCATAGTCATTGTTATTCGTTATATGAACTGTAAATATGCATCACTCAGATGTCATCTAAATCAATGTCATATTTTATACATGCCTATTATAATCATATACTGTATAATGTTTGTGTATTGTTTGTCTCAGTTAAGAAATAAATCAATAATACCTAAATAAGGGAAAATCAATCAGTGAGTTTCGAAGTCATTTATTTCCAACTGAATTATATTGTATATATGTATCTGTGTATATGTGTATGTAATTAACCATTAACCATTTTTTGAACAATAGCACCAGGGAAACTGTAAAGAAATAAGAAGACAATTAAACAAACCAAGAATATGACAAAGATTTTGATCAATATCCACTTTAAACGATATTTGACTAAGTAACGAAGAGTATTCAATGGTCCAAGGAATTTCATAAATGATGCATCTGGTCGACTAGATATAAAATAAAATGAAAACAATGATTAATATTTAATTTTGTTAAAATCAATACAAATTGAATACCATGATCGGACCTAAATTATGGATACACTGAAAACTATAAAAAAACTGTTCCAGTTTAGTACAAGACTATTTACCATTACTCATTCACAATCCCACAAGAGATCAAACCCATAACCTTTAGTCTCATGTATAGACGCTTAATTTTTAAACCACTAAGATGAAATTCCATGTCTGTCAGTCAGTCAGTCAGTAACAACGTAGAACTTCGTACGTACGTACATCAGTTTGAGTTGCCATACCAAATTAGCACAGAGATGCAGTTGTCGATTCGAATCCCGTAGTGGTAGAGGTACTATTAATTATATTCGAAAATTAATTAATTTAATCAAAACAGTTTGCCCTATTCAGAAGTAGTTAGATAATTAAACCGGTTTATAATATTTTGAAAAAAACATTCACATGCATCATTCTATAATTCAATTGTGGATGTCATAAATTTGGCAATAAACTAGAACTTAAAAGATAGACGATTTTGTGAAACAAATAGGACTATTATCCCTATCACTATTGTTTGCATGGATACAATTAAAGTGATCAACATCTTGTCATCAATATGGTAACAAGTTTTTAAAAAAAAATTTGAAAATATTCGATATGAAATTTTTCCACTTGTAAAATATTGTGTATTTTTGTAGTTAGAGTATGAGTCAGTCAGTCAGCTACAACGTAGGACCAGGCACATATATGCATCGGTCCAAGTTGCCGTACCTCATTAGCACAACAAGATGGACACCGGATTCATGAAAGTGGTTAATTAAGTTGTGGTAATATATAAAAGAAAGATTGCATATAAGTACATAGTACAGGAAGAAAGAATTAGTTCGTAGAAAGAAAGATATGAAGCAATTTTAATCTCTTAGTTTAAGGGAAGACAGGGAGTGTATACACCGACGCCATTGTGACCGATTCTGAGCCATGTCACCAAGAGTCTCCAACCATTGATTACGATAGTCACGCGGACCCCAACCAAGTAGTCTGCATTTCCCAACATGGCTCAGACTAGAAGTTAGTGTCGAGTATGAACAATAGGAAGCGACATCAGTTACTATGTTAAGCAATTTAGTCGTCTGGTATATTTGTTATTTTTGGTCGACGAATTCTATGTATATTGACTGAACGATTTAGATGTGTGTTTTTTAAACGACTAAGATCGTGGTGCCTACTAGACGGTCAGCTATAAGCATCAATGATTCGATGTAGTTTATTAAATAACAATGAGGTTTCATTATTGAAGATGATTCACCAAAAGTATTTGATTTTCAGTGATTTTAAACGACTAGTCGTTTGTGATGGGATTTACAAGCGAGAGAGAAAAATCAAAGTTGTATGAAAAGTTTCAGATTGGTTGAGTCATACTGATTGGCTAGACCAGTATAAGTATTTCATGTGCTTTGATTAACAGGATCGTGAATATGTAGAGGCTAATTTCCCCTATATCTGACTCCAATAAATAGTATCCCGTTAACTGAGTATTTAATTCAGGCTAAATCTCCTAGTAGAATTATGGATTTACTCGAGATTATTCAAAAACCTGAACACCAGTTTATAGAGATAGTTTATTGTTAAAGATGGATAAAATCCGCAAGCGTACAGGAAGCAAGCACACAGGGAAACCAAGTGAGTATGTGTTTGTGTGTGTGTTAAAAATTCATATATTTATGAGTGTTAATTGGTTGTGGATAAATTATTGATTGTCTGTGTATTACAACCAATGGGAGAATAGATTAAAGATTGATGTGCAACCACTTGCTCAATCAGACTCACTCAGAAAATTACATAGTGGGTTAAGTGCCTATATTACAGTGAGCAGATAAATAATACAGTAGTTGAATGAGCTAACTACAAATACTCACACCTGTGGAGTTCATCCGGTGCTTCCAGGTTAGGGTTGGGAATTGTATTTTAATATTTAAAAGATTTATTATCAGTATTTTTGACTTCATGTGACTAATTCCATTGCTCAATTATAAATAAACATATTTCTTCAAAGTTCTATCCGTATAATTCACTTAATGTTAGAAGTGATATAAATCTTATAGTTTACATTACGCATTGACATTAGCTGATGATAAATATATTTTTGTGATGTCCCAATGAGTAGCAAAATGTATTTCTGAGGTTTTGTCAATTTATGTAAGCCACTTCTTCAGAGTAGTTAGCCACTGAAAATCGGGGAACACTGGACAGCTGCTTTTTCTTGGTGTAGAACTCTTATACAGCTTATCTCGATGAGCAGGTCACTGAAGATAAGTTTGTTATTTAAACTATAAGATTCAATATTCTTCGCAAATTTATATGCTAAAATTAGTCGTGTACTCACAAATTGCCGGAGTTTTTTTGACAAGTCGTGACTAGTGAGATACGAGCGTGGTATTGGATCCTAACTCATTGATTTAAAGAAGTAGATTTCATCACAACTGATTGATCACTGGGTGGTGATCCATGTCATGTGTGTCAAGTCATTATTTAGCGCAGATCGAATGTTATCGACCATGGTGCAATGTGGCCACCAGTCTAGGTGACTCGACATTGCGGGCACTATATATTGAGATTTAGATGGTGGTTGGAAGTAGTCGACAGGTTACCCTGGACCCGGGTTTCGTGCTACTTGGCACTCGTCAGCGAGGTGTACCTGTACCTATAATCCAGGGTTTCCTGTCGACTACCTCCAACCACCATCTAATCTCAAGTAGATTTCGTCTCCAGGTCTGATAGTCCTGGGATCAGTCTTTAGTAGGTTTGCGAATGCACACTGTTGAATAGCCTTATACCAATATAATGCCATTATCCAATACTTCTTGGTTTGCAGTGGCAGTCTAACTAAGGTCATTTAGCTACATAACCCATAAAATCCAACAATCTCGACAAATCCTTATGTTAAGTATATGATATTGTCTACCAATCAGTAAGCCTCCAAATGCCCTGGTACGGCCGAGAGTGGGGAGAGTCCGCTCTCCCTCTCGAAACACTCTCACACGGCCACGCGTATACAGACTCTGCCAGGAAAGTCCTACTCACTGCCTTCTTGTGGCATTACTGTTGTTTACGAAAATGAGAGGACGAAAAGAGAATGTCCGGCGCTTTAACCGGATACCAAACCAATGGTGCACATGGGCTCCAGTATACTGAGGGAACAAATGGCGTATGAACCAATCGTTGGTCACCGGCTACCATGGGACTGCATCTCCTTACGATGCTCCACTGCCTTGTGGATCAGACTTTAAGGTCAAAGGCTCGGGGTGTGGCCCTATAAGATAACCACCTGCTTTGGTCTGGGCACCCGGAAAGTAATGGAAACTACTTTACTTGCTTCAACTAACAATCAAATGATTCAAATTATTATTATTATTATTATTATTACTATTATTATTATTATTATTATTATTATTATTATTATTATTTACCACATTATTCACCCTCTTTTATACTTATACAGCGGCTCGTCTTTGGTGGAAATTCGATTGTATCTAAACGTTCTCGAGTCACTGTCCGGTTGAAAATTGTATGTTACCACCGAATATGAGTACTGAAGCAGTTTTTCTGAAACCACGTGCACCATTCAAACTGGCTGCCTTCAACGTTCGCACACTTATGCAGGTAGGACAACAGATAGGGCTGGCTATGTCTTTGGAAAGTCTTAATATCGATGTTTGTTGTCTATCCGAGACCCGTATCCAAGACTCTGGTGAAGTACTACAAATTCGCTCTCCATCTGTCGCTTCGAAAAGCTTGTTTTACGTGCGCTTATCCGGGGACCCTGTGGCATCTTCGTCTGGTCTCGCTGGCGTTGGTGTCGCACTAAGTGCTAGAGCTGAGGCAGCACTAGTCGATTGGATCCCCATTAACAGTCGGTTGTGTGCTGTTAGATTAGAAAGTTCCATCAAAGTGAGAAGAAATCGGCGCGAGAAACGATGTCTTTTCGTCATCTCCGCCTATGCCCCGACAGATTGCAGCCCGGATGCAATCAAGGATGAGTTTTACCACCAGTTAACTGTTCTTCTCCAGAAAGTGCGTTCGACAGATATTGTAGTACTAGCCGGAGACTTGAATGCTCAGGTCGGGCGTCTAGGCACAGAAGAGAGTCGTTTAGGTGGCCGATGGGGACTCGTTGGTCGCAGGTCAGATAACGGGGACCGTCTACTGCAACTGTGCACAGACCACAACCTGTTTCTGGCTAGCACTAACTTTCGGCACAGTCATCGCCGATGTGCCACCTGGCGTCCTCCCTCTGCATCTCAAGCCTGGACTCAGATTGATCACATCGCGATCAGCTACCGCTGGCGTGGTTGTGTACAAGACTGCCTCTCCTTTTGGAGTACCTATCTGGACTCTGACCATGCCTTGGTCTGCGCCAATCTTGCCTTACTTTTCAGTGGACAACGAAGTGACCGCCACCAGCGGATTGATGTTAGCAAGCTGGTTGCAACTTCTGTTGCAAGTAAGTATCGAACCGAGCTAGCCTCTAGGCTAGCTACCACTCCACCGAAAAGTATAGATGAGCATTGGTTGCAATTGCATGACGCCATGAAAATGGCGGGAACAGTCAGTTGTGGGTTTGCGAAACGTCCCGCTTTAAGCACTGGGTTTCTTCTGGTTCCTTACAACTCATTGAAGCCCGTCGGTCTACTCCGGGTGACCGTGAGTTTGACCATAAACGAAGGATGTTACGTAAGGAAATTGGGCAAAGCTTGCGTAAGGACCGAGAAGCCTGGTGGTCGATGCGTGCTAATGAGCTGGAAGCAGCAGCTGCATCTGGTAACTACCGGAAGCTCTTCCAGCTCATCCGAGCCACTGGCAGCAAGAAGTCTGGTGTGAGTGAAACAATCTGCGAGGATGATGGGATGCCAATCACTAACATCCATCGACGTCTTGGACGATGGGCAGAATTTTTCGAAGGGCAGTTCAACTGGCCTGCTGCTCCGGCAACATCGGTCAGACTGTCCTGCCCTCCATGGCCGGTGACGACTGATCCACCAAATGAGGAGGAAGTCCGCAAGGAACTCCAACTCTTGAAGCGTTACAAATCACCTGGCCCAGATGACTTACCTCCGGCTCTTTTTAAAGATGGTGGTGACTTTTTGACTAAGGAATTGACGACGTTGTTTACAAAGGTTTGGGAACTAGAGTGTGTACCAACGTCATGGAATGAGTCGATAGTTGTCCCTATCTTTAAAAAGGGTTCACGTCGTTCCTGTAACAACTATCGGGGGATAAGTCTACTTCCGATTGCGTCCAAGCTATTGGCTTCCGTCATACTTCGTAGGTTGTTCAAAACCCGAGAAAGATTGACTCGCGAGGAGCAGGCTGGGTTTCGTTCTGGTCGAGGATGTATTGATCATATCTTCACCCTCCGCCAAATGTTAGAACACCGCCATACTTATCAAAGGCCAACAATCGTAGTGTTTCTTGACATCAGGGCTGCCTTCGATTCGTTGGACAGGACTGTTCTCTGGGATTGTCTATTGAAGAAGGGTGTGCCTGAGAAGTTTATTAACATCCTAAAAGCCCTATATAAAACACCTCAGGCAGAGTGAGGGCATACAACCACCTCTCTCCATTGTTCCATTCGAGCAGTGGGGTTAGGCAGGGTTGCCCAATCTCACCATTCCTCTTCAACTTTGCCATCGATGACATTCTGGAAACAGCTCTGATGAATGTAAGTAATGGTGGTGTGGATCTGTTGCCTGGAGAAAGACTTCTCGACCTTGAGTATGCGGACGATATTGTCTTACTGTGCGATAATGCCCAAGGCATGCAATCCGCACTTAATCAGTTGGCAATCAGTGTCCGTAGGTATGGTATGTGCTTTGCACCTTCGAAGTGCAAAGTACTTCTACAAGACTGGCAGGATTCTAATCCTGTACTCACCCTGGATGGTGAGCAGATAGACGTAGTTGAGAAGTTCGTGTATCTGGGTAGCTGCATAAGTGCTGGTGGGGGTGTGAGTGATGAGATCAATGCACGAATAGTGAAAGCCAGAGCGGCTTATGCCAATCTGGGCCACCTTTGGCGCCTTCGTGATGTTAGTCTGGCTGTAAAAGGTCGGATCTACAACGCGTCGGTGAGAGCAGTTTTGCTCTATGCTTGTGAAACCTGGCCTCTCCGAGTTGAGGACGTTAGACGACTCTCTGTGTTCGATCATCGCTGTCTCCGAAGGATTGCTGACATTCAGTGGCAACACCATGTCAGTAATGCAGAGGTTCGGCATCGTGTGTTCGGGCACAGAGATGATAATCAATTGGTGTCACCATCTTGAAACACCGACTTCGGTGGCTTGGACATGTTCTCCGAATGTCGTCCCAGAGAATTCCACGTCGTGCATTATTTGCCGACTCTGGGACTGGTTGGAAGAAGCGGAGAGGTGGTCAGTGCATGACATGGTGTCGTGGCATGAAAGAAAGCCAGTGGCTATCCTGTTGTATCCTTCTTTTACTTTCTTCATAGAAAGTGGTTGTGTCTTCCTTAACTGAAAGATTTCTTCTGATTGTACCTTTTCGTTCCCTCATTATTGCTATTATTATTACTACACTACCTTACACCAATCTCTTCGTTATTGTTCTCTTTTTTTTACGCTCCTTTTTTTTCTCACCGAATTCTCATTGTTTTGTGTGGCGCATATATATTGGCGCTCTCTTGTACCAATATTTATGTGTTCAAATAAAATAAATAAATAAATAAATAAACCACTCAGTAATCAGTCTGTGTAAACATCTCAATCATATAAATAGTCAATTACAACTGGAACATATCAGCGATATCGTCTCTGACTAAGATATTGATTGACGTCGATTTTAATCCTACACTGAATATCAGTTGTCATAAGAATAAAAATACAATTTCTACATGATAATAAATTTGTATGAAACATTGATCCACCGTTGTAAAACATCCATCAACCTAATAATAATAGTAATCATTATTTGTATAATTAAAAATAACTTACATTGGTAATTATTTATGTTACCATGGTAACACATATACATTAATAAATCAGCAGACCAGCAACTATATTTAATGCATATAATCATCAAATCAAATATGTATAATTGTGCATTTCATTGTTTGTGACTTAATAATTTAACTTAGATGGATTGATATTAACTAAAATGAGTATTTGTATAGCATGAATAATACATCATGAATTCATACATGTATACACATGTGTTAGAGACAGATTTTTATATTAGATACATCACTTCATTATAGAGATGATTGGAATTATATAATGAAAGTTTAGTACATGATAATTTAATTATATATGAAGTTGTTTTGAATGATCGATTAGTTTTAAATTTTACATGAGACGAATTCAATGATCAATTCAATCTACTGATTAATTGAATTTTAATAGTTGAATTCATGAGTCGATCGAAACTAGATCACCATGGAAAAGTTGGAAGCACCAGAAGGTCGTTTCATCCTAGTATGGAACTCCTCAGCAGTGCACATTCACGATCCCACTTCATGAGATTCAAACCCAGGACCAATGAATCTCGTACGCGAACACGTAACCTCTGGCTTCAATTGACTCATAAATTCAACTAGTAAATTACTACAATCTCCACAAAACCCCCTTCTGACAATAATCATCATATGCTCACTAGTGACCGTCTCGAAAAGGTATTTCCTTGAGATATAGTGATAAGCCGTGACGAGTGGAGTTTAACCAGGTCTGTTGTGAGATAGTAACTGACTGAAGACAATGGTGGAGGGTGGGGCAATTTCGTGGATTGGTTGAAGTTAGATATTAACACTGATGGATTCCGTGTAGAGGTTAAGCGTTGGTGTGTGAGACCGACAGTTCCTGTGTTCGGATCTCGTGGGTTGGAATCGTGGACGCGCACTGCTGAGGAGTCTCATACTAGAGTAAAACGGCCTCCAGTTTTTCCATGATAGTTTAGCTTTCATTGACTAATGAATTCAACTATTATAATTACTAAAATCTCTACATAACCCTATTCTGATAATAGTTGAATCGTTTCTTAATCTTGTAGAAAAAGCAGACAAAAATAAACATTCGAGTATTAATAAAACAATAACCATGAATATTACTTTATTGTGTTAGTCGTCTACAATTTATAATCTCTTTAAATATCATAATGAGTTTGATTATTTTATTTGTTTATTTATTTGAACATATAAATATTGGTACAAGAGGGCACCAAATATATATATGCTCCACACCATATTTGTGTGTGTGGGCTGTGATACTGCCCGGGTGCCCAGACCAAAGCAGATGATTTTTTCTAGGGGCCCACACCCCAAGCCTTTGACCCAAAGGTCCGATCCACAAGGCAGTAGAGCATCGTGAGGAGATGCAGTCCCATAGTAGCCGGTGACCAACGATTGGTTCATACGCCATTCGTTCCCTCAGGATACTGGAGCCCATGTGCACCATTGGTTTGATATCCGGTTAAAGCGCCGGACATTCTCTTTTCGTCCTCTCATTTTCGTAAACAATACTCCCGCCACTAGAAGGCAGTGAATAGGACTTTCCTGGCAGAGTCTGCATACGCGTGGCCATGTGAGAGTGTTTCGATAGGGAGAGCGGACTCTCCCCACTCTCGGCCATACCAGGGCATTTGGAGGCAATGAATGCGATTTTAAAGATCAACTCCTTAAAGATTGTACAAATACCATCTTGATAAGTGTCAACTAGCATGAAATCTAGATTTAGCGTTTTTTGTTAAATACCTTTGATCCAATTAACATTTTATGTGTGCTTATGAACTACTTAATGAGAACCAAAATATCATTAAAATGAATCCATTTTTATTTGGCTTAAAATAGCTAGTTGTATATAACGGTACTATAGATTAGAAAGTCAGTCCCTAGATTTGTTGTCAAGATATACCTACTTAGTAGATAATCAAAATATACTATGAAATCTCTGTCACTACCTAAACTGAAATAAAATATCGAACGAAGTAGATAGATAATACAGAAAGTTACATTATAGTTTCAGCAAAATGCTACATTATTCACTAATTGAGATGATTGAAAAATGGTTGGTATCAGGAGAGGGTTGAAGAGATCGGAAAACTCACATCTTGGTGGTGTTAAGTAACATAATTAACGATTAAAGGTAAATGAAGAAAAACGTTTTATCTATATTTATTGTCATAAACCTTGTAGGCTTCCATACATAGGACCACTTATTATTTGTTATCTGTCATTTTTCTTTATTTCCAATCAATCAACCCCTAAACCGTTTCCGGATAAATTCTATACCAGTACCAGGAAAAATATACTCATTAGGAATCAAACCTAATGTTTACTGCCTGGGAAACAATAATGTCGTTATGTAATAGACAACTGGATCACGATAAATCACTTTTTCAACGGATGATATATTACATGCGTTGCAGACGAGTACCAACTAGCATGAAGCCTAGATCCAAATTTCCTGACCACTGTCTCCAACCATCAACTCACTAGAAATTGGTCGATAGAATTCAATCAGCAGTAAAGGACTAGACTAACATGACGTAGATCAGTATTTACAAGTTGATAAATAGCTTTGTCAATAATCATTCGACATAGTTTCATTTTGTTCATTTGTTTATTGTTGTAACTTAATCAGGAAAGTGAGCCAGTCTTAATCACTGACCAAAAAATCATAGGTAAGGCTTGCACACACGTACACAAACATATATCCATAATAATGACAATAGACAATTGAAAGCAAGCGAACAATTGTAATAGATTATTCAACATACTCTGGTTTTGGCAGTCCATTGGGTTCTTCACGACCTAAACCAGCAGGATTACTTTCGGCTTCAGCACTATTCAACATTTCCAACTGACATTCAACTTTACCCTAAAGTAATACATTGAAAAGAATTGAAAGGTGTTTGATTAAAACGGTGCCAGCAATATCGACAACCGGAAAGTAAGAAGATTTACAGATAAAACCCATACTCGTTGTAGAAGCTGGTGGCTACTTGGACTCGGTAGCTATTTAGATAACGTATTGATGTTCAAAGTAAAAGCAATGGGTTAAAGTTTCAGCGTGAATATAAACACTTGGATGCACGTAGATCCAGCCGACGAGTTCCAAGTATGACGAATTGCGCATCCTAGATTCTACTGTTAAGCACTCTCTAACTTCAACTAGAACTTATGACTGGATGACTAACTATACCTAGACAGTCCTCTAAGGATGCATATAAACCAGTAGAGACTGGTCAATTTCAGTCCTTAACATCAATAACGGAGAAACGCAAACCCTTGCAAACAAAGTGTTTTATCAAAAAGGTATGTTATTGAGATTATCAAGTGTATTAAGATGAGTGGCAAACTATTGTTTCAAGTAAACAGTGAACGTATTTCAGCGATTTATTAATAGAAGACGAATGTTTAAAGGAGTGCAGGTATGCCTAGCTGACGAGTCCTAAATAGGACGAAACGCGCGTCCTGGGTTCCATTGCTAGTCACTATCCATCTTTGCCTATAAGAGTTTTGTTTTAATTTAAAAATTCATGATTTTAATGTTTTCAAGGACAAATGTACATTTTTCCGTATTCAAATTATTCTAAGCATCTTTCATCCCTACATGGTCGAAATCTCTCATCTAAAAGATGAAAAAAACAACGTAAAAATGATACTAGAAATAATGGACTATAAAAACAGATAGTTTAGTTGATTATCGAATTCCGTCGATCTCATTCAAAATTGTTGACAAAAATCCTGGAATAACACCAGTTTTCCTAATCTTCCAATCTTATTTCAGTCAATAAATGTTACAGAGTGAATTATTCATTGTGAATATATCATATGTTTATTAATTAGTTGAAATCAGTTGAGATACTTATAAAAGCCATGGTACACTGGATAGATGATACTCTTCAGTATTGACATCGTCATATAAGCTCTATAGTGACAGTGACCGGTTTCAAACCAAGGATCTTCAGGCTTCATGCTGACCGCTTCAGTTTACGACCACTAAATTGAGATTCATTTTTTGACACATAGCTAAGGTTAGTTCGTAATATTTAGATAATTATCTAATGGTTTCGTATTGTTTGAACCTATATTTAATCACGAAATAGAAATCAGGAGGGAAAGTAGAGTTATGAATAAAAAAACAACCACTTTGAAACTTGAGCAGTTATCCTCAACGGCACCGAGTGACAGTGATACAGTATCATAAACCAATTGAGTTCAAAAAACGATTATCATTGGGTCCTAACTTATCAGTTTCATGGTATCGTAAATACGTTAGAGTTATAGGTCCAATGTAAGAGGTAATATGTGTTTATAGTAAAAAGTACCAAGCTGAAATGAAGCAACATCTCAGTGATCCCTAGTTTCGTAGAATATTTAAATGTTAACTACGAAATCGTAGTTCAGAATTGCATTCAATCCACCTTCGGTAAGAGAAGCGTTTAAACCATAACATATGAATTTTAGTTTAACAAATAGACGTGTATCAATTTCTGAATTGTATTTTAATAGAATCAATATATCGATTACGAATGTCTTCAAAACAATACTCGGTATAATAGAACTACCAAGCAATTATCGTTGATATTTGATTTTATGTAAATAACCAGAAATACTAATTACATTGGTGAATATTCGTTGTGTCAATTGAATTATTCAAGACATATTTCACAAACAGTTACCGACTATTCTAGTTAGCATAGGAGCGAATGGGAAAAACACTAGAAATAGTCACGTCATGAGATATTATTAATTGTTGATGTCACTAACTATTATTTTCAACCGTCTTAATAGATACTAATGTCTTGATTTAATTCTGAGAAATGTTCGTTATCTGTAATTGAACATCTTAGGTAGTATGGTTTAAAATAGGTCTAATTATTGCTCAAGCACTTATAATTTATCCTTATTTATTATCCCGACCGTTGTTGCTACCTTGACGTGGTGGTCGGGCTTGCCTATCGTGATGAAGCAACCGAGCTATATTGGCTGGAACAACCGTTCCTCAGGGTATTACCATGTCAGACAGGCTGGTTGAACAGCGGTAAGACTAAAAGCAACAAACCCAAGTTCCGAAGGCGAAGTCGTACTGCTGACTGTACAGAGGTGTGACAGCAGTAAGGTGTTTCCTTCAGCCAACCAGCATGACGGCGATGCTGCCTTCCCATAAGGAGGGGTGGGGTTAGAAAATGCCGAATCTAAGAATGCACACCTCGCCTTATCCCACGGATATCCGGCGGTAAGGTCTCAACAAGTACGGAGCTAACACAAACATTGCCCATAAAAGGTCGTGTGTGACAGACCTCAAGCAGTTGTTCCTTGGGCACTGCGGTCACGCTCTCAGGTCACTAAGACCACCTCTAATCCAATTTCCTTTTCAGGTATCTCCAGAAGAACCCTTCCACGGTGTGGGTAACCGGGAAGTGATAACCACCCTCATACCTCTAACAGCACTGAAGACTGACTTATTTAATATGGTACCTTGTACTTGTTTTAAGTTATAGATGAGACGAGTCAACTAACTAGCTCATTGGTAAATTGATATGGGATAGAAACTGTCATACAAATTCAGAATTTCCTTAATACAACTCTACTAAACATAACAAATTCAAAACAAATAAAAATTCACATGTTACTTAAGGAATAAATCAAAACACAAATTCTTATCACTTACTTGAACGACAATTTCTTCATCTTCTTCATCAGTAACTGGCCACCAACCACGTGCAGTTCTATTCTTAAACATTGAAAATCTTGGACACTCTGGTTCTAATTGATGTAACCCACAACTTTTTGCAGTTTTCGCACATCGTGGCAAGGATGAAAGACGCATTGTCAGTGATCCTAGTAAAAGAATACCAAAAAACGTTTTTAAACAAATCATTTAAACAATTTAATCTTTAGGTGTTCATAACTTGAAATCAAGGTTATATTTATCGTAACTGTTATTATTTATGATAGTTCTAGGTTTATGAATTATTTGCTTTTACGTGATAGATTTACACAGATTATTCTGTATCTCGTTATTGAATTAAAAATAAGGACAGACTTCAGTGAAATTTCCACCCGTATGACTACAGATCGTCTTCTGTTTAAAAGAAGTTTTCAATCGTACCCATATAATCCATTAACTTTATTCACATAAATTTATCTTACCTCTAACTTCTAACCTTGACACTGACCATAGACCTGAAATCTAAATTCTAACCTCAAACCTAAACATCAACTAGCAAGGGTTTTGCTTCAAAATCGTATATAATGATTTCATAGGATAATCTCATTCTTTACAAGCACATTATTGGTACATCATCGAACTCAATAAACGTACTGTAGTTCCAACTGCATTTACCAATTCATATGTACGTGCCATAGCACATACATTGTGAGAACTGAGAGAAGAGTACGCGTTCGCATTTCTGAGCATGTTCCAAAAAACGTGATGCTGCGAGGAACTAGGGCTCTCAATAGTACAATAGCCCGGCATTTACTTGACATCGGGGATACCATCGATATTCCGCACGCTTTTAAAATTATCAGCAAACAAAGAAATACGACTGCTCTCCTTTTTTGCTGAAGCGGTCGCGATAAAAAAACTTAAACCGGATTTATGTATTCAAAAAGAGACAGTAGTAAACTTATTATTACCCTGGTAATCCATTTTTATTTTATTCATTTATTTTTAAAATATTCATTTTGTGTTATATTCCTCCCCCATTACCGAATTCTTAAACCAACTTTCCATCCACACATTTCCGCCCACTTACCCTCTTAATTCATGTTAACTTTTCAAACTCTATTCAATTATTACATAACCTATCTTATCATTGTTTTAATTCCATGAATCCTTCACTACCTTTAAAATTATCACACAATTTGTGAATCCCACTCAACCACTACACCACCTATCCTGAATCGTTTCCTTAATTCTAACACCAATTAACCTCTGACCTATTCTTACATATATATAGTTATCATTGTAAACCTTGGTCATTCCAATCTTTTACATTCACTTATATCAATTATTCCATACTATTTCTTATCTCAATGTAAAATTCTATTACATATCAGTGGTTGTAAGCAGCTGACGAGAAACCTCGAAATATTATGAATTCACCCTATTCTGCATCAACATTTGTTCTTGCTTCATTTAGATACTGTAGACAGTCAATATAGGTACTTGTATTGTGCTCCATGGTATTGAAATCATTTATTGATATCTAATTTTCACGTCTCTACAATTTATTCTAGCTAGATATCTCCTTGTTTGAAATTATTTCTTCTATTTTGTTTTAAAAATGTCCACCTCCAATAATTAGTTATTTAAAAATATTCAACAATACAGAATAGGTGGAATCTAGGACACGCATTTCGTCCTACATAGGACTCGTCAGCTGGATATACCTGCATACTAGAGTTAATATTCACACTGAGATCCGAAACCAGTACTGTTCGTTACAAACACTAACACTTCGTACATTCAAGTATTAGATCTACATAAATACTCAGTTGTGCGAAGACTATGAATTTTGATTTAATTTACAATGATTTGAATTGTCTCGTTGTTGATATTTTGAATGATGATCATTCTCGGTTGGAAATCTGCATATGATGCAAACATGCCAACCAAGGCTGATCGAACTTCAGTCAAAATATTAACAAACAAATAATCCAAACCACTAGAAACTAAATTATTTAATAATATTTAATATATGGGTGTGGATATTGTCTTATTTTCACTGAAATCATGAATCGATCTAAGTTAGATCACCATTGAAAACATGCATCACTGGATGGCCGTTTTGTCCTAGCACATGAGTTATCGGCAGTGAACGTCCACAATCCAGCATACAGGACTCAAATTCAGGACCTTCGGTTTCGCGCACGAACGAATAATCTCTAGACCACTGAGCCGGTATATATGACAATACTTTTTAATTATATGAATGTAAAATGGAGCCCTAACAATCCATCTTTTTAAACTTGAACCGTATATACAAAGCAGATATATGCTTCCAATCATTCATCTATGACCCTATCAGTTAATTTTCATAAACGGTAATTTGATTTTAATACATCTTCCTGATGTTTTCAATCTTCTTAATGTTAATTATCTGTCATTATCACTTTCACGTTTTTAATTGAATGTTAACCTTTCTCATACTCGTCAAGTGAACAATTAATCATCTCACATTTTATTTCATCTTATTATCTCTCTTCACTTCTCTTTATATTACGTAACTTTCCTTGACACATAATATGATGTAATGTTTCTTCTATCTTTCAATGGATTATTTTATTTGTAAATTAACTGTAAATACGATCTCTCAGATTGAGTAAATGATATAATCTTCTAAAATGAACTCATTGAGAAAAGATTCTCGTGCCTGGTGCGAGACTGATAGGTTCTGGGTTCGAATCTCTCTGGGGGCAGGATCGTGGATGCGCACTGCTGAGGAGTCCCATACTAGGACGAAACGACCGTCCAGTACTTCCAGGTTTTCCATGGTGGTCTAGCTTCAATTGACTCATGATTTCAATCAGTGAAATTTCTAAAATCTCCACAAAACCCATTTTGATAGTGTCTTTAATTGTCTGAACAAAATGATGACGTTGTTTGTTCATTAAGTTAACCAATAACTGTTCTACATACTTGATATGACACAATAGAATAGGTATTATGAAGTGAATGATGATAGTTCTTTTTAATACCAAGAATTAAATAGTTTGGAACTCTTGAGTCGTGTTCATGAATGATCTAAGTTAGTTGAAGGTTGTCATAAAACATTGACTTATTAGCTCATAGACGTTATAGTCATTATGAAATTATGATGGTCTTGAGTTTAAGCTTTTATGAGAGTAAGCTACTGAAATGTCTCTAAATAAAATGAAAAGTTATTGAATGCTTCCCCTTTTTTTAAAGGTTTTAAAGTTAAAGTTAGTTTCCCGACAATAGTTATATCCGAACGGAAAAGTTTGTCCAGTATTTCATTGTTAAAATTCTTCAAAAACTTTGATATCTGTCGAACGAATCCTCTGGATCTTTGTACTTCTATCAAAATAAATATGAGGAATTATGAAGCATCCTGTCATGTATAATGGATTACAGTACTCCATAAATCAGAAATATTTACAATTGCACAAGAAGGTGGTTATCAGAACTCAGTAGCTATGTGGATAATGCGATGGCGTTTAAACAGAACAGTACTGGGTTCGAGTCCAGGGGTGAACGTCAACTCTGGTATGCAGGTACATCTAGCTGACGAGACCCAAACAGGACGAAACGCGCGTCCTGGATTCTACTGCTAGCCATTAAAAGGCTTGTGACTTAAGGCAATATCGAGGCGATCCGCACAGGACGCACGTATGCTAACAAGAGACCGATCAATTGCAGTTCTAAATTGGAAGATACAAGTAAAACAACAGCAGGTGAATTTAATATTTACAATGTTTTAATAAGCGATAAGAATAAGATTTCATTCACTGCCATGTATAACTATATATTAAAATGAATGTGGTCGGTAGGAAACCCTAACATATAAACATATTACCCTCCATGTCAGACAGTCTGAATGGTCTACGTTTAATTAAGGTAAAGATGATCGTTGAATGAACTGGTATACAGTTTATCTGAGTTTATAATTCGTCATAGAAGATTCCCATAAAATCGTCTTTACTAGTGACAAAATTTGATATAAATACCTTAAACTTTCTGTGAAGGCCTTGTCGAACGAAATATACTAAGTTGAATATGAGACAGAAACTCAGTGATAACATTCGATGCGAATTTCACTATTTTCTAAATCAACCGTAATTGGTGATGTGAAACCATGAGTTTCCATTTATTGGCTTAAAAGTAATGTACAAATCAGGACACCTAAATATCATGGTTTCAAACGTATATGTAGTACATACTACTGATTCTTATTACATTAGATTACTAATATACTTTTATCATTACAAAACTTGACCTAATGTAAATGAAATTAAATCCATTGTGAAATAACTTACCAATAAAATTATCTCTTGTAATAATATCAGCATCCCATACTTGTAATGTCAATTCACAATTAGCTTTAATCATATGTGGTTCAATATCGAATGTTCCTTTAATTGGATAAATTATTCTATCTTCTGCTTTAATATAATCAAATGGAAATATAAAACGCCAATTGAAATTTCCTTCACCAGATAATGATCTAAAGTCGATGATAAGAAATGAATAGAAGATTTATAGTTGAGTTTTTGAAGTAATCAACTGTCAAACAATATATAGCAGATTTATGCCTTGATTTTCGAAAAGGAATATGTTAGGAGTGAATTAAAATGTAGGCTGAGATTGATTCATTCATATCCTTCAAACATATTCTGACATTTGAGATGGTGGAGAAGATTTGTAGCTCAGGTGGATGATTTTGATGGAGTTTTGTTCTCTTAGCTGGATGACCAAACTATTCTGACATAAATGGTACTGATGCTCTTAAGGATTATACTTACATGGTTGATTGTAAACTTAAAATTTACGATGGTTTTATTCATTAAATGAAATTAATGAGAAACCATTGAAAAAACGGGAAGCGCTTGATAGTCATTTCGTCATGGTTCGCTAGTCATAAATAATGTACAGATGTTACTCAGAATCGAATTGAGGTAATTTTAAGGTTCTGAAGAAAACAACAACAGTGGTATTATTTTGTTCCGTACTATTTGAGTATGAGAATTTGTGGAGATTGTAGTATTTTCAAAGTTAAATTTGAGTGTCCCGCGTGTAAGATCATAGATACCCACTGCTGAGGAGTCCCATACTAGGGAGAAACGGCTTTCTTTTGTTTCCAGTTTCTCAACGGTGGTCTAACTTAGATTGGCTAGTGAATTAAACTTTGAAAATTTGTACTTCTTATTTCTTTCTTCAATTGACACTTACATAATGATAATTACAGAACAGTATCATCATCATCACTAATGACAATAATAATAATGCTAGTTACGTTTTTAAATCTTTTTATTTACCAAAAAAGCGGTTAGACTATAGTTTATGGACTATCTTTGACCTTGAGAATGTTCACCCAGTAACGAGAATTAAGTAAGGGTTATAAACCAATGCGATGAATTAGAATTATAATTTACAGTTGATAATTAGGGTTAAGAAAATTAGATTTCGGGGTTTTATCACGAACTGACATCAGCTGAAATGTCAAGACGCTATTTAGTCAATTGGATGAATGAATTTCACACCAAAATCCAAGACCTGTTACCTTATACCTGATTGGATTATCCATAAATTATAGTCTAGCCAAAAAGGTTTAAAACAGGAAGGAAATAGTTTTACACCATTTCTCACTGGTCAATAGTCATATAACTAATTTTAGTTCATAATAATAATTTGAATTAAATAAGCTAAGAATAACACATAATAATATTAGGTCACGTAATAGTAACAAGTATCATGTCTAGTCCTTAGTGTTGATAATAGAGTACTCTAATCTAAATGATATGTTAATTGCTCGCGCGCGAGACCAGTAGGTCCTGGGTTCGAATCTCGCAGGGGACAAGGTTGTGGGTGCGCATTGTTGAGGAGTCCCGTAATGGGACGAAACGGCCGTCCAGTGCTTCAAGGTTTTCCATGGTGGTTTAGCTTCAACTGACTCATGATCTCAACTATTGAAATTACTACAATCTCTACAAAACACCCTCTTCTGATACTAATCAACATATGCTCACTAGTGACTGGCTTCAAGATGCGTGTCCTGGAGTTCTAGTGAGGAGGAGTGACCAGTGAAGTTCAATTGGGTCAGTTGTGAGATAGTAACTCACTGGTGACAATGGTGGATGTGTCGCTGAATTTCGTGGATTAGTTGAAGTTACGCATTAACACCGTTGGATGACAGCCAGCTCAGTGGTCTAGTGGTTAAGTGCTTGCACGCGAAGCCAGTAGGTCCTGGGTTCGAACCCTGCAGGGGGCGAGGTCGTGCTACTGAGGAGTCCCACAATAGGACGAAACGGCCGTTCAGTCCTTTCAGGTTTTCCATGAAGGTCCAGCTTCAACTGACTCATGATCTTAACCAATTAAATGATATGTCTTGGTTGGATATTTAATTCAGTGTTTAATATTCTAAGGTTGGTTACTGACCTACAGGGAGTATTATTTCTCACAAGAATCTAAATATGTTTATATATTTAAGTCTAAAGTCCAACTGTCTCACAACATATAACAATATTATTTCCAATCAAATCATAAAGTAAAGTAACTGTAAAATATACAAAACTGTCTCTGTTACCATTTCGTCAATCAATTTTTGTATGATAGGCTGAAAGATTCTAAACATATCATATGTATGTGTAAAAACCAAACACCTCATTCCCGGCCTCAAGGTCAAATGGTAGGTAACATATCACAAACAAGGTGGTAGGTCATTTGAGGAAATCGATTATACATTTAGTCATGGTCACAGACCATATATACGTTAACCAGTTACAAGTGAATAAATGTGTGAATAGCTGTGATTCCTGTACATTATTCCTTCGGTTTTTCACTCTAGTCGATTATGAGTCCTTTCTCTTGAGTTATTAGTTAAGCAAGAATATAGGAGGCGAATAAATAGTGTAGCTCAATCGAACGCCGAAGGTCATAACCTTACATTTTCATCAACAGGGCACTTATCAAACTGTCCTTCCATAGTAACTTAGTGTACTCTAAATTCGAAGCTTTCTTTAAGTTCACTATCTTTGGTAATTTCTTCAGATACTGACAATCAACTATAAATGTCTAACATACTTTTCAATCAAAGATTGTCACAAACATTTATGCTGAAATGTTAGATATAATGATCTTAGTTCATATTTTACTTGTACAGATGGAGTTATGGGCGAGATTATAATTTAGGAACGAACCAATCAGATATAAGATAACGAGTCATGAATTTTGGCTCGAAATTCATCTATACATTTAGCTAAATAGAGTTTTGGCATTATAGTCGATGTCAGTTGTGGTGTAAATCCTAAATTTAATTTTTAACTCTCATTTAGTCCTAATCAGTTAATGTCCACTCTCAAGATTATTTCAGTGTCGCTCAAAAGTCGTCTATAAATTATAGTCTCACTGAGTTATGAAATGAAGTCGTAAAAGAATTTATAATCACCAACATTGTACCTCTGTTATTTTTTTGAATTTGAATTTTTGAGAGAATTGAAATCTCTTAAGAATATCGAGAGTGTAAAAACCTCAAGTACCAAGTAGTGATACAGGCAACATAAGAATACTCAACTATCTATAAATATTCCACTAACCTATAATGAACATCAGTTTTTTGATCATCAATTCCAACACCTTTTACCCATCCTTTAACATAAATATCAGAACTTCTTTCAGAAGAGAATATTGAAGTGTCAGTGAGTTTACCTGGAAATTTTGAAGAAAAAAAAACCAAAGCAAAGATGCAATAAAATTTGAGAAAAAATTCCATTCTTAACTTAGTGAATATGAGATGAACACACAAATGAGAAGTATTGTTTTTAATTGAATTTTCATCAGGCTTACATTTAGAAGTATTTTTATGGATAATATGACAACAGTATAAAGCAATCAAGTCAATTTGTAAATTTATGATAATAATGAAACATTGTATAACTAATCATGTTGATTGAGTGATTTAAATATGAGGCGCTAGATAAGAGACCTTAAAGTCCTGAGTTCGATCTCAGATGCGGTAATCAGTAAGTATTGCTTATGAGTTCCATACTAGGATGAAATGGCTATTCAGTGTGTTTCTTCGTTTTTAGTGATTATATTACTAAAATCAGTCTTTGATTGAAATCATGAACCATCATTGAAAATCTGAAAACACTGGACGACCGTTTCGTCCTACCGTGGGACTCCTCAGCAGTGCGCATCCACGATTCTGCTCGTGGCCTTCGAACCCAGGGCCTTCAGTCTCGCGCGCAAATGCTTAACCTACTGGACCACTGAGCCGGCATCCAATGGTGTTAATGTCTAACCTCAAACAATCCAATCAATCTATAATATAAACGATGAAATACAGTAATCTTTGTAAACCGTACAGTAATTATTATACAACAATAAGTGGAAGGTACAAATCGATATTAACATGACAAATATAACTATGGTAATTGTAGCAAAACAATTTCAACAAGCATAATATATGAAATGTGGTTAGCAATGGGAACTAGAATATGCGTTTCATCCTATTTGAGACTTGTCAGCTGGATGTACCTGCAGTGAAAAATGGCTATATTCAGGCAATCTGTACAAGACTCATCTACTTCCAGTTCAAATATCAACAACGAGATAATACAATCCATCTCAAATTGAATTGAAATTTGAGTCAATGTTACAACATAACAAGTAGTTCAAAATCTGAAAATTAAAATAGCGGTCATTCGTGGCAAACGTTGCAAACTACGAAACTCACCTGTCTCAATAAACATATGGCACTAATAATAATTATGTGATTAAAGTTTATCAGGCATCACTCATTTACCCACTTAAGGTATTGAGATTTAGTTTTGAAATATCTCAAGCTGCTTGAAGTTACACCTGTGAACTATTGAGTGCAGGCTCAATAATTTGGTGGTTAAGTGCTCACGGTGAGACCTGGATCCCCGGAGACTCCATGAATGGATGGTTACCACGGAGGTGTCTAATATTAGAACGGAACGGTTTCCAATGGCTGTCTAAGGTCATTTTGTGAAGTAAACTATGAAACTTTTTGATGGAGTTTTATTCCCTGAGCTGGATGGTTTGGTCGTGGAGCTTCTGAAAGCCATCATCAGCACAAACTTCACGTAGAGGTGAAATGTTCTAATTCCTCCACATATGGCTGACACCTTGTCCTGTAGACCTCGATCCCGATTAGTTAACCAATCAGAATAACGATGAAAGCTCTACGAATAAACCATCTGGCTCAGAGAGCAAAACTCCATCAAAATCACCCACCTGAGCTACAAATCTTCCCCACCACCATGAAACTTTGTTTATGTTCATTTATGTCTGTTTTATCTACATTCACATATATGAAAAAAACCCATGAAATAATCAATTCATCTCATTCATAGTCTCTATCTATCATAACTTTTCGATACTGGACATGATGTCAGAGTGTTTATTACCAATAAATGTGCTATACTCTAAATCATTTCATTACGAAACATGCTACTACAGTCATAGGCCATGTTGTCATTAAACATCAGTGTAACTATCCCTGTCTTATTTAAAACGATATTAATAAAGATTATCTTAGTTTAATTAACTAATATAAAATAATTTACATCAGCTGTATTCCACACAATAACACGTAATTCATATCCAGCTGGTACACGTGGTGAAATATTTATAGCCGGTGGTGGAACAGCAACTTCTCTTTCAAACATATCAATCCACATTTGTAGTCGACCTTGAATTAAACCTGGATTATCGGGATGTTTTAAAGAACGTGTTTCCACATGTTCACTAACTAATTTCACATCTTTGTTTGTAATCAATGACCAATTATGTAATGCTTCTAAGGCCAATGGTTCTACTGATTTAACAGTTATACCTATAAAATTCAAGAAAATAGACTTAATAGTTAAAGAATTATCAAAGGTGATAAGTAGTATAGAGTACACTCTAGTTGCAAACTATTAAATTACGTAATGTTTTTAGTAAAATGAAAAAAACAAATCGTTGGTCTAAATGATACTCAATAATTGGGTTCTTTTATAAATAAAGTTAAGTACACGGATATAATTTAAGTGTTCTTCAACTGCATTAAGAAAGAGATTAATCCATACATGAAACTTGACAAAATTTCTGTCTAGTTATTCAACAACAAATGCAGGAGAGGATGACCAGTGTAGCAGCAGCCTCAGCAGCAGTAGGTCCCAACATACACAAAGGGAAAAGCAAGATTCTCCGATACAATACAGTATGCACCAATCCAGTCACAATTGACGGAGATGATTTGGAAGATGTAAAAACCTCTACACATTTGGGCAGCATCATTGATGAACATGGTGGATCTGATTCAAATATGAAGGCGCTGATCGGTAAAGCAAGATCAGTATATTTACAACTGAACAACATCTGAATCTCAAAACAACTGCCACCCAACACCAAGGTCAGGCTTTTCAATACAAATGTCAAGACAGTTCTACTGCATGGGGTGGGAATCTGCAGAACTACGAAAGCCATCATCCAGAAGATACAGGTGTTTATTAACAGTTGTCTACGCAAAACAAACCAGATCCCAGCGGAGGAAGAAATCGGGAAGAGTGGCTGGAAGTGGATAGGACACACATTGAGGAAAGCACCCAACTGCGTCACAAGACAAGCCCTCACATGGAATCCTCAAGGCCAAAGGAGAAGAGGAATACCAAATAACACATTACGCCGAGAAATGGAGACAGCCATGAGAAGAATGAACAAAAATTGGATAAAATTAGAAAGGAAGGCGTAGGACAGAGTGGTATGTAGAATGCTGGTCGGCGGCCTATGCTCCATTGGGAGTAACAGGAGCAAGTAAGTAAGCATTCATTTTTGATCTGGACAAACGTTTTTCTGTAAGAAGTTGACTTGGTGTTGTTTTACTTATACCTTCCCATTGTTATTTAGGATTGCAACTGATCAGTATCTTGTTGGCACATGGGTATTAGGACTCTGTAGCTATGTGGATAACGTGATGGCGTTTGAAGCGAATAATACTGGGTTCGAGCCCTGGAATGAATGTCAACTCTGAGATGCAGGTACATCCAGTTGACTAGTCCCAAATAGAATGAAATGCAAGTCATGGATTCTACTGCTAGCTACTATCAATCTTTGCTCAATAAGTTTCAGTAAATTCCAATACTCAGTGTGTTAACTGTCTTCTCTGAGCATTTTGGAAAGATCCATAAATTCTGATGAATTTTTTATAAAGCTCGGTTTGTGTATTGTAATTAGTGTGAATATATAACTTGATTGGTGTTTCCATTTTTTCATCGGTTAATGGTTTTCATAATTAAAAGTATTGTAGTTTAATAATTTTTCTAGTCATTACCATTGTGATATGTACTACTTATGTCGACATACATAAGTAGTATGTAACACCAATCATACATGAAATGCTTGTCAAAAGAAGGTTGAGAAGATTGAACTGAAGAAAACAGTAAGAGGAACATAAAGCAAGTGGGAATTGGCAGAATTATGAAGGATGTAAAGGACAATTGATGGTTGATGTGCGAATAAAATATTTAATGTATGGTTTTCACATTTTACCAAAGTACTAAACAATAAAATGGCTTTCTCCACCTAAGTATTCGTTTACATCATGAATTTTCAGTATTTAAACATTACGTGAGTGGAGTCATAAATTAACACACTCAGTATGTAGTTATGGCCCCTAATTCATAAATAAGGCGGATGAATTTTATGGGAGGTCTCAGATGTTAACGAGAATCCACGAAGAATTTTTACGTAAAAAGGGATCTTCTTAGACTAAACAACTAAAACCCTATTAATGTTATTTTACAATGATCAACGTAATGTATATATACTGACAGACAGAAGTGTACTACGTAGGATCTAAAACTACCTTAAACGTATTTACGCCTCTTAATATATCTCATTCCACTAATGAAATTATAGGAATATTAAGTGTTTAGTCATCATTAATTCCTGAGCCTCGTCATTCAACTTCCTTTCCAGGAGATATTTAACGTTGATACCGTTCCCAATGAACTAAAAACAGTCGAACATACGACACAACCTGGTACATGTATAACGATAAACTTATCATAGTAATAATCGCTGTTATTCTTTTGTGTTCTCTGTTTCCGTTTTCTTTTCTCGTAATTATTTCTACCAATTTCAATGTTTACTGTTAGGTCAGTGAAATAACATTGACCACAACTCAGATTTTTCTAAGCCTCAAGGCCAACACTAGTCAACCGTCAGCATTCATGTAAAGATTTCAAATGAAAATTTGAAGTGACTTGAGTAAACTTTTCTAATTTCTCATTGACGTGATTACACGAAGTCATTCATTAGTTGGTTGATAGCCTGTATTTTGTAATAGGATAGGATGGAAACCATGTTATTGCCAATATTCACTTTACTAAATGATTGTATTGTAATAATGGGTTTATCAGTAACTAGTTTAAAAACACATTTGTAGAACATGACCGTTTTCTCAATTATTTTCGTCATTTTGATCATTGAACACGGATTATTCATTTCAAAGTAGTTACGATTAAGCTTAACGCTACTTGTTAGTAACATAAAATTTAAAGCTAAAATAATTTCCAACCTACCAGTTTCATTTCGAATTTCTGTATTAGCAAAAAATGATTCATTGCCTATGGTGATTTTATTCTCTAATATATTATAAACAGGCTGCTCAATACCATATTTTTCACATAGCTTAGCTAATATTTCCGTCGGTTGTTGACTGTCTTTCCACTGACAATAGCCATGACTAAAATTTTCAAAGAATAGTATAAGGTAAGGTATCACAAAAATCTGAAGAGCTTATTGAGAAACACTGATTTTCGATTTAAATTTCACTAATAGACTAGGTCTGATGTATTAACGACTGAAACGGGTCAGTAGTTTCGTCTGAATTTGTCGGAAACAGTAAATGATCTTAAGATAGAGGAAGTCTGTGGTTTGCGTCTATCGGTTTTTGAATGTGTGGTTCACGTGAAGGCGTTGTCTGTCTTTATTGATATGTATAATTTCAATATCTAACCCCTACAGCTTAACACAACCATATAAAATTAGTCTAACTTGATGTGTTACTCTTTAATCATTAAGTGAATTACGTACCTACGTCTTCATTGTATTTTTAAAGCGTTAATGCCACTGAGAAACCCTAGCGGTCAAAATCGGTAAATTCTTAGCATTTTATTTTCATAATAATACTGTATTTCCAGGAATCTTGAGTCTCATAAATATTAACTGTGTTAAAGTATTTATACATATTAAACAACGTATTTGATGTGAATGATGTTCAGTGTTTGGAGGTAGTCTGTAGGAAATCCTGGAAGTGGGTTTCATGCTAGTCGATATTCGCCAGCAAGTATACGTGAAATTCGAACTCATATTACCCAACTCGACAATCTGAAATTTCATCACCCAGCTATTCCGGAAGTAATTAACCTTCTGTTAAAATAAAATATTTACATTTGACTAACCACTAAATGAACTCCGCCTGGAGCCCCTCCGGAGGCTACTGCCGGTCCTAAACTCGGATAAAAGAGGAAGGTTGGTCCTGAGGTTAACAACCCCATCCCGTAGAAAACTAACTCGCTAAAAAAACGCTAACCAGAAATCACTAAATGGCGACCAGTGTTGTGTTTTCCCAACTCCCATTTAGAAATAGATATTCACTATGTGCATGTTATAATGTAATTATGCTGAGAATTCCACATTGTACTAGAGATAAAATACTGAATGGAGCGATTGTTGTTACTATTATTGTTCTTATCAATGTTTTTATTGTTACAGTTATTTTAGTTAATAAATATGTGCAGTTCAGTAACAGCTTACTACTTCGTGTATTCAGCTTTTGATCTATAATTTTGTTTGAGAAGTAGTGATATCAGCTATTTATTAATCACCTAAACGCATCTCCAAACACTACCTTGCGCGGCTTTTAAAGGAGAATACAAAACAGTTACCATTTCAGTACAAGAGCATCTAATCAACTCTGAATACATCGTTCCAAAGGAGTCTTCCTTCAAGATAATCTACGCAATCAAAGGAACTAGATAGAATGAAGGTCGAATCAAAAACTTATGCACTGCTGAGGCGTTGGCGATCCACCAATTCAAGCCCGAATTCTTTGCAACCTCTCATACTTCCTTGGCCCTAATTCTCTTCTGTAGTATGCCTTGGTCTTGCTTTATTTTAAATTATTGTTTTGTAACCTTAAACCAAATTTAATTATTATTATGATTTTATGTTCTGCATTTTTCTTTGAATCTGTCAAGTGGACAATTATCTTTCATAATTCTGACCCGTAAATTATTTTCATCCTTCCATTCTTCTCTAACCCCTCGATCATTGGGTAACCTCACTTGGTAATTGGAGTCTCGAACCAACTTATGATGCAATCTTTTCTATCCTTCTATAGACTCATATATTAACCCTACAACAATAAATACTAATGTACAGCTTAACTAAATGATTTCGTCAAAATGAGAGTTTTCTTTGCTGAATTCTATTCATTTTTACTCAATGACAAAATGGGTTATTTTAACTAATTGTAGAAAGTTAAAGATTAATTAATTATTTAATACCTGAATTCATGAGTCGATTAAAGCTCGACCATCATGGAAAACGTGGAAGTACCGGACAGCCGTTTCGTCCTACTATGGAACACTTCATCAGTAAACATTCACGATCGCACTCGCGGAATTCGTACCCAGGACCCTTGGTTTCGTTGAAGAGTCCCATACTAAGGACGAAACGACCTTCCAGTACTTCCATGGCGGTCTAGCTTTAATCGACTCATAAATTCAAATATTAAATTAATACACTCTCCATAAAACCCCCTTTCTGATAACAAATCATTGTTAAACTAATAATAAGTTTATATCACATTATAAATGAAAACTAATATTTATAAAAGAAAGAGAACTTACGCATAATATTTAGGCATTAATCCACAAGTAGCACGATGAGCACTATGGAAACGATTTTCAATATCAATATGTGTTTCTCCAATCAATGTATCGGCTCCAACCCTTTCATGATCCATCATCTTAGTCAAGAACAAAAAGAAAACATTTGTCATAAGTTTCGATTTTATTATCCGATCAGTAATAAACTTTCATTTCTCATCAACATGAATTATAGATTGAATGAATTGAAGTAGAAAGAAAGATGGATCTTATTTTAAAATGATCTCTTATTAAAGTCTATCCTAAAAAAAGGAAACATATCTCAAGCGAATAAGATGCTGATCATTTGGAGCAAACGTTTGAGTTGATAATGCTGTCTAGAAAGACAATGAAAGCTCTAAGATTAAACCACCTAGCTCAAAGAGGGCATTTTCACCAAAACAGGAACACAATAAATGCTTCATAGCAACTTAAAAATCTAAACTTGTTATACAGAGTATTATAATCAATAATCATGGTTGTTGGGGGTGTCCCAAAATATCCTTTTGTTCAAATCCTTAGAGGAGAAAAAACGCCAGGGAATGGTTTATTCAATCAATGTTGAATAGAATCTTCTCAGAAATCTCTAGAAAATACAGAATCACATGCCACGATTTCGATTGGTTATTTACCCTTAATACTACCATATCAAGTATGGTCCTAGAAATTATCAGAAGCTTAAGATCGTGTGTAACTTTATAAATACCATCGTTCTTCTATACATCAACTAACCTTGAAGTAAAGCTTTTACTCGAAATTCATGCCGTTTTTTCTAATGTTCCAGCTGGAGTGTAGGAGTAGTTGGAGTGATCGAAGTTGACTAGAGCCACAGTTTATTTATATCGGTAGCAAGGCTTATAAACAATAACCATAGTACACAAATGTAAATAATAATAATAATGAATAATTCATATCAATTCACCTGTATACTAAGTAAAGAATCCATTGGTAAATGTGCTACAAATTCATAATATTTTCCAAATACCGGATTTAATGTTTTCGGTTTATAATCATCACGATCATTAATAACACATTTACCCAATGATACAATCAAATATGGATCAGATTTGCCATTTGGATCGGTTGGATGTAATTTAATTGCCTTATTAAAAAAAATTTTAAAAAAACTTTGAAAACAACAGAGTTGAAATAGAAATATTTGAATGTATAATCAGTGATCTAGAGGTTAAGTGCTCGTGCGCGAGACCGTTAGGTCCTGGGTTCGAGTCTGGCGAGGCGTGATCGTGGATGCGCACTGCTGAGGAGTCCCACAATAGGACGAAGTGACTGTCCAGCACTCCCAGGTTTTCTATAGTGGTTTAACTTCGATTGACTCATGATCTCAACCATTGAAATTGGTATGATTAATTCGTTTAAACAAGAGAGAATATATATGTATTTAATCAAATATTGTTATATACACGTTGGAAATCTTACGATTAGCTTAAATTTAACTGCTATTTGATATTTAGGTTATTGAATTATATTAGTGATAAGCATTGATATTGTATGATGAAGCTACAGTCTAAACAACCATATATCTTCTAGATAAATATATTTTATGTAATTGTAGCTAGTGTGGAAAGTGAGAGTGGATAGTTGTTGGCTAGACAAACTTTCACGGAGATCAATGCTGAAGATATGACATCTTAGTTGATATTGGGAATCAAAAGTACATTCTAGACTATGAAGGTTGGTTGTTATCAAACAAAAGATATTAGCTTCGAAATGATGACAATATTAACAAATTTAATCCTATTTGAAAGATAAATGAACTAGTTATATTTAGTAACCGAGAGAAGAAAATGATGCATATAGAAGGAATTGAATCCATATCACTCAGTGACAGTTAGAGATGTTATTACTGACACTAATGAATCATTTATCCTATAGCAGATCAATCATGACTGTAATAGATCAAGTAGTGATGTCCCTAACTGTCAACACGATTTCATCCACTATTTCGAGATAAAATATCTATGCCTATTATTGCGCTGAAATATATAAATTGCTCAATAATACACTATCAAAAAGATATTGAAGTACATAATCCACGTTACTAATAAATAATTGCAGTAGTAATAAGTATTCGGATTTTAGAGAACCGGAGTTTTATTTTCAAAAGAAATTTGTATATTTGCTTCTAATACCGTGAACAGCTTTACATTTAATATACCAATAGTTATCATATGCTCACTAGTGACGGTCTCCAAGAGGTATTTCCTGGAGTTATAGCGAGAAACAATGTCCAGTGAAGTTCATTTGGGTCTCTTGTGAAATAATAACTCACTGGTGATAATGGTGGATGTGTCGCTCAATTTCGTGGGTTAGTTGGAGTTAAACATTAACACCGTTGAATGGCAGCTCAGTGATCTAGTGTTTAAGCGCTCGTGCGAGAGAATGATAGGTCCTGGGTTTGGATCTCGCGGGGTGAGACGAGTCTCGTACCAGGATGGGACGGCCATCCAATGATCCCGGGTTTTCTGTCGTGGTCTAGCTTCGAATGACATATGAATTCAACTATTAAAATAGTCATTTTATTTATAAGAAAATCTGATTTGATCAATATACATGCAACTTCCTTCTTCGTATTTTCACAGATTTGTTCCTTTTTATTCACATATTATACTCATTACTATTCACGTATCTGTTCATTATTATTATTATTATTCTTATTCTTCTTCTTATTATTATTATAAGCTTCATTCAACATTATAGTTTTGGTACAATATAGAATTCTCAGCACAGAGTATTTCGACAAGTCTCCTTTCCTTAATTTTTCATCTATCCTGACGATAAACATAGAATGACCACCAGCTAGATGTTAGCAGTTTAGGAAATGACATCTGAATAATGTTCATTCTTTCAATGCATATTGCCAGTAATCACGATGTCTCTGATTGTACCTCTTTAGTAACTTGTACAAAAGAAGGTCATAAACTATTCCCAAACGCGCCTTGAATAGGTTATGCGATTAATAAACATAATGATGTGTTAAAACAAACAAACGAAACAACTTATTCACATATCTAGATGACAGAAACAGGTATAGCCCAGATATTCAAGGAGGCCGCCAATATCTGATATGATGTATGGTTCAATTATTATTTCTCTTAACCTATACTTACTTACTTACTTACGCCTGTTACCCACAATGGAGCATAGGCCACCGACCAACATTCTCTAACCCACTCCGTCCTGGGCTTTCCTTTCCAATTCTATCCAATTTTTGTTCATTTTTCTCATGTCTGTCTCTTAATCTATGGTATCTCTATATTTATTTTGATGATATCTCTCATAATTTATTCCATTTACTATTTCATACTAAACAAGTCATCATTGATAATTTTATTCACTTGTGATAACAGTCCTGTAGCTAAGTAAATAAGTGGATAACGCGATAGCGTTTGAAGTGAACGGTGCTGAGTTCGAGTCCCAGAGTGAACATCAACTCTAAGATACAGGTTCGTCCAGCTGACAAGTCCCAAATAGGATGGGACGCGTGTCCTGGATTCCACTGCTAGCCCTTATCCATCTTTGCTCAGAATCCTGTTTTTATATGTTGTCATTTTAAATGATGTATCCACCTTAAACTTGAATTCCTTTATGGAATATTAGTTTGCGTTTACAACACTGTAAAGCTGGATAAGAATTTATTTTTACAAAAACTTTTTTTCATTCCATCTACATATTTCTCAATAGTTGAAATCATGAGTCAATTGAAGCTCGATTACCATGAAAAACCTAGAAGCACTGGAAGGCCGTTTCGTCCTAGTATGGGACTCCTCATATTTCTGTTTTAATGACATTGAAACTTCTTTTAAAAAGTTTAAGATATATTGTAATCAACGGATTGTGGAAATCATACATTGAATACTTCATTTGCGAATCCTCCATCAATTGTCTCAATCTTCATCGTTGCTATTACAATTACTGTTTGTTCCCATTCTCTTCAATTCGATCTCCTTAACTTTCTGTTGACAAGTGTTCCACTTCTGACTAGTGTTACATACTACTTATATCGACAGATATAAGTAGCATACACACAATATTACTGTATATATTATAATACTATGATTATGTTAAGAATTTAAAATGATATGTTTCAATGGTTTTTCACACTTACTCGTATAACATATAGTCGTACAGTTAATTTGAACTTTGCTTTAATTGGCAATGTCTTATATAACTTTAATTGTGACATTTCAGTTGGTAAAGGTTCATCATCATTCACCGGATATATGACTAAATTACCCTGAACATTGAAAATCAAATAAATGTAAATATTACGAATAAGAAATCCATACAATACATAAACAATGATCAGTGAAATATCTTGAACTTAACCCTGTACAACTTCATTTATCAATTTATATAAGTAGAATTATTGTTTATACAAAATTGTCATTTCGCCTGTTTTTACAGTTTTACTAGTTCTGATGGTTAGTCTACATCACAAACAGGCCATGACTGAATAGTGATTGAGAATCTGAAAGTATTGGATAGCTATTTGGTCCTAGTATGAGACACCTCAGAAGTAGACATCCACGATCACGCTCGAAAGTAAACCTTGGCAACTCAAGTCTTGCAATGAGTGTTTGATGGTTAGACCAATGATTTCGAATCAGATGGTTTTTTACATTTCGAACGTCAATTAATTTGTGTTAGTGTTCAGTCATTATCCGATAATATTGGTTAGTGAATAACTTAAACTGGACACTAGTGAACTACACTGGTCAAGACTCCTCAATAGAAATCCGAGAATTACTACTCTAAATTTCTTGATGTGTCAAGTATAACTTGAGAACTCAAACGCTAGAACCCTCTCAAGTCACAAATTAGAAGATAGAAGACAAGTGAAAGGAACGTTATTCCAAACAATGTCAATTATAGTACAAAACTGTTAGGTATTTATAGTTTTTAGTAAAAACGAAATCAGCATTATAGTTATCCAATCCACATACAAGGGGTTATTAGCATTCGTCTAATAGGAAAGCTACACGCAGGGATTCTGAGATATTCTTCCAAAAGACGATTAGACGGAATGTCTTCGGCTCTTTCTGAGCTTCTTAGAGCTTACTCGAGTTCGCCCATAGACCATCCTCACAATAATATTTTGTTGAATATAACATAAACTCTTTAAGTAATATTTCTTCCGTTTATCAATGTTATTAACTATGGTTTGATTACCCAACAGTATGTAAACCTTTAGAACGTTTTAATACGAACCAGTGAATCTATGCTCCATATTTTCATCGGTCTTAACAACACCATGAAAGAAAATCACCTTAAGGTCACCTATTTAGGATCTTTAAAGGTCTTGAAGGGCTTCAAGTGTTGCTGAATAAGTTGATATAATTAGTATAGGTAATGGTCAATTTAGTCATTTACATATCTAACATTCTTAGTAATTGGATTTGTTTATCTATTGGACAGACTATGTAAGCTTTAAATAATTTTAATTTCACAAAATGTTATAAATATACAAACAAGCTTTTTCAAATTAAAACACTTATTCTACTCACAATTCTGAGGAATGACAGATTAACAGTTTGTTATCCACTAAAACTTACTTGCTTTATAGCATCTAAACAATAAATTGATGAAAACGGGTTATGAAATTCAATTCGAAGTGAGAACCGGACTCACAACAAGGCTACCTACTCTCCCCCTTTCTCTTTCTTATAGTGGTTGATTGGATTATGAAGACCTCCATATTTGACAGGAAGCACGGAATACAATTGAAAGGTTGTATGCAACTAGACTATTTGGACTTCGCAGATCACCAAGCTCTTCGATTCAATACACATACACTAACGAATGCAGGTCAAGATTAACAATGTAGCAGCAGCAGCCTCTACAACAGTAGGCTTCAACATACACAAAGGAAAACACAACATCATCAAATTCAACACAGAGAACACCAACGCAAGCACACTTGATAAAGAAATTCTGGAACAGATGGAAACTTTCATATACCTGGACAGCAGAATCATCGATAAACGAGGAGGATCTGATATAGACATAAAATCAAGGATTACCATTGCAAGGACAGCATTCCTGCAGTTGAAGAACATATAGGACTCAAAACAATTGTCTGTCAACCAATATCAGATTCAGAATCTTCATTACGAACTCAAGACAGTCCTACTGTATGGAGCTGAAACTAGGAGAACTACCACATTCATCATCAAAAAAGTACAAGTATATCTAAACAATTATCTTTGCAAGATATTGAACGTCCGTTGTTGGCCGAATGCCATCAACAACAGCCTACTGTGGAAGAGAACAAACCAGCTTCCAGCTGAAGAGAAAATTAGGAAGAGACATTGAAAGTGAATAGGACACACATTGAGGAAATCACCAAACTGGATCACGAAGCAAGCGCTAACTTGGAATCATAAAGGGAAACAGAAACGAGGAAGGCCAAAGAGCACACTGCTTTGGGAATCAGAAACAGACACGAAAAGGATCAGTAGCAACTGGAATGGATTGTCGAGAATGCTGATAGTCGGTCTATGCTCCTCCATGAAGGGTAACAGACGTAAGAAATTAAGTAAGTAATTAAGTAATTCTGACGTACTGTTTACTCGCACTAAAAAATGTTACCTTGAAAAATCCTGTAATACGACTTTCAGATGCATGATCTTCCAATTGTTTTCCTTTGTAAAACGGAAGATTTAGAAAAGGTGAATTAAAACCATTGAAATCTGGAACTTCTTCAAGTGCCACTGGATACACCTTATTTTTCAAGTAAAAAAATAAGAGAATGAAAAAAAAAATTTTCCATATTTCATTAAATTAGCAGAATATTAATTTTTGTTTGAAAGTGGAATAGGAATTTAATTTTGAAGCAAGTGAATAATTTTCGGTTGGTCAGGTCTTGTTAGCTAGATGATTTTATGATAACTGCTCACTGCATTTGACCTGTGAAGGGGTAGTGGGTGTTCACTGCTAAGGTGTTCCATACCAGGACGAAATAACTGTCCAGTATTACATGGTTTCCGGTAGTACTCCATCTGAGATCAATGTGTGGTGAATATGACATGCAGATTGTAAAATGGTTTAGTAAACCGCATTTCTAAAGAATTTATCTAGAATCATAACGAAAGGTTCGCAAGTAATCCATTCAGTCTAATGGGTGTAACACCAGAAAAATTATCAAATCCTGGTCAATAATACTGAAAGTTTACAGCATCTATCAAACCGGTAAGATGTATGGATATGGTGCTATTTTAAGGTTATATATCTCTTCAAAACACTGGTTCGACGAGTGATGTTGAAGTTAGACATGAAATACTAAGCAAGAATGATAAATCCACTGATGATACTAGAAATTTCCGTCTAATAAGATAGTCCGGGTTTGTCTCGCTTTCTCATTCATTACCTATTCCGATAAACTATGGTGCCTGGAAATATATATTTGTTTAAAGTGTTTTCTGAAATGCGGCTATTCGAGATGTTATCAGTATAATAATCATTATCTAGTCCTAAAGACATCGAGTGTTATGTTCACCTGGTGTTGTTTCACTTGCATCTTCCCACTGTCATTTAGGATTGCAAATGATCAGTCTCATGTTGGCATACATACATCCTGTACGGATTGCCTCGATATAGCCTTAATTAATAAGGTTTTTAAGCAAAGATGGATAGTGGCTAGCAGTGGGATCCAGAACGCGCGTTTCGTCATATTTGGGACTAGTCAGCTGGATGTACCTGCATACCAGAGTTAGTGCTCACCCCTGGACTCGAACTCAGTACCGTTCAGCTCCAAACCCCATCGCGTTATCCACTTAGCTACTGAGTCCTGATAGCTACCTGCTTGTGCAACGGGGAGTGAACATTAACTCTAAGGTGCAAGTACATCCAGCTGGCTAGTCCTGGATTCCACTGCTAGCCACTATCCATCTTTGATTGAGTGTTACGTTTCATAATTAACAACAGTGTTGTAGTGACCTACTTTTACCAACAGAACACGATTGGTTTAATGGAAACAGTTATTATTATAACCAACTGTACCAGTGATTGTTTCGCCGTGCTTGTTTGTTTAACTGTACCAAAATACATACATTCTTCCTTTGATTGTGACCTGGGACGGATTCGGCTACGCTGAGTAACCACACCTGTACTCCTTTGGCACGATCTCGGTATTCTTTCGATACCACGAGATCGCCAACAAATATATCTCGCTACAACCTCCAATCGCCTTATTATATCTGGTATGCAACTTTCTTGTAGTGGTGATCATAGTGAACCACGACTAGACGCCACACTACAGTGTTATAGAAACAATCGTACACAATCTCCATTTTTATACTTCAATAAATTGCACTTCGACTTCAGTACTGTTGTCACTTTACATTTGGCAACGAACGTATTGATTTTTGTCAGCTTAAGTCTTTTATGAGTATTATGATGATATGCAACAGTTTTAGTTCATACGAAAGTAATCTCTTCTCAATTCATGTCACCTATCAATGTATCATTGACTTGAAATCTGTTAATCATCCAAAGTTAAGTAAGAAACTTATTTCAGTTCTATATCCTGGACTACATGAATTTTCCATTATTTTAAACATAATGAACGTATTCGAGTACATTTTCATCATAATCTTATCGACATTAAAAAAACAAACTTACCAGTATTGTTTCTACCCAACTTTGATCTTCATGAGTTTCAACATCATAGTTTAAATCAATAAATTCTCTTAAAAATAATCCTTTCGAATCGATCTAAGAATATAAAACAATAAACTAGTCTAAATGCATGTACATGCAACTGTGTAAAGTCGTTAAGTACACCAAACATCAAGATCTGACATAATTTGTAAATTGCATACGAAAATTGAACTATTATAAGTAACTATTTTTTACTAATTAAAATATCTTATCCTTGAGTGCAGGATTGTTGATGGGCAATATTGAGGAGTTCCATACTTGCTGAAGACAATAGAAGATGGTCACACAATATCGTTAGACGCTAACTCCGTTGCATGTCGTCTCAGTGTTTAAGAGTCCAAGTGTTCGCGTACGAAACTGAAGATCACATATTCGATTCCTACGTGTTGAGTCATGAATCCTTACTGTGAAGGAGTCCCATATAGTTGAACAAAACGGCCATCCAATGCTTCCAGATTTTCAGTGGTGGTCTAACTTATATTGGTTCAAGATTTCAGTAAAACTCAGCAAGCCCCTTAGCCCTACACTGACGAATTTCTGATGATCTGAAAATTTGAACTATGGTGTTTACACGAAAAATGTAGAATGAATTGTGGAAAGTATATCACAGTCACTTACTATATTAATTAATGGGTGAATTTGGGGATATTTTTGGTAGGTAAACAAGTTCTGAATTCCATGAGAATAAGCTTATTTATTTACATATAAAGCTGTTTAATTTAGTTAGCCGAATTACATAGACTAGTGGGCATACTGAAACTTGGTCGATACAGTTTTATCTGTACTAAAGATAAGACATAAATGGCATAACACTTGACCAACTATCTACGGAAAAAGATCAAGAATTGACAGAAATGACTGTTGCCAAAAACCCAAACAATCAAGTTTGAGTTAATGAACGAAACCAAGTTGACAAAATTATGTGAGGCCCGACCATGGGAATGAATAATAGCCCATTTAAGATTCAGACACACTAAATGTATGTTCTTAAGAAAGTATATGTTCTGTCCAACTTTGAGAAGCATGTCAAGAAGTCATTTAAAATAGTTTGCAATTTTATCATATAGACACCATTTTGAAAGAAAAACTTTGTTGGAATTGATTAGAAAAGAATGTACTGAACAGAAATGATAATAATTGGATGAATAGTGCCGAAGCATAACTTTGAAACTGTTATATAAATTATTATTAGTATACTCTTAGGATATTGTATTTTTATATTCTCCTACTTCTAAGCATCCATTTGGCCCATAAATCGTTGTTTTATTCTGCGAGTGCATTTTGTGCTTGTTTTGATAGCATCAATGCAACTCCTTGTGTATGTGCAGCATTTTCTTCTTCATGGCCAGAGTATAACAGAAGCTCCTTCGAAGCTAGTCGTTGATGTTCAACTTGCATCCAATGTGTCTCACTGGTCTCAAGCACCTTCAGGTTGTATCTCATCATTTCTGCAGCAATTTGAGAGACTCTCACGGTCTCCTACATTGTACGAGCAATCCACGTATCTAAGTAAACGGTTGCTCTGGTTGTCAAAAAAGGCATCAGCCTCGTGGCTTCTGAAGGAACTCGGCTTTCATCATGAGGCGTCATAACTCTTCTAAGTGAAGACCTTCTGACTCTCACGGCAGAGTTTAAGTGGTTTGAATATTTTTTTCTGGTTAGCGTTTTTTGAGCGAGTTGGTTTCCTACAGGATGGGGTCGCTAACCCCATGTCCAACCCACCTCGTCATCCGGGTTTGGAACCGGCAGCAGCCCCAGAGCGGCTCCAGACGAAGTTTTTATTCTACGAGATTTATCATTAATTATTTTTTTATTACTCCGGTTTGTATTAATTATGACTAAGTTATGCACACACTGTAATTCTCAAATTGTATTCCTGTGTGGTAAGACATTTGAAGCATATTATTGTATGAGTCTTGAGTTATAATTGAGTATAATATATTAGAGAACTAATCGACTTTCTATGTTCGTCTTTTGACTAGAGACTAAGTTAAAAGTATCTCGAAGAGTAATATGTGTTCACGTCTTTATTATTATTATTATTCATTGGTTTCTATGTCGTTCGGTTAATAAGTAACTGGTCCTACTAACACTATAATCAAACTAATCAAATAGTCAGACTAAAATGATCATACGTTTATTTTCTTATCCTCGTTGCCTGATTACACCTGAGACACAATATAACCAAGTATCTGTTTACATTCCTGACATCATAACAAATATTATCGATCATTCAACATGGAACATAAAGTTATATAACATAGTAACAAACAAACAGGCATTCAAATCTGTTTTCTTTAACAAAAAAAAAGTATCCCTTACAAATCTTGCTTTAATTTTAGCTTTTAAATTTTTTTTGTTTTTTTTTCTTTTTTCAATTCTAGCTCTACGTTTTGCAATCTCCAATTGACGTTTTTGTAAAGCGGTTAATTTTTTCTTTTCAGCTTTATGAGTTCGTTGCCAACATTTCTTTTTAATTTATAATTTAAATGATTTAATTTTGTACCAGTACCAGTTGTCATATCAATTTCCTCTATGAAATGTTTAATAGAAGACAAAAAAAGAAAAGAGAATGAAATGAATTTAGATTGATAAGAAATACTTTTTTTAATATCTGTTGACATGTATTAGGTTCTATGGTGTGTGTGTGTGTGCTACTCATATCGACATAAGTAGTATATGATGTTAGTCAGCAACAGAATGTCTGGCAGGGGAGAGACAAGAGGATTGAACAGTAAAGAATAGCAACAGAACGTAATTTGTATGAAAATGCAGAGACAATGAAGTCTGTTTAATTTTGAGACAAGTGATGGGGATTTTGCAAATTGAGCACTTACTATACGATTGTTAGAATTTATTAACAAGCTACTAATATGTCCCGATAAGAATAGTGTATGGTGACTTTTGGGATTCATTTATCGATTAATACTATGTGTATATCAACAAGGGCGGCCTACTTGAGCATCTGGGCTACCTGTTCCTGCCATCTAGATATTTCAACAAGTTATCTATTTTTGTTTGTTTTAATATATCATTATGTTTATTAATCACATGACCTATTCTGCTGCGTTTCTGAAAAGTGTACAACCTTTCCTTGTCAAAATTAAAAAAAAAAACTCAATACGAGCCAACGTGGTTGCTGGTAATATACAGCAAAAAGGATGCACATTATTCAGATGTTCATTTACTGAACTGCTAACATCTAAGTGGCGATCACTCAATATTTATCGTCAGGACCGACCAAGAAGAAAGAAACGGAAACTTGTTGAAATACTTTGTGCTGATAATTCTATATTGTACCAAAAATATAATATTGAATAAAGCTGAAAATAATAATAATAATACTTCTATCGTATAATTGTTAAGTAACTAAACTATTCATATTCATGTCCCTCTTATTATGATCTTTATTTTGACCTATGAGCTATTATTATACGATTTACCATTCTTGAATTATACCCTGTCTATCAATTACTATCTCTCTTATTCACAGCCACATTTGGCCAGATCTTGTACAAATGTTGTTTCCTATTTTATGATACGATGTGGTCTGTCTGGTTGGTATATTAACCGAGTATGTTTGAAATAAATGATTCATATCGCAGAGTCTGAGTATGGTGTTCTGGACTCAACTGGCTGAGCTAGGCGGAAATCAGGACCAATCAAGACTCTAGAGTGCTCTCACGTGTTTTACGCGTCTTTGGTCCAATCGATAAGTCACTGCTCTCTAATTGACAGTATCATCACGTTATACATTAACAGGGCACATAGGCTACAAGTTATAACAGATACCGAACCCAGGACATATCAGTCTCGCGTGTGAGCGCATAACCTCTAGACCACTGAATCGGCATCCAACGAAGTTAACGTCTAACTTCAACCAATGCACGAAATTGAGCGGCACAAACACTATTGTCTTTAGTGAGTTGCCATCTCACAACAGAACTGTTTGAAGTCCAATGGTCATAGCTTCTCACTAGAACTTCAGGAAATACTTCTTGGAGACCGTCACTAGTAAGCATATGATGATTATTATCAGAAGGGATTTTTTTGATCGATTAGTTATGATCTTTACAGCTATATGCTTTCATTATTATAGCTAGATGGATGAAAACTTACTTGATTTGAAGGTGGATTACATCATTAGCTTATATCACTGAAAACTATAGAACATTGTTGAAAACGAGCACATTACAATGAAGTATACGTTTGTTCATGAATATTTTGTGATTCTTACAGTTAGTTTTAACTTCTGGAAAACAATATTGAATGTTTTTTTCCAATCAAGGGTTGTTTTACGTATGGTGTTATTATCCATTGAATAAATGCTGTGGTTTATAGCTTAATACATAAACACACACTACATTTTCAGATAATGTACATGAGAAGCTTGAGACAATTATCTAATTTTAAACATAACTGACTTTAACTGAAAGTTAACTGAGAACTATAGGGTACTAATAAAGCGTCTGTAATTAATATGAACCAGTTGTTCTGTTCTGTATGATGTTCAATGAATTGTTTTACTGTCCATTAAGAGATTAATGGCTATTACTGATTCGATAAGTTACTGAACTTCAAGTTTCTTGAACCAGTTCAGTAGTGAACAATAAAAAAATATCTTAAAAGCCTAGCATAAACTATTCAACTGAGGAGAATCCTTTTCAAAAAGTTGATAAGTCTTGCTAATTGAACGCTATGTTCGGTTCCTAAGCTATTCTCGTAACCCCTAAGCTAAAATTACACAGCGACCTGAACACGAGAGAAAAGGCGCAATTAAACGAGAAGCACTGTACTCCAAAGGTTCGTTCTAGTTCAGAAAATATAGGGTTTTTATAATATTTTAGATATCCTTGGGTTTCCTCAAGATTCTGGAATGCTATTAAACATAGTATCAGTATAGTAATCAGCCAATCAGAAACTCTACATGTGGCTTTTCACTTTCTTGATGTTTCTGGCTAAACTTCAAGTGAACCCTGATTGAATAAAATGCTTCTTAGTGTTTCCTGAACCTTTTTTGTCTTCAGCAAGAAGTTTTCTGGATCATCTTAACAAAAGTTTACCGATCAAAAAATACCCTGATGCTATGCTAAGAATAATTTTTTTCTGGTTAGCGCCTTTTTAGCGACATTTGAATTGAAAATCCTGACCAACCAACACCAAGGTCAGGATTTTCAATACAAATGTCAAAACAGTTCTACTGTATGGGGCAGAAACCTGGAGAACAACGAAAGCCATCATCCAGAAAATACAGGTGTTTATTAACAGTTGTCTACGCAAAATACTTCGGATCCGTTGACCAGACACTATTAACAACAACCAACTGCCGGAGAGGAAAAACCAGAATCTAGCGGAGGAAGAAATTAGGAAGAAGCTCTGGAAGTGGATAGGACATACATTGAGGAAAGTACCCAACTGTGTCACAATGCAAGCCCTCATATGGAATCCTCAAGGCCAAAGGAAAAGAGGAAGATCAAAGAACACATTGCGCCGGGAAATGGAGGTGTACATGAGAAAAATGAACAAGAATTGGATGGAATTAGAAAAGAAGGCCCAGGACAGAGTGAGTTGGAGAATGCTGGTCGGCGGCTATGCTCCATTGGGAGTAACAGGCGTAAGTAAGAAAGTAAGTATGCTAAGAGTTTTCTTATTGAGATATGTATAATTGATTTGATTCTTTTAATTTCCGATAGAATATTTTCACTTTAATACAAATCATAATAATAATAAAGTAAAACCTTTATCTTTCACTCAGATAGTCAAATAAATTAAAAAGCTATTCTACAATAATCATAAATTGGTAACAAACCTTCTGAGTCTTTCTCTGATTTTACATCAATTTTCTCTAGTTTCTCTTCAATATCACTATCTTCTGATTCAGTTAATGGATTAACTTCACCCTAGAATAAATCAATAAAGAATTCTAATTACATTGAATAAGTCATGTATTTATGTTTGATATAAATCAAAGTGATAGAAATTGTTAACACGGAATTAAGATATCATTGGATATAGAAGGTTATTTTCTATGAATAATAAATATCTCGCGAGTGGGATCGTGGATGTGCATTGCTGAAGAGTCCCACAATAGGACGAAACGGCCGTCTAGTACTTCTAGGTTTTCAATGGTGGTCTAACATCAATCGGTTCGTGATCTCAATCAAAACTTAACAATCTCCAAAGCCCCTAAACTGATAATTACTATTAGTTATACGACATGACATAAGCGAAGATAGATGATGGCTAGCAGTGGAATCCAGGATCACGTTTTGTCCTATTTAGGACTCGTCAACTGGATGTACCTGTATTCCAAAGTTGATGTTCATATCCAGCTAACGAGTCCCAAATAGGACGCGTTTTGGATTCTACTACTATCCACTAACCACCTTTGCTTATAAAGCTTGTGACAGTCCGCACAGGATGCACATATACCAACAAGAGACTGATCAGTTGTAGTCCTACACAACAATGGGAACATACAAGCAAACAATATTAAGTTTCTGAAACTAATTACCATTGAACCCTAAGGGTAATTTTTAATTATGAAATATTACGACTCTTCTAAAACGAACAGGAATTAATACAAATCTAATAGTTCGAGAACAGGCAACTATGATGCTTCAGTAATTATATCCTTAATGAGACATAAGAAGAAGATAGGGGTAAAGAACAGTCTCGATATTCAAGTTATAATTGTCGTAGGATAGCATTGTATATATAGTAGCAAAACATGACTTTGGGGCACAAGTAAATTATCAAGATAGAAGTGATAACAACTAATCAAATAAAAAAAACAGTAAGGTAAAAGAAAATATAAATTAGAAAAAAATGTTATTGCGTTAATCGTTACAAGAAATAAGAATAAAGTTCTTTAGCAAAACTGGGTAACTTGTGACCTTAGCAACAATAAATATGGATCAATAATAGCAAAAGTCAAATGAGCCTCATTTCTATGGATATTAACATTATTATTAATAATATATATTACAATTAATCAAAAAATGTAACGTCTTTGTTTTAACTACATTTATCAACTGAAACGAATGTCACGGAACTTAGCTTTGATTGTTCCTACTATTCGGACAATGTAAGCATATAAGAACAATGTTAATCATTCCTTACATAGTGTGTAATAATACACGGAGCTAATTCCATTGTATATACTACTAAGCAAGTTTATCTTCGAATTTATGGTTGAGCAATGGTTAGAGAAGAGCTGTAAGTAGTTACCACGCCACTTTTAAATTGATCCATTAAGTTTTATTTAAATTATTTCATTCTTTAACACTAGGCATTGTAGTATATTGATAATTATGTCACAGGAAATAGTCCGTAGAGATTAAACTGAGATGAAACTCACCTTATATCGAGAATCATCGAAATTTGTTTCACCACTTCGTATAGTAACATAGAATCGAGTCCACCAGTCAGCTGTAGCTAATTGTTCAGGTGTCGGTCCAGAGTGTGTTGTAACAAGATGAGCCTAGAATATGAATCGATTAAAATTAATAAGTGAAAGACGTTGATACTAAATATTAGTAAGCAATATAATAATGAATATAACCCTATTTAATATATACATAATCATATAGTAATAATGGCTTTTTGTATATCAGTTCTAGGTTGACTATCTCTAAGCTCATTGGGGGGAAACATGGATTACAGTGGCTTCAGTAATATGCAAAACACGAACTGGTAAACCATGTGGTAAATTTGGTGAAATATGGTGGATAACTTTAAAAGCTTTATTCAATTCAACTTGATGACTTGTATCCACCAAGTGAGCGAGAATAGAACTCTTAATTATTCTTACCTGTCCTTTGCTCAACCAAGACGGATGGTGTTCTGTTATACGATAACGGACTTGCCGAATTGCACGCCCTATATAACTGGCTCCACAGCAGCAGTTGAATTGGTAAAATACACGTGGATGTGGCGAATTCAGGCAATCTGTCTTTATTAACCGTTCTTATTATGAGGCGATTGTAGAAGATAGATGAATATTACTCATAAGAATATAATTTCTGTTACAATATCATGTAAACAATTGATTAAAATAAGCTATTAAAAATATATACAAGTTGAAAATCTTATTTAGATCTTGGAAGAATGAATTTCATTGAACAATAAAGACATTTGGCCGCCTGCTTGAATATCTGGGTAACCCGTTCCTGTTATCTAGATGTTTCAACATGTTATTTACCCTTTTTTTGTTTCAATACATCATTATGTCTATTAATCGTATAACCCATTCAGGTGCGTTTATGAAAATCTTACGACCTTTCGCTGTACAAGTTACAGAAAAGTATAATCAGAAACATCGTAGTGACTGACAATATGCTTAGAAAAGAATGAACATTATTCAGATGTCAATTCCTGAACTGCTAACATGTAACTGGTGATCACTCAAAATTTATCGTCAGGATAAATAAAAGAATAAAGAAAGGAAATTTGTTGAAATACTTTTTGCTAAGAATTCTATATTGTACCAAAAATATAATATTGAATAAACCTATTAATAATAATCAAGTATATAATAGACTGTTATTACTATACTATTATACTGCGTCACAAGGCAAGCCCTTACATGGAATCCTCAAGGCCAAAAGAAAACAAGAACGCCATAGAACATATTACGCCGAGAGAAGGAGACAGACATGAGAAAAATGAACAAAAATTGGATAGAACTAGAAAGAAATGAGTGAGACAGAGTGGGATGGAGAATCCTGGTCGGCCGCCTATGCTCCGTTGTGAGTAACAGGCGTAAGGAAGGAAGGAAGGAAGGAAGGAACAGAGAAATTAATACCATTATTATTGCATTGAATTAAAATTTTATACCTTTCCAGGTAATGCATCTGTTGGCTTTTTATCAATATTAATTTGACCAAAATTATCACCATCCATAGATACTAAATCTAAATCACCAGCATTATCTGGAAGTTTATAATGTAAATTATATTTTTGAAAATTTGGATTCATATCAGCTAATAATTCTACTGATGATAAACCAGTTTCCATTGATTTTTTACTTTCTAAATCATTATCATTTAATTTCATTGAAGTTGGTCCATTGTTGTTGTTGCTGCTGCTGGTATGGAAGGGTTTGTTAACATTTCTAGACTTGGTCCATCTTCATTAAAATAATCAGTTTTATCAAAGTTAAAATTTAATTTCCTTGGACTATCTGATTCACTATCCATATATATTGTACTTGCACTATCAGATGATTGATCTATAAAAGATATTTAATGAAAAGAAAATAACCATAAGTTGTTTTATTATAATTCTATTGTTAAACATTAAAACAATTGTCATTTAAATGGAACGAGATTTTTGTTTAAATCTATAGTATGATATGTTTGAGAAGCTGTGACCAATGGAGCTTGATCTGTATCAGGTAGAAACAGGTATCTACCTCAGTACATTGGTTGAGGTTAGACATTAACACCGCTGGATGCCCATTCAGTGATCTAGAGGTTAAGTGTTTGCATGCGGGACTGAAGGGAATGGGTTCGAATCCCGCTGGCAGGATCGTAGATGAGCATTGTTGAGGAGTTCCACAATAGGACGAAACGGCCATCCAGTGCCTCCGAGTTTTTAATGGTGGTCTAACATCAATCGGATCATAATCTCAATCAAAAACATAATAATCTCCATAACCCTATACTGATATTTTATTATAATTTATGACCTTAACCACAATTCTGCTAAAGAACACACTGCGTCGGGAAGCGGAGACAGACATGAAAAAGATAAATAGCAACTGGATACAACTGGAAAAGATTACTCAGGACAGAGTTGGATGGAGAGTGCTGGTAAGAGGCCTATGCTTTTCGATGAGGGATAACAGGCGTAATTAAGTAGGTAATTAACAAAAATGTAATAGATTTCTCGTAATTATTATCGGATAATTTTTTGACATAACCCAAAATATCTGGGAGTTTTCAAATAGGCAAAATCAGAATTCTTAATAAAGACGAATGTTATTGATTATTATAGTTGAAATATTAAGATAAGTTGAGTAATTAGTGTGATTAGCCAAGAAAATCCATTTTGTTAGTGATTGACAAAATAGTCAGTCACGATAAACAATGGTTGAAATGACGTAGAATAATGTTTTTAGTGGCCCTAAATCTGACTCTAGTTCGATTGTATGTTGATTGCTACCAAAATGTCTGTTACTGAAATATACATGTCGCCAAACCTCGTATATAATCATCAGGTTAAATGGTGTTGGTGAATAACGGAACTAAATAAGTCAAATACGAGAATGGATTTCTTAATGCGTATACTTCGTACAATCGTTGATCTAGACAAACAATCGAAGAAACAAAGCGAAATGAGGCGCAATGAAGAAGGCGAGTAAGTCAACTCAATTTAACCAAGTGTAACTCGACATTTATAGTCAGATAAAAGAGGTTACATATATGTGATGAAAAGGATAAGAAGCGCACACACATACACACATCTAAAAAACAGTCAAGGCTGATAAATAAATAATAAACAATGTCAAAACGTGACTCAAGAAGAATGAATAAATTGGCTTGTCTGGAAGCTAGAATTAGCTATGTGCGTTTAACGTAGCAATCGATACATGTGTAGTGACCTACTTTTGTCAAGAGAACGCGATGGGTTTAATGAAAACAATCATTATTACAACCAGTTGTACCAGTGATTGTTTTACTGTGCTTGTTTGTTTAACTGTGCTAAAGACAGCCATATTACTGCTCCATTATCCTTCCATTGATTGTGACCTTGCACGGGTTCGGTTACGCTCGGTAACCACGCTTGTACACCTTTGGCACGATCTTGGTATCCTTTCGATACCACGAGATCGCCAACAAATACATCTCGACTACAGCCATCAACTGCCTTCTGATATTTGGCTTACTGGGGATTTTATCGGTTAACTGGCACGTAGTCTTCTTGTAGTGTTGTTCATAGTGAATCGCGACTCGACTCCACGCTACACATGTTTGCCATTTCTTATGATAACTTACCAAAACCAATACAAATGGCTTATTTATAAAATACTAGTTTACAATCTAACGTAAGATGATTTTATCCACACGAGATGCAACGTTTTCATATACGACTATAATATATACTTACACAGAGCTTAGATCTAGGCTTGTCTAATGAATATATTATCGCACTTTTTAGAATTTACTACCTGTTCCTAACTAATGGGCATTTGGTTTCCAATATGAAGCATAGATTAAATACTTATCATAAGTTCTATTTACAGTAAATTTTACTTTCCATGAAATATTGTATTTACAAAATCTAACCAGTCTAACAGATTGCATTCATTTGTTACTTTGATATCTCTTTTTAAAAGTACAGCATAGAAACAAATCGGATACTATGTGTGACAAACTTAACTTTCAATAGATATATTTTTCATGCAATTTAAATAAACAGAAGGGGTTTTGGGGAGATTTTTGGAAATTTCAGTGGTTGAAATCATGAGTCAATTGAAGCTAGACCACCATGGAAAACCTGGAAGCACTGGATGGCCGTTTCTTCCTAGTACGGGACTCCTCAGCAGTGAGCACCAACGACCTCTCACCCTGCGAGGTTCGAACCCAGGACCTGCTGGTTTCGCGCGCGAGCACTTAACCACCAGACCACTGAGCCGGCATCCGACGGTGTTAACCAGGTCGGTTGTGAATATCAACTCATTGAAGACAATAGTGTACGATGGCGCAACTTCGTGGATTGGTTGAAGTTAGACATTAACACCGTTGAATGCCGGCTCAGTGGTCCAGTGGTTAAGTGCTCGCGCGCGAAACCAGTAGGTCCTGGGTTCGAACCTCGCGATGCGGGATCATGGATATGCACTGTTGAGTAGTCCCATACTAGGAAGAAACGGTCGTCCAGAGCTTCCAGGTTTTCCATGGTGGTCTAGCTTCAACTGACTCGTGGTTTCAACCAGTGCAATTTAAATAAAGCCAAGACAAATATTGAAGCAGAATAATATGAATTCATTGTATATCATGGTTCCTCGTCAGCTGTTTACAACCATTGATATGTATTAGAATTTAACATTGAGGTAAGAAATCGTATGAAGCAATTGACATAATTGAATGTAAAGAATTGGAATGATCAAGGTTATCAATAATAACTATATATATGTGTAAGAACAGGTCAGAGGTTATTTGGTGTTAGAATCAAGGAAACAATTAAGGATGGGTGGTGTAATAGTCGAGTAAAGTTCAAAGATAGATAAGATAAATTGTGTCATAATTTAGAGGTAATGAAGGAATCATGGAATTATTAACGAATACAAGTAACAAAGAACAATTACTAACATAAATTATAAGTTTATATACTATAACTTACTATCATTATCAAACACTAAATAATCACGTGCATTAGAAATTGTATGACTTCCAATTGTGATCTTTGTACCAAGTATACGATTATCAAAACATGTAAAAACTAAAGGTGGCCAGTAACGTTCATCTACGGGTAAATACTAAGAGAAGAGATTGATAAAAAGAAAAGTCAATAGAACTCAAGTAAAATAATATGTAACAAATATTTTGGTGAGACTATAATTTATGGACGACCTTTGAGCGATGCCAGACTAACGTTGAGAGTATTCACCTAATAACTAGGACCAAATAAGGATTAGAAACCTGTGTTGTGAGGAATTACAATTAGGATTTACAGTTGATGGTTGAGGTTAAAAATTAGATTTTAGGGTGTTTCATCATGAACTGACATCAGCTATAATGCCTTGACTCTATTAAGCCAAATGGGTGAATGAATTTCGCGCCAAAATCGGAGACCTTTTATCTTGATTGGTTTTCCATAAATTATAGACTCGCTATATATTTTCCAAAAAAATACATAAATTTTTGAATGAAATCTGTATATTTTAAACTTACAATATCCATCGCTTTCAATGGGGTCTCGAAAAGTGGCATTTTAGATAAATCATTGATGATTTCAGATTCTAATTTATGTCCACCAATTTCAACGACTACACGTGGTCTTTTCACTGGTAATAAATGTTGACGCACCATACCCCATACACTCCAAAACATCTAAATGAAAACAAAATAAGATGATATACATTATTCGGATAAGACTAATCAACTAATCATAAATAAGTAAATTAAATCATATCCTAATCGTGACATGAGATTAATAAGTGAACCTGACATCTTGCCCTACTCATTGCCTTCTCAAGGTAGGGGTGTTGTTTACATAATTAAGAGGACAAAAGGCGAATGTCTGGAGCGTTGCCTGGGTTGGTGGATACGGAGAGTACACCTGGGGGAGTTGAAAAGCCCCGATTCCAAACCACTGGTGCACATGAGCTCCAGTATACTGAAGGAACGAATGGCGTATGAATCGATCGTCGGTCACCGGCTACCATGGGACTGCATCTCCTTACGTTGCTCCACTGCCTTGTGGATCAGACCTGTAGGTCGAAGGCTCCGGTTGTGGCCCCCTAAGAAAACCACCTGCCTCAGTTTAGGCACCCGAACATTATCACAGCCCACACACAAATCAAATGACTTGTGTAGCGCATGTGTATTCGGTTCCACTTTGTACCAATATTTATGTGTTCAGATAAATAAATGAAAATAAAATCTTGCCCAACATAATTCCAAGTAGAATAGTTTCGTATGAAGATATCAGTAGGTAGTTGAATTCCTTTTCTTTATTTTTTAAAATGTTCGCACACTTATTGACAATGGAATAGATCAAATTTTCAAAATAGACATGTGTTTAAATCACTATTTTAACTTAATCAACTTATAAAGCATATCCAAATTAATAGTTTTGCTAACTGAGATATTTTATGAAACTGTTTCTAGTTCATTCTCTCAATACGGAGCTTGAACGTGGAGAACTACCATAAGCATCATCAAAAAGTATTTATAGATAGTTGTCTACGAAAGATACTCAAAATACCATCAGTAAAAGCCTTTTGCAGGAGAAGATAAACCAGCCTTCAAGTGAAGAGGAAATTAGGAAAATATATTAGAAGTGGATAGAACATACATTACGGAAATCATCAAACTTCATCACGAGACAAGTGCTAACTTGGGATCCTGAAAGGAAACGGAAAAGAGGATGGCCTAAGAACATACTATGTCAGGAATTGGAAGCAGACATGAAAAGAACGAAAGCAACTTGAAAAGATTGCCCAGGACAGAGTTGGATGAAGAGTACTGGTGGTCAATCTACACTCCTCGACGAGGGATAGCAAGCGTAAATTGGTAAGTAAGTCGTTTTATAATCAAATATGTTACCATTGTATTATCCAAACAAACACTGTCACTGTGATATATGATAATATACGATTTTATATCTTATGGATCACATTTAAATACTTCTTTCTGATAAGTCCTGATTAACACAAAATCTAAATCTGTAGGACCCTGCCGATCAACATGATGAATTAAAAATTCTCTATATCATAAATGAGAGCTCAAAACTTTGATAGCAAAAGCTTTTGAAAAGCATAACAAATTTCATTACTTATTCTTGATGAAGTTTTGTTCTCTGAGCTGGATGGTTTGGTTGTGAAACTTCTTCTGAACGACATCATCAACACAAACTTTAGATAGAAGTGAAGTGTTCGAATTTCTCTACATGTGATTCACAGCTTGTTTTGTAGATCTTGATATTTAGCTCAGAGAACAAAATTCCATCAAAAATTATTCACCTGAACTAGTAGTAGAATCTAGTACATAGATTTGATTCTATTTGAACTCATCAACTGGATGTAATTACATACTAGTGATCACGTTTACAGATGAACTTAAACTCTGTAACTTTCACTGCAAATGTCAACACATTATCCAATTAACACTTATCTTGGATACTGAGGCTGTATCTAAGCAATCTATAGAGAATCCACATATATCAATAAAAATTGATTATGATTCAGTCCTGATTATTTACAATGGAATAATTTAAATCTTTACTAATAATCATGTAAATAAGCAATGATGGATAATAGCTAGCAGTGGAATCCAGGACGCGCGTTTCGTTCTATTTTGGACTCGTCAGCTCGATGTACCTGTATCGCAGAGTTGATGTTCACTCTGGGACTCGAATCCAGTACCATTCGCTTCAAACGCCATCGCGTTATCCATTTAGCTACTGAGTCCATCATTGCTTACAAAAAGCTTGTGAATTAAGGCAATATCGAGGAATACGCACAGTATGCACATATGCCGATAACAGACTGATCAATTGAAGTTTTAAACCTCAATGGGAAGATACAAGTCAAATAATACCAAGTGAATCATGTAAATAGATATAAAATAATTAAAGAAAGTGTAAACATACAACTTCCATTCTAAATCGTTGTAAAGGTGGTCTAATATTATCTGGTATTCGATAATCCCCTTTTCGTCTAACTAAAACAAGTTTTGGTGGTGCCATACCAATTTGATTTGTTTTCTTCTTGCATTATTTATTTGAATATCATTAGAATTATCTAATAATAAGACAGAATCAGCATCAAATATTAAATCATCAAATTCATCAACTGTATCCAATTCATTATCATTATCATCATCATCTGAGTCTTTATTTAAATCATCTTCATCATCTAAGTACATTCCTGGAATACTTTTTAATATAACACGATCATCAAATTCTTTTGTGTATGCAGCTAATTCTTCAAAAGTAGGTAAATTTTCATATGGCACTTGAGGATCATCCTTGAATATACACAGTTATGTACCAAAAAAAGAATGAAAGTTATAAAAATGATAATGAAAGAGAAATTAACAATAAGCATAGGTTTGGTATTTCAAATACTATTCATCAATCTGTTCCGGGATACAGATTAAATGATTGAGTGACACGTAAAATTTTGAAATCAAAACATGGAACTTATTTACAATACGGTACTACTATTAATGACAACCTAACTATTACAAGTATAGGGGTTGTGGAGATTATTAATTTTTTGATTGAGATCATGAACCGATTAATGTTAGGCCACCTTTAGAAACCTGGAAGCACTGGACAGCCGTTTCGTCCTATTGTGGGGCTCTTCAGCAGTGCGCATCCACGATCCCACACCCCGCGGGATTCGAACCCAGGGCCTTCAGTCTCGCGCTCGAACGCTTAATCTACTGGAGTATCGAGCCGGCATACAATGGTGATAGTGTCTAACATCGATCAATCCACGAAAGTGCGCGACCAACTTCCATTGTACTGAGGTAGATACCTGTCTCTACCCGGCATGGATTAGCTCCACTGGTCACGGCTCCTCACTAGAACTCCGACGATTCCCTCAAATCCCGCGAGCGGGATCGTGGATGCGCACTGCTGAAGAGCCCCACAATAGGACGAAACGGCTGTCCAGTGCTTCCAGGTTTGCAACGGTGGTCTAACATCAATCGGTTCATGATCTCAATCAAGGACTAACTATTACAGTTTGTAAACCTTGATTCGTTAGATATCTTATACATTAAGATGCATCAAGATTATTTTTGAAGAACTCGCACTTCCTGGAATAATTATGTATGAATGATGTACAAAAGCATACCATAAACTAAGAATAGCCAGTAGTTATGTTAATTTAACAACGGGGTATCCAAGAAATTGGAACGAGAAATATGTATATAGAATATAGAGACTGTTACAAGTCAACAAGGGTTAAATGAATAGAACAGATATAAATATGACTTTTTGGAACCTTATTAGAGTACAGTTGCAATAATAACTAGGAAAAAAAAGTCATGAATCTTTTCAAAGATCTAATAGAGAGATGAACTGAAGCCTGGAAAATGATCGGGATTGACACTAGTTACTGAATATTAGTAAGTAATAGAATTAGTAAACCAGAAAGAACTAAACTAAGAACAAAGTGGTGAGGAGTAATTTGGAATTAATAGTTATCCTATTACAAAATGTTTTCACCATGAACTCGCCACATCTAAATGAAACATTGAAAACCGAGGGATACGAGACAATCGTTTTGTAAAGTGTTGAATAACTCAGAAGTATGAAACCATAATCCCACACTGGGAGTATAATACAAGACCTTCTTAGTTTCATGTTGAGCACAATGCTATTAGGTTCGTGAATCAAAATCAAGATGCCATGGATAAGCCAATGTCAGCTGAATTTAATATAGCGTTCAATTCCTATTCAATCTAAATGACGGGTTACTGTTGTAGATTTCAAACTGATTGAGTGAGTTGATTATAACTTTCTAGATTAGATTCTATGTGATAGTATTAGTATGTCATGACGACGCATGATCCATGATCTTTAAAGGTATTAATCCAGATCGATAAGAACGAACCAACCAATAACATCTGAGATAAACTTCTATCAATCAGATTCAGTTAAATCTCAAACCGGACATTCCTTTTTTAACTGTACGTTAAGAAATCACACCATTTTTATGGATGAGCTGGTTTAATCGCGAAGTTTTCATTGCGATTTTCGAATAATTTTTTCAGTGGCTAACTCATGTAGAAGTGATCTTTCTAGTTGTTCCGCAAGCGTTGTATCAATTTACTTGAATGATCTCGTTTATATTTTCTTCTCTGGACTCACTTTGTATCCACAGATAATGTTGTGTCAAATAAACTATTGTTTGATTCGTAATCTGGTTCTATACCTTTAGGCACATATGCTGTATCTAACACAACGTGACTTCAATCTATTAATAGTGTATAGTACAAGTATGCAGTTTAGTGATTGTATAATCCCATACCTCAGGTCGTATTATTGTTTTATGATATAACATCATGATAAACGGAAAATGTTTAGTTTTGCCGTCATTTTAGGAACTCGTATAATTTACTTAAAAAGTAATCTGTTACATCAAATTGTGTAGATAAAACAATGTAGACTTCTTGACTTTCTGAGAGTTAGGTAACATCAAGTTTCATTAAACAGTGTGACGACGGATCACGGGTGAACGCGAAGAAGCTGTAGGAGGCTCAGAAGGAGCCGAAGATATTCCACTCAATCACCTTTTGGAAAATTATTCTAGAATTCCTACGTTTAGCTTCCCGATTGGACAATGCTAATAACTCCCTGTGTGCGGATTGGAGGACTGTAATTATGATTTCGTTCTTACTAAAAACTATAAACACCTGACAATTTTGTACTATAATTGACACTGTCTGGGAATAATATTACTTTCATTAGTCTTCTCTCTTCTCATTGTGACTTGGAAGGGTTCTGGCGTTCTAGTGCTCATGTTATACGCGGTATATCAAGAATAACCTTCTAGATATAACAGACAGTCATTAAGAAAAGTAAATTTTCGTTTATTTTTCAAATGAAAAAAAGCATTAAGCACTGAAGTTGGCGCCGTGACCTTGAAATCTCTTAAATGCTTCTGACTGACTCGTCCATAAATTAAAGTCTCGCCAAAAAGTCTATAAAATTACCTGAATTAGATCAAAAGCAGCAAGTAATTCTCCACCAGGAGTTTGTCCTCGAAATATTGGCCACCATTGTAAACGTGGTGGTTTATACTTTTCACCATCCAAAGTAACATTTACTTCACAAAAACAACGTCCCATAAATTCTAAATCATTCTTATAAAATGAATGAAAAATAAAAAGATTTGAAAAATAACATGCTACTTATAATTTTTTGAGTGAGTAGTTCATATCATCTATGATATTAAAACGAGACTTGAGGTATAATTAACTAAGAGCAAGTATTCAAGTAGTTTACTGTGTATTCGTTAACTGAGGATAATCAAGAAACTTATGTATTTAAGGATTTTTTATTCGTAATCGATCCGGAGACTATTTGTGTTTTGTATGACCTTTGCTTACACTACAAACAATCAATGCACTAACCATTATACTACATTCAACTTATGATCACTTGTTTCCGTAAATTCTCCCTTCCCCAAACAATGTCCGATTAGAATCCTAAAAGCCATATTATTAGGTCTTAAAACGTTTAATTTTCGAGTCATGATCTACATAATTAATAAGTTGTTGGGGACGTTAGATCCCCAGAACTCACTTGGGAAAGAAACTAATTTTGTAATTCTACTTATAAAATTTGAATTTCTTTGTTTTCGCACCAAAGGCGCTCTTATCACCTTCATGTCGTATTTCCCACTGGGAAATGTCTTAAATACTATTGATCCGTTGCGTGTTTTAGTATGCTATTTGGTAACTCTTCCTAAGGACGGTTTTGTACTATATATATACGTTTTGAATTGTGTTTGTTGTTATCGCTCGTTTCTGGCTGGTTGCAGAATATACCTCCCCATTCCAAGCTTGGACTTCTCCCTCTAGTAAGCGGGGCTGGGACGCATCAAATAGCTAACTTACTGGTCTTTGGTCACCGAGTCTTGTTCTCGTTCGCAGATTAAGTGAACTCGTGATAGCTTCAACCCTAGCAAAAGTAGAATCCGAGGACTCGGTGCATGACTTGTTTGTTTTCTAAGTGGTTATATAACTTGGACACTTTTGATGAAACTAAATCATATATATATATATATAAAGGTTATTGAGTGCAATTTATGAACCGTAAATATATATCGTAACAATTCAGAGTTGAAAGATAACTTACAATTAGGACTAATATAATAATATCATGAAAAACAACTCAATTGTATTGGTTGTTCGAATTTTCCCATTGATGTTTAGGACTGTAAATGTGCATCCTGAGTGGATCACCTCAATACTGGTATCAAATTACAAGCATTATAAGCAGAGATGGATGATGGTTAGCGGAAGAATGAATATTTTGTTGTACTTGGAACTCGTCATTTGGATGTACCTACATCCCAGAGTTTATGTTCAGCCTGGGACCGGACCTAGCACCGTTCACTTCAAAAGCTATCACGTTATCCACTTAGCTAATTGGTCCTAGACGAACGTCAACTCTGGGATGCAGGCAAATCCAGTTGACGAGTTCCAAATAGGACGAAACTCGCGTCCTGGATTCCACTGCTAGCCACCATCCACCTCTGATCATAAAACAACTAATAAAAATATAAAAACCAGTCAATGAATAGATACACACATTTATTGTTGTTTATATTACCATACCTCATCCTAACAATTTCCCCGATACAACACACTTATGCTTTTGTGGAAACTTTTGTTTTCATTCTAGTTCTTTTCTAAACCTGTTAGCGATTGCTGTTATTAAGATGCGTCATTCTATGTATTATGTCACTTCAGTTAGCTTACCAAGTATTTTTTTATAGGGAAAATAGTAAAGAATAGAATATCCACAATAGAAGTTAGATGTTTTCTTCAAAAGACCGACTTTATTATGACTGTGATCAACAATTTTCACGTAAACAACCGAATCATAATACTACTAATGTTACAGTCTAATAGGTGGCAATGAAATTGAAGAGGCTCATTTTATCCCACTAGAGATCTATCAGCAGGATCAACATCCATCCTACTATCAAGCTCTATATTAAGATTCGAATATTTTATTCATCATTTCAAAATATACTTGTATTTTATATATTGAATTACATAATCATGTTAGTAGTTAAAGAAAACTTCAAAACGAAATTGTTTTAAGCCATTTAAGCTTACTCCTGGATCAATATCAAATATTTCTACAATAACCTCTTGAAGATTTTGTTTTACTGATTGAGCGTTTTGATAAAATGTTACTTGTTTATATAAGACAACATCCCACATTGGACTCATAGTTTGATATAATGCTTGTGTTTGAAGAACATGTGGTCCAATAAGAACTCTTGCCATTGGATCTGACATACCAGATGAATCAGAGGCTATTAGATCACGTGCAATGAATATATAACATCTGAACTGAAAACGACTACTTTCTATAGGAAAAAAATAATCATCAAATAAAAGAAATTCAATAAATGATCAACTGGAATGATGTATCTAGATACTTTTTAAATGATACCTGGTAACAAAATTTATTATAATGATGATGAGTCAAATCATTGAAATAAAAACATCCGGTAAACCATCTTGTGGCTAAAACAAACAATAAAAACAAATCAGTAATCAATATAAATCAAATGAAATCATTTGACTAATAAACATTGAAATGATCTGATCACTTAAAATGGTGCTCATCTTTTGCAAAATATCTTCAGTAGTAAACAAGGGCTCAAATTAGTGAGCATTACATTTGAGAACTGAAACAATAAAGGAAGAATCACACTGGCCTAGCTTCAATTGACACATGATCTCAACTATTGAAATTACTACAATCTCCGCAAAACCACCTTCTGATACTAATCAACATATGCTCACTAGTGACTGGCTTCAACAGGTATATCCTGGAGTTCTAGTGAGGAGCAGTGACCAGTGGAGTTCAATTGAGTCACTTGTGAGATAGTAGCCCACGAACGACAATGTTGGACGTGTCGCTGAATTTCATGGATTAGTTGAAGTTAGACATTAACACCATTGGATGCCGTCTCAGTAGTTTAGTGGTTAAGACTGATAAACACTGGGTTCGAATTTTGTGAGATGGATCGTGGATGTGCACTTCTGTGGAGTCCCACAATCGGACGAAACGGTCGTCTAGTACTTCCAGATTTCCCATAGTGGTCTAGCAGCTTCAATTGACTCATGATCTCAACTATGAGAATCGCTAATGTTTTATAACACTTATTGATCTGAATAGTATCGTTGCACTTATGCTTGAATTTAATTTAATGGGATCATTTATTTGAGTATCTGATCTAATTTTTATTGATCACAGCTAAATGAATATATGAACAGCTGTGTTCTATATCAATCGCTTATGAAAATACAATATATGGATCGAAACGTTAAATATAGAATAAGTTTCTTGAAATTTTGGCTAAGTTATGTTAATGGGTAATAGCAAGTATAGAACCTTGATGATTAAATTAAGTTAAATACAGATCGTTTTGATTTTCTGTGACAGACTTTGAATATTCGATGTTGAAAGTTAATATACAAGATTAGTCGACATATGATATTTGTACGAGTTTTGATAGAGTTTTTTCTCCGAGCTAAATGGTTTGGTCGTAGAGCTTTCATTGTTCTTTGAACGACATCATCAGTACAAACTCGGGTAGAAGTCTTCTACCACTACCGAATCATCCATCCATTCATAAAAATCATCTACCTGAGCTACAATTCTTCATCATCATCTCATTTGTACGAATTACTAAATTTCAGCGTAAGACTAGAATATATGAAGGAAATTGAGTGACTCTGAAAAGGAACTTTACAAATTAAATCACATTTTGTAACGAATCAGAGAAAGTGTAATGAAAATGACTACTTATTTATTGGTAGGAAATAATGGAAAACAAATGAGATCAAAACATACATACATTCCAACAATTGTTACTGGTTGAAAAAGAAGAAAATTTGTCCGTTTAACTAAAAAGCTTTTTACCTATTCATTTCAATTGACCATTTATTCCATTATTATACATTCTATTTCTAGTGATTTTCTCATCAGTTGTAACAATCCTAACTACCTAGTTCGTAGAAAGTTTGTTTTCATCAAAACCCTCTAAGTACATGTTATAACTAAACAGTTGTAAAAGCATCTCCATAGGTTACTAGTCTTAAGATGGTAGAAGTACCAATTGTCTGAGAGCTACTTTCAAATAACTAAGACAAAATATGCTCAATATAGATTTCTTATACTTAAGAAGTTGTGATCCAAATGTAATGTTATCATTTTTATCTTGACATTTCACTGAACTTCTTTATCACTATCATCATTTAAAACACAATTCTATAAAGAGTAATGAGTAAAGCTTATAATCATGTATTAAATTAATAAGTCGAATAACAACCTATGAAAAAACAATCATACGATCATTCTGATCCTATAATAACCATTAATCTTTCAGTTTTATTCATTATACAAATTAATAGGTGAAAGCTTTGAGATGGATAATCTCTTTTCAATTATCGTAATAATTGAGAAAAATTTGAACGTCTAGTAGATGACATTTTGAATTCCTACATTCTTTGACTTGAATAGTCTAATTTCGAAGTTGTTATAGTTGTTTCAGATAAAGTTCCATCATATTGATACAAATATGTCTTGCTTAATAAATATAATAGATTAATGGAAGAATATTTTTCATTTACTGTTCAGGTGCCCAAACCGAAGCATGTGGTTTTCTTAGGGGGCCACATCCGGAGCCTTTGACCTATATATCTGATCCATAAGGCAGTGGAGCATCGTGAGGAGATGCAGTCCTATGGGAGCCGGTGACCAACAATAGGTTCATACGCCATTTGTTCCTTCAGGATGCTCGAGTCCATATGCACCATTGGTTTGGAATCAGGGTTTTTCAACTCCCCTAAGTGGATCCTCCATATTCACCAACCCTGCTAAAGCGCAGGACATTCGCTTTTCGTCCTCTCAACTTCGTAAACAACAGTAATGCCGTGAGAAGGTAGTGAGTAGGACTTCGCTGGCAGTGGTTGTATGTACATGGTCATATGAGAGTATTTCGAGAAGGAGAGTCATCTCTCCTCCCTCTCGACCGTATCAGGGCATTTGGAAGCCCTCATTAAATGATATCAACTGATACTTTATTTAAGTTGATAAATTCAGCTTCATCTAAAGTGATGAAATTAAACAATCCTGTAAAGAAACACCATACTCATTGAACGAGTAAGCAGATATCTTAACGCAATAGCTCAATGAATAACATGTTACGTTTTGAAGAGAAAAATGCTAGGTTCCGATTCCCTATAGGGAACATCAACATTACAATACAAACATATCCTACTGCCAAATATCAAGTGGGGTGAAATCCACATCTTGGATTCCGCTGTCAGCTACAATCTAACCTTATTAAAACGACATATAGATACAATCTTCTCAGGATGGAAATATGTCATTAGATACTGGTTAAAAGCCAAGATTATTCACAACAATGAAGAAACTTATACCATTAAATATAATATACATAATTTGTTATTTTTTACCTAGATAAATTAATTCATTTGGTGGTTTTGGTGTTTTAAATATATTCTTATCATATCCACCAGGTAAACCAAATGTGTAAGCAGTAAAATCTTTAATTAAACCAAGCCATAAATACACACGTATTTGACTTTGAATTCTCCATCCTTTAGGTCCAACACCCTCACGACCTTGTTTCTAAAATGAAGGAAATATTAACTAATATAAGTAAAGATAAAATTTTATTAAATACCTAGTGTACTTACTCACTTACGCCTGTGACTCACAACTACAACTCCTTCGTTTCTAGTTCTATTCAATTGTCATTTATTCTTCTAATGTCTGTCTTCATTTCTCAAAGTAATGTGTTCGCTGGTCTTCCTCTCCTCATTTGGCTTTGAAGATTCCATGCGAGGGCTTGACTTGTGATGAAATCCGGTACTTTCCTTAATGTGTGTCCCATCCACTTCCAGCACTTCTTCCTAATTTCTTCGTAAGCTGGAATCTGGTTTGTTCTTTCCCACAGTTGGTTGTTCGTAATAGTGTCCGGCCAACGGATCCGAAGTATTTTGTGTAGACAACTGTTAATAAACACTTGTATCTTCTGGATGATGGCTTTCGTATTTCTCCAAGTTTCCGCCACATACAGTAGAACTGTTTTGACATTTGTATTGAAAATTCTGACCTTGGTGTTGGTCGATAGTTGCTCCTGCTTTGCCGATCCGCGCCTTTACATCTGTATCAGATCCACCGTGTTCATCAATGATGCTGCCCAGATATGTAAAGGTCTTTACATGTTCCAAATCTTCTCCGTCAAATGTGATCCGATTGTTGCATACTGTGTTGTGTCCGAGAGTCTTTGTTTTCCCTTTGTGTATGTTGAGACCTACTGCTGCTGAGGCTGCTGCTCCGCCTGTTGCCCTTCTAAGGCTACTGCCGGTCCCAAGCCCGGATAAAGGAGGAGGGTTGAGCATAGGGTTAGTGAACACATCCTGTAGAAAACTAACTAGCTAAAAAGAACGCTAACCAGAAAATTATTCAAATACCTATTGTCCTCATCAATAAATCAATATAATCATCCTAAGAGTCTGTTGTCATCTTAGATCTTTCACTTGTAATTAACATTAGGTTATGAGTTAGTTTGTTACTATGTAAGCTTTGTATTTGTTTTTTATTACTATATTTATAGCCGTTACCTTGAGTGGTTCTTTAAATATTTAAAAAGAAAAAAATTCTGTAAATAGTAAAATAACATTTGTATTTTAATTCTTTACACGTTGAATATTTAAAAGTTACCTTTCTAGAGTTATACTATATAGTTCACCTGTTAATTGAACTTTGTTATTCTGATAAATAGTTATTGGCTATCTATAAGATTTTGAAAGGATATTACATGTTAAGAACACTTAGATATAAAAAATAGGTCAACTAGACAGATTAAAAGGTGGTGGAACACATACCCAAATGGCTGCTGGTTATAAGGCTGGTTATAAGCTTGATCTCATGTCAGCATTTGTAGTGTTGTACAAAAGCCATCAAGGGCGTATACTAAGGCTTATTGAAGCCTTGACTATACGGAAACTGAAACCCTCATTGTGTGTTCAAAAACAATCTGTTCATACCCTTAACCTACCCTGGTAATATTGATTTATTTTCCAGAGTAGTTATCACATTATTTTGTGTACTTTATTATCTTTTTTCTTTGTTAAGGTCTACCTTTAATCTGTCTAGTTGACCTATTTTTTATATATGTGTTCTTAACATGTACATGTGTGATCAGATTGTTCAAAATGTATTGCGCAAATGTATCACACAGTTTCGATAACCTTCGTCTTCTCATTGCATTATCGAAATTTATCAGAGGGACTAATTATAAGAAGGAGGTTTTGTGGAGATTTTAGTTATTTAATACTTGAATTCATGAGTCAATTAAAGCTAGACCATCATGCAAAACCTGGAAGCACTGTACGGATGTTTTTTTTCCAGTAAGGAACTCCTTGGTAATGCTCACCCACAAGCCCGCTCGCACGATTCGAACCCAGGACCTACCTGTCTTGCGTGCGAACGCCTAACCTCTTGAACACTGAACTGGCTGTCTACTACTTCCAGATTTTTCATGATGGTCTAGCCTTAATTGACTCATGAATTCAACTATTAAAAGGACTAGTTGTTTTAAACACTGATAGTTCTTACTTAAAATGTATGCCACTTATCATTATATATAAGTAGATCTGGAAGTTGACATAGTCAAATCAGCAATATTTTTTTTAAATCCGTCATTATTATGTTTAGTATGTCATTATGTAAAGTCAGTAAATGATGAGCAATACTAAAAAAAGAAAGCCCAACTTGTTAAATGAACCACAGTTTGAAGTGAATAGGGTAAACACATATGTGCGCTCTAATTAATACTATTATTATTATTATTATTATTATTATTATTAAGAAACAGTATGATTACTTTCGATTAATATAAGTAGTTCGATACGGTTTACATTAAACCATGTTTCTGGATTAACTTTGTACAAACAAGTGAATATTTGAACTCATTAGGACTTGGATTTAATGTCTGGATGATTTTCATATGAACTCTTAATCTATTCACTAATAGAAAATGGAGAGAGAAAAAAATTGATTTCCTATTTACATTTTAATATTACATACACGTAAGTATAAAGTTGCCATTTGTCCACTCCATTTGCCTCTTTCACAATCTACAGCTGAATAATATATATCTCGTGCTGGAATTCTAACAAAACCAACTCTTTGATGTTCCAATATCATTGAAATAAAAACATCCGGTAAACCATCTTGTGGCTAAAACAAACAATAAAAACAAATCAGTAATCAATATAAATCAAATTGAAATCCATTTGACTAATAAACATTGAAATGATCTGATCACTTAAAATGGTGCTCATCTTTTGCAAAATATCTTCAGTAGTAAACAAGGGCTCAAATTAGTGAGCATTACATTTGAGAACTGAAACAATAAAGGAATAATCACGGTGGCCTAACTTCAATTGACACATGATCTCAACTATTGAAATTACTACAATCTCCGCAAAACCACCTTCTGATACTAATCAACATATGCTCACTGGTGACTGGCTTCAACAGGTATATCCTGGAGTTCTAGTGAGGAGCAGTGACCAGTGGAGTTCAATTGAGTCACTTGTGAGATAGTAACCCACGAACGACAATGTTGAACGTGTCGCTGAATTTCATGGATTAGTTGAAGTTAGACATTAACACCATTGGATGCCGTCTCAGTAGTTAGTGGTTAAGACTGATAAACACTGGGTTCGAATTTTGTGAGATGGGATCGTGAATGTGCACTTCTGTGGAGTCCCACAATCGGACGAAACGTCGTCTAGTACTTCCAGATTTTCCATAGTGGTCTAGCAGCTTCAATTGACTCATGATCTCAACTATTGAGAATCGCTACTCTTTTATAATACTTATTGATCTGAATAGTATCGTTAGCACTTATGCTTCGATTTAACTATAATGGGATTATTTATTTGAGTATCTGATCTCATTTTTATTGATCATATCTAAGTTATTACACCTTAGTGATCTCAATGTGAAACGTTCAATCCCTGAATAATTTTTAAAAAAGTAAAATGTAAAATGAAGTCCATGTCTACTCAATAATTATTATTTCTCATGGTACAGATAATTGAATTCCATCTTTTCTGTTTCTATTGTTTGGATTGGTCTATATGTTTAGGGCTTCAGCTGTCACTTTGTTAGTATGAATCAAAACGTTTTGGAAGGAATTTTTATGCCTTTGAAATCAATTCTATGCCAAAACTCCTTTAAACGTAATAACATCGTTGAGTTGTTTCTTTAGGTTTTCTTAGGATTTTAGAATGTACTTCAGGAAAAGTTTGTGTTCCTTCATCCTTACATTCGGTTGCCGTGATATCTTACCTACGTATATAGCATTAGAGCGGCTACATCGACCACATATACACTATATAAATCTTCATCCTTTGATACTGAGTCTTTACCACTTAATGATTTAGGGTTTAGAATGATTTTTTTTCGAAAAAAAATACGCTTATTTTATGATGGTTTAGGATCTTTCTGGTATCATCCGAAGTTCCTTTACAATATAGGATCATCAATGTGTTAACCCAATCTTCAGGTTTTCTTTTTTCTCCCATTTGTGTTTTCCTTCTGAATTATTCTTTCTTCAAAAAGTTCCCTAGATAATTATTTTTCATTTCATTGGATATAGAGAAATTCAAATCATTTTCCTAATCATTCGGTTCTGTGAAGAGTTCCCGAACTGTGTTTATTAAACTCTTAACCACTGTCACTTTTGTAGATAGGACATGTACTGACTTATAATCTAGATATTTCGCAGCATATATTGGATTTCGGAATATATTTATTTTTAAGCAATCATTCTGCTTCCTTTCAACTGAATAGTCAGGAAAAAGTAATTTGTAGTTACTGAATTCGATCTCTTTACTAAACCTGATGCTATCAAATATACTGATGACATTTCTAAAAAGTTTGCCACAGCCATCTTGCTTTAGAATTTTCCTTCTTAATGTCTTACATAAATTTGGCATCCAACTTCGACAAAACTATTCGTTCAAATGTAGACGAAAAGTTTTACAAATATCTTCTCTGGTTTAAAACAGTAGATGTTTTTCTTCCATCCCTATAAATTTCGATTTAGGTTGTTAGTTGACATCTTTATTTTCATCTATACACTGTCTCCTGTTGTTGTGTTAGATAACAGTCATATATGTATTGTGGTGTGTGCTACTAATGTCGACAGACATAAGTAGTATGTATCATCAATCGAAAGTAAAATGACTGGAGGCAGAAGGTTAAGAAGATCGAAGAAAAGAGAACGAGAACAGTGAATGATTGATGTGGAAACGAAAGAACAATAAAGTGTGAGACGATTTATTGACATTTTGCAAATGAATTATTTATTTTACTAAGATGTTCTGTAATGTCCTCACTTGTGTTCTCATTCACTACAGTATCTCTGTAGATCAAAACGTAAAAGTATTCTGTTCAGTGATTAATTATCTGTATAATTTGAAGTTGTTCTTTTAACTTTTATCACAATCGAATCATGTTCAAAAGAATCAATGAAAATATATTCTGTGTTTTCACAATTGATTGATCACTGGGTGGCGATTAATGTCATGCGTGTCTAGTCCTTATTATTAGTGCAGATCGAATGCTATCGATCATGTTGCAATGTGGCCACCAGTCTAGGTGACTCGACACTGCGGGTACTATATATTGAGATTAGATGGTGGTTGGAGGTAGTCGACAGGAAACCTTAGACCCAGGTTTCCTGTCGACTACCTCCAACCACCATCTGATCTGTGTTTTCTTGAGATGTAAGCTTTATGATGGAGTTTTTTTCTCTGAGCACAAACTTTAAGTAGACGTATGTGCTGATGATATTGTTCAGAAGAACGATGAAAGCTCCATAACCAAACCATCCAGCTTAATGAAAAACACTCTATCAAAATCATCTACCTAAGCTACAAATCTTCTCCATCATCTCAGATGTAAGCTATATATTGACTTGATTGTTTATTCTCATATAAACAATGTTTTAGGTAGCCGTATTTTAATTTCCAAACACACCAGAATCTATCATAATAAATTAGATTTAAAATCTTTGAACTTTACAAAGTTCCCATGATGTGTTACTAGAACAATTCAAAATCATTTCCAAAATGAAATCAATAGATGAGAAACATACACAATTACTTAAATTACACAAACGTTTGTGTAATGCATTGGCATCTTTAATTTTTTCACCCAATGTATTTCTGTGTATATGTTTTGATAAATGAATCATTAACATAGCCATTCTTCTTAAATCACGACGTATTCTACGTGAATATTCTCGATCAAGTAATGTTGTACTGGCAGTATCACGACATGATTTAATTGATTCTTGAGCTAAACTGAATTTTTTTGCCATTGTCAAAAAAACTGTACGTAGGTAATTTTTAGCTTCGGTTATCTTCCTTCTAATAAACAAGTGCTTAACACGTTGTATTTGATAATACTAGTTGTTATGATAAAGAAGAAAAAAAGAACGGAAATGGGAAAAATATCAGACAACTTAAACAAACGGTTTGTTTCTCTTTTAATTTTTCACTACTGAGTTATTATAATCAGTAGTTTATTACAAACAGTTAACAACTTAATAGACTTATTCAATCAATCACTTACCTACTTGTCTTCTATATTACATGAACTCATTTAATCTAAGTCAAGAACTATTTGGATTGCTTAATGTCAGTTTGACCAACTTGGTCACATCAATATTTCATCAAATTAATTATTCAACCATAACAGTTGTAGTTATTAGTAAACTTTAAAATGCAGATGAAGACAACTAGTGTAGCAGCAGCTACTGGAACAGTAGGAAAAAGCAACATCTTCAAATACAACACAGAGAACACCAACCCCATCACACTTGATGGAGAAACTCTCGAAGATATGGAATCTTCCAAATACCTGGGAAGTATCATCGATGAACGTTGAGGAACCAATGCAAACATGAATGAGAGGATTGCTAATGCAAAGACAACATTCCTAAATTTGAACAACATATAGAACTCAAAAGAACTTTCTGTAAACCAATTTTAAAGTCACAATCTTCAATACGAACGTCAAGACAGTCCTAATGTACTGAGCTGAAACTTGGATAACTAACACAAACCATCATCAAAGAATTACATGTATTTATGAACAAATGTCTACGCAAGATACTGAATGTCCGTTGTTGGCCGGATACCATCAGCAACAGCCGACTATGGGAGAGAACAAACTAGGTTCTAACTGAAGAGAAAATTAAGAAAAAAACGTTGGGATTGGATAGGACACATATTGAGGAAATCACCAAACTGTATCGTGAGGCGAGCCCTATCTTGTAATTGTGAAGGGAAACGGAAAGGTAGAAGACTAAAGACCACACTACTTTGGGAATCGGAAACAGACATAAAAAGGATGAACAGCGACTGGAAAGAATTGTACATGACGGAGTTGAATGAAGTGTGCTGATGGTCATCCTATGCTTCTACCTGAGGAGTAACAGGCGTTAGTAAGTTTTTTCTTATTTCGAATATACCTGGATCATAGTATGAGTAGATCCTAGATCTCACTATTCACAGGACTATAGTGATCACAACAATCGCTTTTTATGTAACAAGTAATAGTTATTCTAAAATGCTCACTAGGACACATATACATTCATTTCATCAGACTTAAAAACAAAGTACTTTAAATTTTAATCAAAATTTCATAATATCTTAATGTTCTATAATACATATATACAAATTGCGTAATTTGTAATCTAAAGAATTTCCCTATCAGTGCTAGTTCGTTTGTAAGATAACTACGAGTATGTAGGTTTCATACGTGTCGTTTAACATTAAGTGAATTGAACCACCTAATACATTTGTTATTAAAAAGTTTCTTACTCAAATTCAATATAGAAATGATTAATTGTTATGTCCCGATAAGCATAATGAATGGTAACTTTTGGGATCCATTTGTGGACCAATACTATGCGTATATTTTTTATCGTATAATTGTTAAGTAATAAAACTATTCATATTCATGTCCCTCTTATTATCAGCTTTATTTTGACCTATGAACTATTATTATACGACTTACCATTCTTGAGTTATGCCCTGTCTATTAATAACTACCTCCCACGCTCACAGCCAATTTTGGATAAATCTTGTACAAATGTTGTTTCCTATTTTATTGGTACGATGTGGTCTGTCTGGTTGATATATAAATACCGTGTGCTCGAAATAAATTATTCTTATCACAGAGGCTGAGATTGGTGTTCTGGACTTAACTGGTTGGGCTAAGCAGGAAGCAGGACCGATAAGTACTCTAGACTGCTTGTACGGGTTTACTCGTCACTGGTCCGATCGATAATTCACTGTTCTCTAATCCGCGATATCATTACGTTATACATTAACAGGGCCCACAGGCCACAAGTTATAAAATTAATCTAGTGAAAGTATTCAGAAGAAATTTATATCATCTTCGGAGGTATCGAACAGATTACTGTAATAAACATACAGTGCTATATTGTTCGTCATTGTATTGATAGGCTTTGATAGTTCATACATATCATATGTTGCTTCAAAGTCAGGTAAAACATATGATGTCACAAGGATAAGGGAAAGACGGTATTGTGAAGATATTGCTGTGATTAAGCCAACTTATCAACTAGCCAAGGTCACTATCTACATATCTTTGGCTGGATTGATCAAATAACTTGATTTGCATAGATAATTATTCAGACGTAGATATGAAATTTACTAAGTATTTTTAGTCTTCTCACGTTTGTATAGTCGATTGGGTCAAGCCTTGTGAAGAGCTCAAATCCTGATTAATTAGGACTCATAGACCACAACAAGTACAAACCGAATTCCACCAATTTTTACATCTTAAATTCTTTCTCAATACAAAGTAACTAGATTCTTTGTTCATCTACCGATCAAGAAACTATACCCTTTTTATAAATATAACTAAGTTTTCATTGTCTTATTTACTCTACCGTCTAATTAATGTTCGGTATGTACCACTTTAATCACTTCCATTTTTCCCATAGACTTCACTGATTTACGTTTTTGAATTAATGGTAGTAATCTATATTTTAGAAATAGATTAAAGTTTACCCATCAAATAGTTAACTTATTCTAGTTTTAACTACTCCACAAGTCTGAGCTCTACAGTTAAGGGATTCATTTAGAAAAATTATCTGTAGAAGAATTAGATCCTACAATTATAGCATTCATAGCCCACCTATATCTACTCGTGTTTAGGTGCTGAAGTAACTATGTTAGTGCTCAAATACTGTCTAATAAAATATAACTACCTCTAAGCTTATTCATACTATTTAATAAATAGTTGCTTTGTTAACCTCAACGGTGTTTAAAATCAGAAGGCAAAGAGAAGTGGCAACTACAGTTTCTTAGCAGATAAAGCAGATTACAAAGCTATAACCATATCGAACAAATTTAAAGCGGAGAGGCGAATAAGTATATACGAGCAATTACACTGGCAAATTTGTAGTCAAACTGCATAAGGGCATACTAAGGTAAAGCAAAAGCTAATAATATGATTTGAGTACATATATAATAGGACGAAACGACCGTCAGTGCTTCCAGGTTTTCAATGATGCTCTAACATCAATCAGTTCATGATCTCAATCAAATTTGGGATTGGATAGAAAGTTAATTATTGTCTCTTTATGAAATCCTAATGAATAGGAGTAGTATATTATTTAAACTTGTATTAATTCATTTCAGTCAGTTATTTATTCTGAAGAACTGACTGACATTAAGTTGTAAAACATCAAAAATGCAATTTCCTATTCATTGAGATATTACTTTAGTAGCCCTATATCTGACGCCAATTGGATTGTTTCTGATTGCTATTGAGATATACATATCGTCAATCCTTGTATATTTCTTCGACCTAAACCAAATAGGAGAATAGATTTTTGAATAAGTATATTTTGTATACTCATTGTTCTGGGCAGGCAATCAGAGTGACAAGGCACAGGAAAGTAAAGAGAAGAGATTGAAGCGAAACGACCGTCGATGGAGGTGTATGAGCAAGCTCCATTTTAACAAGCGTTAATCAATATTTATAGTCACACAAAAATAAGTTACGGACATGTGATGAATGAGATAAGAAATGTACACACAAATACGCTCATATAAAAACAGTCAAGATTGATAAATGAATAATTAACAAGGTCAAAATGTGACTCAAAAGAATGGATAAATTGGCCTGTTCAGAAGCTAGAATAAGGTGTATGAGCCTAATATAGTAACTCACACTACATTACAAATACATGCAACTACACCCAGTTGACGAGCTCCAATGCGCATCCTGGATTCCACTGCTAGTTACATTTTTGATTGAGATCATGAATCGATCAATGCCAGACCATCAATAAAAGCCTGAAAGTACAAGACGGCCGTTTCGTCCTAGTATGGGACTCCCCAGCACTGCGCACCCATAATCCCACAAGAGGGATTCAAACCCAGGGCCCCAGTTTCGCATGTGAACGCCTAACCTCTAGACCACTGCTAAGGTATCCAACACTGTTAATGTCTAACTTCAATTAATCCACAAAATTGCGCGACCATCTATTATCTGAGGTAGATACCTTTCTCTACCTGACACGGTTTAGACTCCAATGGTCACAGGTTCTCACTAGAACTCCGAGAATTACCTAACCAAACTAGTCACTAGTGAGTACATGGTATTATATTAGTTAAATGTTTTTTCTTCTAATATTGGCAACTAACAATTTTCATAATATTTCAATCATTTAATTTACATTTCACTTCCACTTACCAATTCTTCACTTAATTTCTCTAAAATGTTTGGTATACACATTCTGGAACGATGATCTTCATAATAACCAGTTAAATATAAACATGGTTTTTTATTACCAAAGTTTAAATAATAATATTCTTTATCATCTGTTGTTGGATTCAGTGGTGTTGTGGTTGAATAACACCAGTCTACTCGTTCTCGTATATTATCTGTAATAAAATAGTAATAATAATAAAGTCATAGAATGATATGATGTAATTACAATTTACTATTGCAAATGAACATTACTGTAAATGTACTTGATGTTGTTTTACTTGAATCTTCCCATTGTTATTTAGGACTGCAATTGATCAGTTTCATGTCAGCATTTATGCATCCTGTGCGGATTGCCTCGATATAGCCTTAAGTCACAAGCTTTTTAAGAAACGATGGATAGTGGCTAGCAGTGGAATCCAGTTTGACGCGCGTTTCGTCCTATTCGAGACTCGTCAGCTCGATGTACCTGCATCGCAGATTTGATGTTCACTCTGGGACTCGAATCCAGTACTGTTTGCTTCAAACGCCATCGCATTATCCACTTAGCTTCTGAGTCTTCAGGCAATATCGAGGCAGTCCGCACAGGATGCACATATGCAAACAAGAGACTAATCGATTGTAGTCCTAAATAACAATAGAAAGATACAAGTAAAACAACAACAAGTGAATTTAAACTTCACCTCATTGCACAAGCAGGTGGCTATCAGGACTCAGTATCTAAGTGGATAACGTGATAGCATTGAAGAGACGGTACTGGATTTGAGTCCCAGAGTAAACATCAACTCTGAGATGCAGGTACGTCGAGCTGACTATTCCCAAATAGGATGAAACGCGAGTCCTGGATCCCACTGCTAGCCACTATCCGTCTTTACTTAAAAATACTGTAAATGACTTTTAAATAGAATCAAATCCAATTCATCTTATGAACTTTATAAATAGTTGATAAATTCATTTTTTAGAATAACATAAACTTAGTCAGTGTAGTGGTCGGTATTCAATGTAATCTTTGAACTTCCTATACAGTTCGTCCTGATAATCTTCACTAGATAATGTTCCAACGGTGTATTCATCAAAAGGCGAATATTAAGTTTATTATTGCACCGCGCACAGATAACCAAAATTACGGGTATGTTAAGCAAGCATGAAAGAGTAGTGCCGAAAATCAAGCGAGCATGGGGAAAGCGAGTGAGCGTGCGAGTCGAATTCATGGTTCAAGTCTAAGTTTACCATCAGTCGGTTTTGTCTGGGTTTTCGGAATAATGGTTGGGAATGTTTTGCAGCCACATTGATATACACGTAGATATTTATTTTTTTTATTCTAAACCGTTAAGTTTCTTTCATCATTCATGAATTACTGACCCTGTATTTCGGTATTCCTATGTTATCAGTTTTAAATGTCTTAGTAACTAAATATCAGTAAGTTTTAATTTTGATTACTCACAAGCTATTCTATATCACAAAAATCAAATAGACGCCAACCTATATCTGTCTGATTCTTTGTCAAAGTATATATTTACCAAATCAGTTTCAAAAGAAATTCATTTACTTGGTTGTGCAAGTTCTATTGTCTGTAATTCAACTCCACCTCGTTTTCCATCCAGTTGGTTACCATATAATCCTGTGAAAAGAAGATAAATTTTGAGGTTTTTACTCAAAACAATAATGGAAACAATATGAGCTAACATTTAAATGTACAACAAACAAAAAAGTGTTTATATATCGTATTCATTCAGTCTTGATCGACTCTAATCGCTCAAATAATCCTCCCGTCAATTTTGACATTGTCGTTATAAACCGTTCAAACCTATTAACTGTTATATCCCTACGAGAATAATGAATGGTAGCTGTTGGGTTCCATTTATGGATCAATACTATACATATATTCTTATTGTATAATTGTTAAGTAACTAAACTATTCATATTCATGTTCCTTTTATCATAAACTTTATTTTGACCCATAAACTATTATTATACGATTTATCATTCTTGAGTTATGCCCAGTCTATCAATCACTATCTCCCACATTCACAGCCACATTTTTGGCTTGATTTTGTACAAATGTTATTCCCTATTTTATGGTGTAATGTGGTCTGTTTGGCTTGTATATAAACCAGGTATTTTTGAAATAAATGATTCGTATATTGGAAGCTGGTATTGGTGTTCTAGATTCAACTGGAAGGACTAGGAGGCAAAGGGACTAATAAGGACTTTAGACTTCTCAACGAGTTGATGCATCATTGATTTAGCACAGTGCTCAGATTTTATGAGTCGTATATCGATTGACGAATAAGTCACATGGTAATTAGCCCGGATAAAAGTCACAACACTAATATTTTGTGTGCAACTCCTGAAGTAACTTAGTATTATGATTTTTCTATTGTGTCATCATGTTACCGACTGTTTATGAGTCTATACGCTGAAAGTTGCATTTATATACGATTGTGATGGACCAGACATCCAGCTCAGTGAACAAAACTTCATCGAAATCATCCATCTGAGCTAGAAATCTTCTCCACCATCTTAATATACGATTATGTAACTTGATGGTGAATTTGTTGAAAAGGATCCCTCTGCTAAATTTCATGTTCTTAATTCTAATTGGAAATTATTCAACCAATCAATCATTGGAAGAGGAGAAATTAATAGGCCTCGAGGTAAAATAAGAAGAAATTAACACATTCTATCCCTTTGTGTATATTTTTATACTACTTAATGATATTCAGTAACCAGTTTAGTTCTAATGAGCACATACACAAACTTGTAACATTAAATTTATTTATTATTGGATTATCATTTTACTCTTTCAGTTTTCACACAACAGTTGAGTGTCACAGAGATTATGGTATGTTATTGTAAATAACCTTTAAGGAAATATCTGTCCTTGATTACACATTGATATGGCCTATACCGTAGACGCCTGTGATAATAGTACTGTCATTGCAGATAATCTTACGCTTTTGTCTACCAGATTTTATGCGTCACTTAATCATATGGTCTGAAGATTCTATATAGTTTCAAATCGACAAATGAGATCATATAATGAAAGTATAAAATGTTACTAAACTTTAGATTTGGAGACGGCAAGGAATAATTTCAACTGTTATTATAATTATAGATAACATTTAAATTACTAGTCTGAAACCAATGGGGAATAACTTCATGGATTGTTACCATTTACAAATACACCTAGTGATAATTTTTAATCAACTTAATCCTATACCAGACAGTATTCAGTCTTGTGATAAGCTGTGGCGAAACATCCGTAACACATATCCTAATTACATTGCTTGATTCAGGCTTGTACTCTTGTCAATCGACTTACTCTTGTTACTTGATACTATGCACCTCATACTAGTACTATCCAATTACTGATTTCTATTCATCTATAAGATAAAAGCCTAGGTTTTGATCAAACGATAGATGTTCAGTGTGTTCACTAAGTTATTTCATCTTTATGAGTTCATTTATTACTATTGATGAATATTTTAAGTTTGAATAGTGCAATAAGAAGACATAGATTATCAGAACTGTGTTTATGGCACATAAAGAAAGTATCACTGAAGACCTAAGCGAAAATATGTCCTTTTATAAAAGGTATGTGAATGACATCTTAGTTATCCGTGAAAGAAAGGATGATATGAATTGCTTATTGGATAAAATTAATACTTAAAAACCACATCGATCTTTCATGTGAAGAGGAGAAGAACGACTAGCTTTTCTTCTTATAAGTAGAATAGATGGTTCAGTCGAACTATTCATTTTTTAAAAACCAACTTGGACAGGTCAGTATCCTAGTTATAATAGTTATTGCTTAGTTCAACACAAACGGGGCCTATTTAACACGATTGATCAATATTTACACAGGCAACGTTATTGATGGCGAAGTCAGTTTGTTGAACAGAACATTAATGAGAAATGGTTATCCTCCAAAATTCATAAATCGATGGAAAGGTCATCGTATAGTGAGACCTATAATATTTTTGGCACACAAAGCCTCTCAAAATCATCTTGCCATTCAGGGATGAGTCAAATAGCCTTTTATTGAAACAAAGGCTTAAACCAGTTATTAACAAACCTTACTACACTGCAAAAGTCATTATTAAAGAGACAAAAACAGTTCCATGATTTACCAAAAACCTAAAAGATATGAAAACGATCGCGTCACATCCCACTGTTTTTACCAATTTAAATATGTGTGTGGTCACATATACATAGGGAGGAGAAATCGTGATCTCCAAATTAGGGTATCTTGAACATGTACCTAAATTGTTACTAAGACAATCAATATCAAATGTCCCAATAAGAGTAGATGATAAACATCCATTATCCTCTCTTGCTAAACATATAGTTGAAACAGGTCATAAGATTGATCTTTACTCAACTTTTGTGATTTCGTACAAAAGTGTTAAAGGGAGTATATTGTATTTTTAATCCCCCCTCCCACCATGTATTCAAAAATAGTTTGTTCTCATCTGAAACCTATCCTGGTAGTATTAGTTTTTTATCTGGCATGCAGAAAACATGACATGTAAAGAGATATAGCTTGAGATGTAGCTTGAGAAGATTTCTAGCTCAGTGAATGATTTTGATAAAGTTTTATTCTACCTAAAGTTTATACTGATGATATCGTTCAACAGAACCATCTAGCTAAAAGAATAAAACTTCATATTAAGAAGTGTCTTATTGAAACTCTTCCACTGATGATAATATTTACAGAATATTAAAAGAACAAAAACAATAATAAAATCAATAAAAATATCAATATTATCTTACCAAAACTGATTTCATAAGAGATTGGTTTATTCTTAACACCAAGTTTTTTCTCAATTACACTTGCTTCAGAGAAACAAGCAAATAAAAAGTATAAACTTTTTTTCCCAGCTACAGTCTATAAAAGTGAAATAAAGAGGGGGGGTCTTTTAAATTATATACACCTATATCTTTTTTAATTTTACAGAACCATACTACTCATTTGAAATAGAACAAGAACAACACAAAGTTGATTCATTGTATTTGACGGTTTCTTATCCATTGTAATTAATTATTCAACAAGGACATAGAGAATGATTATTGTTAGGCTTACTAAACATGCTTCTAGAATTCTAGAGACCTAAAAGGTGATAAACTATTTATCAGTGAAATTGTCAGTCATCTTTTTGATTTTAAAAACAGACAATTAACATCAGTTCTGCTTTGTGTTTACAGAGGCGATCGTTATCAAAATTTTCCAACCTGACTAATCTTATATAGAAAGAAAGTGTACTTAGCCATTTTATGCGTCAGAACTGAATGTAAATGAAATAATCTTTTTAATTTATTTTAACATTTATCGTCTTTTAATTTCCATCTCTTACGTAATCTCTTCATTACAATAACTTACTTACCTATGACTGTAACAATTGATGGAATAGCATAGGCCACCCCCCAGGATTCTATATCGAACTCTGTCCCTGGAAGATTATAATAATTAGTAGCTAGAAAATCGTCTATTCTACTCTGCATTACTACTTCAAACACATAACTTCACTTGTTGAAATCATGAGTCAATTTAAGCTAGACCACCATGGAAAACCTGGAAGTACTGGACGGCCGTTTCGTCCTAGTATGGGACTCCTCAATAGTGCGCATCCACGATCCCGTCCCCCGCGAGATTCGAACCCATTTACAGTAGATTAAACAATACCCTTCTTTATAAAACATTAATTATAACAGGCAGACGTACTATCATAAGTTGAAGAATTAAAATGGTCGAATTTCATAAAATGAGTATAGTTGTAATGCTAAGCAATCCTATATAGTATATTCTGAATTCCGGATAAGCCAATCTACTCATTCTTCTTGAGTCACATGTTGACCTTGTTAATTATTCACTTATCAAGCTTGAAATTTTTCATATGAGCCCATGTGTGTACATTGATTTTCCCACTCATCATATGCCGGTAACTTATTTTCGTCTGACAATAAATATTGATTAACGCTTGATTAAACTGAATTGGCTAACACGCCTTCGCCACCGCGAAGTAGTAGCCCGAGATCTGACTACAGGTAGGTCGTTCGAAATATACAAGTCGCCAATACTCGTATATAACCATTGACTTAAATCGCGTTGGTAACTGAGCTAAATAAGTCAAATACGATAATTGATTTTTGAATACGTATATTTCGTACAATCGTTGATCGTAAAGCGAAGCAAAAGGAAATGACGCGCACTGCGGAAGGCAAGTGAACCAACTCAATTAAGCTTGAATCGATATTTATAGTCAGACCAAAATAATTTACAGACATGTAATGAGTCGTATAAGAAATGCACAAACATACGCTCATATAAAAGTAGTAAAGGTTGATAAGCAAATAAGTGACAAGGTCAAAATGTAGCTTGAGAAGAATGGATAAACTGGCTTGTCCGGAAGCCAGAATAACCTATATGGGCTTGACACAGGGCCAGCCACTACACAAACATGGAGGACCATATCATAAAACTTATGCATTCAGTTAGTGCCTTCACGTTGTTTCTTATGTGTAATAGGGTATAAGCATGTGTTCAGGTGTTCTGTAAATATCTTCATATAAATACCTCGAAAAGTATCTTTTCTTCAACTAATCTATCAATCAAACACGACTGAGACATTCTGTTTACAGTGACTAAGATATGTATTCATTTCCTGTATAACCTCAAATTACCTCTGAAACAGGACTTGCAACAACTTTACTAGTACCAATTCGAACTACATCTTCATCTTCCATTGATCGTATAGCTAGAAGTAGTCGACCACGATAGGCAACTCCTTCTCCAAGTGCTTGATTTAATTCTACTTCTGGCTGTAACATTTGTGCATATGTATAGATTCGTGGAGTTCCATAAAGATTAATCCAAGATGGTCCAAAATGTGGAAAATTACCTAAGAAATAAATATGATTAAGTATCTTATTTCACAATTAAATAATTTTAATAGTTGAGATCATGAGTTAATTGAGGCTAGACCACCATGGGAAACCTGGAGGCACTGGACGACCGTTTTGCACGCGAGACTGATAGGTCTGGAGTTCGAATCCCGCGAGGCGAGGTCGTGAATGTGCACTGCTGAGAGGTCCCACAGTAAGACGAAACGGCCGTCCAGTGCTTCCGGATTTTTTATGGTGATCTAGCTTCAATTGACTCACGATTTCAACTATTAAAATTGCTATAATTCCCACGAAACCCCTCGTGAAATTAAATAACTGTTGAGAAACTATAGAATAGCACAATATTTACAAAGATATTCTTACGATGTAAAACACAATAGAGGTCATGAAATACATGTTATGTCATGGGAAGATTTCTTTAGAAAGGCACATTTCAGCGAACAATAATTGACCATTTTTATTCGTACTGTTGTTATTATTTGTCATTAGAGAATCTGTTGTTCATTATTTATCTCATTTTTAGGTTAAGCAGCTATACAGAAATGTATATTTCTCATGAATGATTGATTACGACGTGCGCTTTACAAACAAGAAGTTTAGTCCTCTTTCATGGATAATATATTTAAGTTCTTCTGTGGAGGTATCGGTGATCCACTGCTATTAGGTATGGAAGTCCGTTAAGCGAAAGCTTCTTCTATTCCATCCAAAACCATTCGAATCATTTGATATAGTTAATGAGTTTGGTTTATCATTGTAAAATTAACTTGAGGGCACTAGAAATTATTTCTGGCTTCGTTCAGTTTGAACAGAGGTTTAGTGTTCGCGTGAGAAACTGGAGGCCTTTGGTTCGAATCTCGAGAGACGGGATCGTAGATACGCAAAGCTGAGGAGTCCCATAATAGGACGAAACGGCCGTCTACTGCTTCTAGGTTTTCAACTGTGGTCTAACATCAATCGGTTTATGATCGCAATCAAAAGATTTGAATTAAATGGACAATTGAATTGTTATTGCTAAATTCGAATAACTAGTATCGAAAGAAAATAATAAATAAATAATTTTCAGGTCTAAATTTCCCTACGACACTATTATAGTGATATCATTTCAGGCTCTATATATTTGTGACTGTTGTGATTCACCACACTGAACATATTCATCACATACATGTTTGAATAATTTCAATCTCTTAAAAGGATATCTGTAAAGAAAACTATTCTTCAACATCCAACATTTACTCAATAGCTGGACAAAATGACATAATAAATGAATATTGATAGTGTTGGGGAAATCTCAGTCATATGTTACAGTTTACTACAAATCTGATCAATTCTCTTAGAACATATTTCTATTTATTAACCTCTCTGTAGTTAGTCTTTGATCAAAAATAATAATTACTGATCATCTTTTTTTAAAATATTTTTACTGATGACCAAATTATAAATAATCATTTTCAAAGTAAATACATTAACAGTTGAGATGGATAGTGGCTACCAGTGGAATCAAGAAGTGAGTCTTATTTGAGATAAACGGAATACACCCATTATGACATTAAATAAGAAAGAAAGATTAGTTCAGCGAAGAGTTCTCTTTTCGGCGAATTCATTTTCAAAGCTGTACAATCGCAAATATATATACTTATTTTTACAGGGTGATAATAATACTGATAATAAACTTATGTTATACATAGTGACGGTGAGGTTAAATAAACAAAGGTATTAGAAAAATTTTGTTTAAGACAAGGAAATTTTGATAGTTAATGGCTTAGATATTCATCGGGTAAGGGTAGCTCAGCATGATAAAATAACATAAAATGTTGAAACAGAGATGAAATGTAATCGGAATGATCGTGGAAATAAAAACAAACCGGTTGGGGGTACAAGATTTGAAGGGAAGATGGAAGGTGAAGCAGGTGGCTGTAAAAGAACAAGAGTATGAAGAAAGGGAAAAATTTTATTAATACCTTAAGACCATGGTAAAAGAAGAGGTTGTACCAGTCTCTTTTGTACACATAATTCTGGTTTTTCAAAATGTATGGCTATTGCCTCGGCGATGCAAAGAAGATGCAGTCTAATTGTCTTAGGAAGGCTTCTACTTACCTTGTAGATGACTTTGAACGCAGAGTCTGTCTTGATTGAGTGACCTGTGTTCACAAGGTGTTCGATTATAGAACTTCTTATTGAGCCGCTGCCTCCTCTTCTTAGCCAAGCCGGACAATGTTCTTGAATTCTTTTGGATAAAGTACGCATCGAACGACCTATATACCTAGCTCCACAAGAGCAGGTAAATTGGTAAATGCACATTGAGTTGGTCAGATGCGATAATTTATCTTTCAGATTATTGGTGAACAGTGATCGGCTGGAGAATAATATTCGCAATGTTGCTGCGAAGAATGTTCTTTTTAAAGAATCAGAAATTCTCCTGTTTAAGATATATGCGGCTCTATCACCTTTGAAGTCGGTGTTCATGTATAAAATTTTCTTTTCTACTGCAATTGTTTGTGGTTTTGAGACTCGTCAACTCGATGTACTTGCATCCCACAATTAATGTTCACTCCGAGACTCGAAGTGAGTACCGTTCGCTACAAACACCACTATGTTATTTACTTAGCTACTAAGTCTTGATAGCCATTAGCTTGTGCAATGGGGTGAAGTTTAAATTAATTTTGTATTATTTCTTTGAATCTTTTTATTGATGTTTAAGACTATAATTAATCAGTCTCTTATTGACATATGTACACTCTGTACGAATTGCCTCGATATTTCCTTAAGCTACCATCCATCTTTGCTGAGAATGCTTGTGATTTAAGGCAATATCAGAATAATCCGTACAGGATCCACAGTTTGAAGTATTAATCCATAGAGACTGGGTTCAAGTTGCAGTGTGAACACCAACATTCAGATACAGTTTCATCCAGCTAACAAATCCCTAATGGATCAAAATGAGCATTTGCGATTCCAATACCACTTACATACTTACTTACGCTTGTTTTTCCTCGTGGAGAAGCATAGGTCACTACTCATCAGCATTCTTCATCCAACTCTGTCCTGGACAATTGTTCCCAATTATGTTCAGTTGCTAATTTCACTACTAGCCACTTACTAAATGTATTAAAAACTATCTTTCTAATTTCTTTCGTGTTTATCATAGATTAAAAACTATTGAATATCATGAAACATTGAACGTCTATATTGTTTCTGGTCTTTGACTATCTCCAAGATGTTTATCCATTGATAAACATTATAAAATAACTAACCAAGTAAATCAATATAAACAATAGGTAATTATAAAATTCAACTTACGACCAGTAATATGGCACATAATATCACGTATATCAATTAAACGTGTAGCAATTAGTTCACCTTTTATTCCACCATTTCTAACATTAATTCTAATAGTTCGAGTAAATGTTGGAAAATAATCACAAAATTCAATTGTTTCATTCCATATTGGATTATAATTATATCGTTCTGTTTAGTTCTAGCCTATCATATTTAAAGAGGTAAAAAGAATAAATTTCATTGGAAATAAGAAATCTAATATGAATAACTATTCATCCTTTTAGAATACAGTTGTTGAATAGTTAAGAATGAATGGTCAATGAATTTAAGAGAGATATCCTGAATTTTTGTAAGCAATGATGGATAGTGGCTAGCAGTGGAATCCAGTTTGACGCGCGTTTCGTCCTATTTGGAACTCGTCGGCTGGATGCACCTGCACCTCAGGGTTGATGTTCACTCTGGTCACTTTGGTCACACGATTCCCGTTCAACTCGAGTAATCCCCAATCATTCGATGTAGATCATCTAAGTTAGTGATTTATGTAGTCATGCATAAACATTTCAAGAAGCCAGAAAAAAATATTGACTTCACTCGACTACAGTGTGTTATTCTAGTGAATTTATTATTGAGGTTAAGGTATTTAACTTTTGACCACTAAGTAACAGATTTGAACTTTGCTCACTCATTTTAATTTAAATATTAGCTCAGTATAACGAAGCCATACACACAGAAAGTGTGACGCATGACCGAGTACATAACACTATTCCTTGTTATATCAGATTCGAAATTAAACAATATGAACGAAATACATGTTTACAATTCAGTGATTTTTTTATTCAAATCGTGAATCGATGAATGTTAGACCCATATTAAAAACCTGGAAGCGTCGGACAGCTGTTTCGTCCTAATATTGGTCTCCTTAGCAGTGCGCACCCACGATCCGAACGTAGGATTCGAACCCAGGACCTTCGGTTTCATTCATTTTTATTGATGGTGAGATAATTAAAAAAATTTTGAAATCATAATCTTAAAAAAAAATCAAAACGCACTACCAGAATGATGACAATACTTACTGTATGTCCAGCATAAGAAACTTCCACGTATGAATCAAGATTTGGTGTATTTTCTCCAACGAATGCTTTTCTGATTTTATTGCTTATTTCTGTATTCATTGGAGGCAAATCTTCAGCTTGATATATACTGACTTTCATAGAGAGCATAATACGTTTTTGTGTCATACCGGTATAACGTGGTAATAGTAAATGACTAAGAAAAAAAATTGAAGAGAATACAATAGATTATTAGGAAAATGTTTATTTGGATAAACGGCGTTACTTTCTACATTAGCGAATATTTATCAACTTGATTTTGAATAGTATGAAATATTGATTGATCAAGATTGTAGATTGAAAGGATATTGGAGATTTTGGATAATGTAGCCGAATAATTGATCGTTTGCAATTTTAATCAGTCTATGAAATCATTTTAGAATAATTAACTATTCGATAAGGATACTTGAAAAAAGTATAAGTTTTCTTTGAAGCCGAAAATACTTCTTTCTATGCTTATCGACACAATCGAATCACACTTAACGAAGAAGATTTGGAACATGTGAAAACCTTTACATATCTGGGCAGCATCATTGATGAACACGGTGGATCTGATATAGATGTGAAGGCGCGGGTCAGCAAACAAGAACAGCATATTTACAACTGAAGAACATCTGGAACTCAAAACAACTGTCAACCAACACTAAAGTCAGAATTTTCAATGCAAATGTCAAAATAGTTCTACTGTATGGGGTGGAAAACCTGGAGAACTATGAAAGCCAAGATACAGCAACAACCTAATATGAGAGAGAACAAACCAGATTCCAGCTGACGAAGAAATTAGGAAGAAGCAATGGAAGTGGATAGGACACACATTGAGGAAAGCACCGAATTTCGTCACAGGTCAAGCCCTCACATGCGATCTTCAAGGCCAAATGAGGAGAGGAAGATCAAAGAACACATTATGCCGAGAAATGGAGACAGACATTATAAGAATGAATAACAATTTGATAGAACTAGAAAGGAAGGAGTAGGACAGAGTGGGTTGTAGAATGCTGGTCGACGACCTAAGGTCCATTGTGAGTAACAGGCGTAAGTAAGTAAGTGAGTAATGCTATTCGACAAGTTCAAAACTTTAGTTTTCCACGAGTTTCTGGTTAATTACTTCCAGTGATTCAGAAATGTCAGTCTTATTATAAGTGATTATTAAACTCTTACCAGTGACTAAAATAACGGTGTTATGATGCTCAACACGCTAAATTGGTGCGACTATAATTTATGGACGATCTTTGAACAATGCTAAAATGATTTTGGGATATCCACCTACTTACTTGAGTTAAATGAAGGTTATAGACTAATGTGAGTAATAAGTATTAGGATTTACAGTTGAATGTTAGAATTAGGAATTAGATTTGATGTGTTTCATTATAGTGTTAGTTGCTATGTGAAGCCCATATAGCTTATTCTATCTTCCGCAAAAACCAGTTTATTCATTCTTCTTGAGTCATAATTCTGGTTAAACATTGTTATAAGTGTGAATATGAATAGTCATATCGACTCAATAGAAAACTCAGTAAAGACTTACTTTTCAATTATTTCATCATGATCAGGTTTCTCTCTTCGAATTCTCTAAAAGTTTCGTTTTTTTATAAATAAAAAAAGAAACGAAGTTAGTTATTTCTTATATGAATTAAAATTTAATAGTACAGAATTAAATCAAACATTTTTGGTTGAGATCATGAACCGATTGATGTTAGATCATCATTGGAAATCTGGAAACACTAGACGGCCGTTCCGTCCTATTTTGGAAATCCTCAGCATTGCGCATCCACGATCTTGCTTGTGGAATTTGAACCAATGGCCTCCACGTTTTGCGCGCGAACGCTTAACCTACTGGACCACTGAGTCGGCATCCAATGGTGTTAGTGTCTAACATCGACCAGTCCACGAAATTGCGGGACCATCTTCATTGTACTGAGGTAGATACCTGTCTCTACCCGTCACGGATTAGCTTCACTGGTCACGGCTTCTCACCAGAACTCTGAGGATTCCCTCACGAAGCTAGTCGCTAGTGAGCACACATGTTAATCATCAGTTTAAAGGAACCGGCATCTAATGGTGTTAGTGTCTAGCATCAACCAGTCGACGTGAATGCGCACTGCTGAGTCCCAACGTAGGACGAAACGGCCGTCCAGTGCTTCCAGGTATCCAACTGTGGTCTAACATCAATCAGTTCATGATCTCAATCAAAAACTTAATAATCTCCACAACTCCTATACTGATAAATCAAAATTAATGATTAATTCTGTTGGGAATGTTAAACCCTCAGCAAATCACTTGGTAAGGGTCTTATTTTTGTAATTTTATTTTGAGAATTTGAATATCTCATTTTCGCGCCAAAAGCGCACACTTTTACCTTTAGTTTGTACTTTCCACTTGAAAGGACATTAAATATCATTGGTTCATTTCCTCTTTTAATACGCTATTTTGTGACATTTCCCTAGGTCATCTTCATACTTTATATATATATATGCTTGAGTTGTGTTCTTATTTGTTCGTACTTCCGGGCTACTTATGGAATATACATTTCCCTTTTCTGAAACTGGTCTTCTCCCTCTAGTTAGCAGGTCTGTGGAGGGAAGTGCAATAGTTTAGTGCGTCCTGGTTTTGCGTTACTGAACGTCATTCCGTTCGCCGGTTTTAGGTGAGATCGTAGTCTCTTCAAACATAGCACATTTACTGAGTTATTTAAATACATCAAATGTTAACTAATGTCTTAGATAACTTGCTAACATTAAAATTATGTTCACTTGGTGTTGTTTTACTTGTATCTTTCCACTGTTGTTTGGATGAGTTCCAAATTCGACGAAATGCGCGTCCATCCATCTTTTATTTAAATTATGGTTTAATGAAAGTGGTATCTGAGCCTTATTATGATCAATGATTAGTCCTTGATGGAAAAAATGTCTTTTTTAAACTCCTGACCCTCTCAGTCAATCAGAAAACAGGAATAATTAGTGAATGATTTATAATAAACAAAAAAGTATTTACATTCTAGACTTTGTTTATTATAATTTATAAATTTTTCTAACTCGGCTAAAGGATTTTATCCATTAGAGTGCTGAGTTAAGATTAGTGTATAAGGTTTAGGATTAAGATTAGAAATATTCTATGCCTAGCCTAATCTAACCATCTACCCTAACCCTTACTTTAAGATCTTAATGCAGTGACGGTTTTCTCACTACAATTATTCATCACATAGTCGATAGTCATGTATGTCATGACCTTGAAATCGCCCTCTAGATCTTGATTGATTCAGTCTTATACTATACCACTTAAAATTCCTAGGTGACATTTAAAAATCAAGCTCTATCGATAGTCTATATCTTGACAATAAACATTTTTACTGATATTTTGTAATAACTCAGCATAATTTTTTGAAGCTTTTACATTTATGAATAATACATAAATACCTAAATAAACATAAAATTACTTTAACTTGGTGTCCTTCTTCTATGACATGCATATCAAGTTTAACATAGCCCGTAGGACCTTTCCATGGATCTTTGGGGTCGATAATCACTGCCCATTTATTTAATACTGCATGATCTGTTTTAAAATATAAAGTTAAAATACAGTTGAACTTAAGAACCTTAAACATGTTTGTGAAATTCATAAAAATAACCATCTTTATCAATAGTCAGCTGGTTTTGTTTGACTTGAAGGTAAGTTTCAATAAAAGTTGACATCACTAACAGTACACAAGAAAATCAACACAAGTGTTCACTTATGGTGTGGTATTTATTGATAACGTATACCCATAACACTATATGACCGTGCTCAGGAAGTTAAGGGTCGTGGTATGATTGAGCAGACTTAGTGAATCATACTTTGATTTTAGTCGAATTACGATAGAGCTCAATTATTAAATTATACCATCAATCAGCAAGTGATTCAATGTAGTATCGTAGGCGAGACTATAATTCATGGGCGAACCAATCAGATTTACGATGATAGGTCTTAGATTTTGGGGCGAAATTCATTCAACTATTTTGCTAAATAGAGTCTTGGCATTATAGCTGATGTCGTTTCGTGATGAAAACCATAAATCTAATTCCTAACCCTAAACATCAACTGCAAATCATAATCCTTATTCTTCAAACTGCTTTATAACCCTCATTTAGCCCTAGTAAGTAGGTAGACACTCTCAACGTCACTTAAGCGTTGCTCAAAGGTCGTTCATAAATTATAGTCTCACCGTATCCTATGCTTCTTGAATTTTAGCGTTCCTTTAACTACCTCCATTTTTTGGTGTTACATACCTTTATTGTTTAACTTGTTGAGTGATTGAAGTGCATTACTTCTCAGTCAATTGGTTTCCGACTTTTAGATGCTTAATAGTGAATATAAATCAGCGGAAAATTAGTTGTCAAACCCTACTATGAATAGATTCGAGATCCATTCAGCATAGGTAAAAAAAGCAGTCACTCTATGGTTTCATTGACTTTTTGATTGAGTGGTTTTGTTCTTCTTCAATTTTACTCCCACCAATCGTGTTATAAATTTTACTACGTGCAGCTGATAAGTTAAAACATCTTCTTAGGATCGGAGCCACTGTGACGATGTCACTGAACAATAGATAGTAGCGACAAACAGCGTTTACAAACGACACGATGGATAATTAATGTAAGCTTGTGACCTACACTAACAAAGAAATTTTCGATCATCAGGAATAACTTGGATCACAACAATGATAAAAGATTTTCTTAAATCTTTTCGTTCAGATTTTTAGACTAGCTACCACCACTATTGTAGTGCACGGACAGTCAATTAAATCAAAATACCTGTCATCCCTAAATTTCATGCATAAAGATTATGCTACTTGTTCTTATGTCAAGTAAAAGGTATAAGGTACCGATGAGATCACTACCATATTACTTTATAAAGAAGCATCCTTTAAATAACAAAGATAACCGGTTGGTTCAAGTCTCATATGTTACCATAGACAACTATAAAAATTGTTTCACCTACTAAGAACTACCAATCATGGATATCGGACTCCGTAATCAAACTGTACCTTTCCATTATATGTATCTGATATTTCTCACATTCTACATTACTTTCTAATGATCATAATTCACCAGTTAACATTGATCTGCACAAATATCCATACAGTTTTATTGTTCACGGTTATTAGATTATTTTCTTTTTATAAAAATGTTACCGTAAGGATTTAAAGTATGGTTAATACTTAATAAAATTTAAGTGTAGAAAAGTTGACGAAATGAAGATACAAATAGTTTTCATAATAATCCGAAGATAAATGGACATAATTCAATCTTGTATTTGATGTATAGAGTCTCAGTCATCTTAAGTTTAAAGTTACCACTTAAAGGAAGTTGAATGTTTCTTCACAAGTTACTTTCTTTTTAATATCTATCCTGAAGTACTTTGTAATGTATTCATATGTAGTACATTTATTTTTACTGGAGTTTTGTCCTCTGAGCTGGATGGTTTGGTTGTGGAGCTTCCATCGTTCTTCTGAACGACATCATTAGCACGAACTTCAGATAGAAGTAAAGCGTTCGAATTCCTCCACATGTGGTTCACAGATTGTCCTGTACACTTCCATGTTGATTGGATCTTGTTGACCTTAAACCTATGATTGTTTACTTCTTTGTTTGGTTTTATCTCCTATTGTTTTAATTTTTGTTCCTATGTTTGTGCATAATTTTCCTGATTGGTTGATAATTTGAATCGATTTCAATGTGCTTTGTCGATTGCTGATTGACCTGAGTGTCAATACTGAGTGATCGCCAACTAGATGCTTGTAGTCCAGTTAATCGACATTTTTTTCGTTTCATATTGCCAGCAACCACATTATCTTTGATTGGGCCTTCGGTATCTTGTACAACGAAAGGTTGTACACTTTTCAGAAATGTACACTAATAGGTTATACGATTAATAGATATAATGACGTATTAAAACAAACAACTTGAAATATCTAGAAAGCAGGAACAGGTAGCCCAGAGGTTTAAGCAGACCACTTCATTCAAAATTTTGAAATACTCTAACTCTAATATTTTAATTACTGAATGATTAACTGAAAAGTTTCAAAAGTGTAAAGAAACTGAACATACCTTTTTCATTATAAACTGTTTGTACATCAGTAATAAATTCACCGATCAATTTACCAGGTAAAAGACGGGCTAATGGATGAGATCGCATATTAAATACCTAATAATAATATAAAGATATATGTTTCATTTGACTAAAATTTTACAAAATATGCTAAAAGTATATAAGTAAGGTGTATAACTAATAAATGAGTGACACTAAGCCGTTGAAATCACTGTATATTAGTTCACTAAATAGATAACTTACTTTCTAGTCGGATTTAGATTTAAATATATCACTACGTGATTATCATACTACCTATAAACTTTACCGAGTTGAGAGAGTTAAAATCCGACAAACAAAATCTTACTTTATGAACTAGGTATTCTTGTATTGTAGGGAATAAAAACAGAAGTGGGGTCAATCGAATGTATTTGACACGAAATTACAGAGCACCTCACTAAAATCTGAGAACCATATAGTAAATAGTTAATTTGAAAAATGTTAATCCGTCATCTCAAAATTAACTGTTCCTTTTGTAAATATCAGTCCATTGTCTCAGATTTCATTGTTCATGCATTTTCATACCAATCGCGTTCCGTTTCCGTCGTTTCTTGATCGATCTTCTACTGAAATACATTATATGCCTGACCACCGTTATAAACTACTTATGTGGATATAAGTAACCCACACCACAGTATCTCTGCTAATTATTGTCTGAGCTGAGGTATGAAATTTCGACACAATCAAAAATCTGATTTTTTTCCATATATCTAATAGCGAATATGTAACGCATAAATCATCACGTTGCTTAACATATTAACTACTCCACTATTCTTGCCTAAAATCCAACAACCATTTCGACGATCATGAAGTTATGATGTTTTTTTGAAACATTCGATTACATTTAAAACGACCTACTTGGTGGTTTATTTCATTTCTGAATATTTTTCACTAAACTCTACGGATCATTGTGGAACAATCAACTGAATGGACTTCATCACTCTACACCAACTTCATTGACCACGAAAAAGCATTTGATAACGTGGACAGAACAACACTTCTTCGATACTACGGAGTACCTCAGATGATAGTCAATATCATACGGAATTCCTATGATGGATTAAACTGCGAAATTGTGCATGGAGGACAATTGACAGACTCGTTCGAGGTAAAGACCGGTGTCAGGCAAGGTTGCTTACTCTCACCCTTTCTCTTTCTCCTGGTGACCGACTGGATCATGAAGATGTCAACATCTGAGGGGAAGCACGGGATAGAGTGGACATCTAGGATGCAGTTGAACGATCTAGACTACGCAGATGATCTGGCCCTCCTATCGCAGTCGCAACAACAAACGCAGGAGAAAACGACCAGTGTAGTAGCAGCCTCAACAGCAGTAGGTCTCAACATACACAAAGGGAAAAGAAAGATTCTCCGATACAACACAACATGCACCAATCCAGTCACAATTGACGGAGAAGATTTGGAAGATGTAAAAACTTTCACATATTTGGGCAGCATCATTGATGAACACACCCGATCTGATACAGATGTGAGGGCGCGTTTCGGCAGGACAAGAGCAGCATATTTACAACAGAAGAACATCTGTGATTCAAAACAAGTGTCAACCAACACCAAGGTCAGGATTTCCAATACAAATACAGTTCTACTGTATGGGGCGGAAACCTGGACAATTACGAAAGTCATCATTCAGAAGATACAAGTGTTTATTAACACTTTTCTAAGCGAAATACTTCGGATCCGTTGGTCAGACACTATTAGCAACAACCTACTGTGGGAAAGAACAAACCAGATCCCAGCGGAGGAAGAAATTAGTAAGAAGCAATAGGTGTGGATAGGACATACATTGAGGAAAGCATCCAACTGCTTCACAAGGCGAGCCCTCACATGGAATCCTCAAGGCCAAAGGAAAAGAGGAAGACCAAAGAATACGGAGATATACATGAGAAAGATGAACAAGAATTGGATGGAATTAGAAAAGAAGGCCCAAGACAGAGTGGGTTGTAGAATGCTGGTCGGCGGCCTATGCTCCGTTAGGAGTAACAGGCGCAAGTAAGTAAGTAAGTAAGTAAGTAAGTAAGTAAGTAAGTAAGTAAGTAAAACATCTTGACAAATAATAATCAGTAATGTGCCAACTTGTAATAAACTTCAATAAAAGACGTTTATGAATTCTAGTGCAAAACAGTACTATGTGGATTTATTCATCTTAAGACTAAGACATTAGTTGATCGCGATGCATCGTAGAATGAATGGGAGTGAATTGTTGATCCATTTGATTTCAACTTAACATTTCAAGGTATTGTGCTTGTGATGAAATATCATGACTGTGTACTAGATTTTATATGTATTCACGTGTCCACATTACCAAGAGAACTGAAACTAGAATGAAACAACTGTTTAGCGTTAACTAACTATCGTTGATTTTTCAAAGGATATCTATTTACTGTTAGATCTATTTTCAGATGTCTGTAATAACTGCATATCAGATATATGATGAATGATGAGATGGTGGAGAAGATTTGTAGCTGAGGTGGATGATTTTGATGGATTTTTGTTCTCTGAGCTGGATGATTTGGTCGTGGGGCTTTCATCGTTCTTCTGAACGACGACCAAACCATCCAGCTCAGAGAAAAAAGCTCCATCAATATGGTGAATTACTTAATAATAATAATAATAATAATAATAATAATAATAATAATAATAATAATAATGATAATAATAATAATAATAAAATGGTAACTTACTCGAATACGAATTATTTCTGTAAGTACACTTATTTTAGGTCGAGCAAAATCAAATGCAAAATAATTATCATAAAATGGACAATTCGTTGAGTATTTAGTAACCGTTTTTTGTACAGATTTTCCAACGGTTACAGTAATCATTGGATTGATATTAGTTCCAACTAATTTTCGAGCTTCAACTACATTGATTCCTAGCTAAAAATAATATAAATTTTAATTTTTATTATCAATTATATTACTTATTATTATTTAAAGTAGTATAAATTGGAATGAGATGATTAGGATATGAGAGGGTAGTTTCTACTAATGATTAATTGGATTAGTTTTGTAAAGAATTTGTTTCACAGGTTGAAATCATGAGTCAGTTGAAGCTAGACCATCATTGAAAACCTGGAAGCACTGAACGGCCGTTTTGTCCTAGTATGGGACTCCTCAACCAGGTCTGTTGTGAGATATCAGCTCACTGAATGGTTAAGTGCTCGCGCGAGAAGCCAGTAGGTCCTGGGTTCGAATCCCACAGGGGGCGGGTTCGTGGATGCTCACTGCTGAGGAGTCTCATACTAGGACGAAACGGCCGTCCAGTGCTTCCAGGTTTTCAATGGTGGTCTAGCTTCAACTGACTCATGATTTCAACCTGTGAAATTTACTAAAATCTCCACAAAACTCGTTCTGAAAGAATTTGTTTATCAGAATGGGTTTTGTGGGGATTTTAGAAATCTCAATTGTTGAAATCATGAGTCATTTGAAGCTAGACCACCATGGAAAACCTAGAAGCACTGGATGGCCTTTTCGTCCTACTGTGGGACTTCTCGTCAGTGCTCATCCACGATCCAGCCCCCCCCGCGAGATTCGAACGCAGGATCTATGAGTCTCGCGCACGAGCGCTTAACTATCGGAACACTGAGCCGGCATCCAACGCTGTTAGTGTCTACTTCATGATAAGTTGAAAATCCATTTTCCCTAGGGTTTATTGTGAGGCATTCATTTTTATAATAGGTAAAGTCATACATTCAGATAGGAAATAGTTACTTTTAAAGCAGCAAACAATAAGTGTTTATTATGTATTGTAATGTAATCATTTTACAAAAGTAATTGAAATTATGTCACTCAATCTGGTATCTATTATATATGTTCATTAATATTTATAGTTTAATGTCATATAATTAAGTGATAAGCTTATTAATGGAAGGAATGTTGTCATAACGTTTTAAACTGATGTTTCATTTTCGGCAGTTTAGAAATCAGAAAAGGCTAATTCTGTCGAATATATCATTAACCAATAAATGAAATCATGAATATCTACGTAAACAAGGTATACAGAATTAATCTAGAAAGGAGAGATCAAAACGATTACTTGCTTAGTCAAAGTGATGTATATGAATTGGTTAAGCTAATGTACTTTCATCAAGGATGAGTATATCCCATTGTGTTAGTATTATTGTTCAGTCTCTCATACGTATAATCATATACGCATTGCATTTTCCTATTTACATTAGTATTCTATCAGATATTGGATATACACGATTGTATAATGTTTGAGTCATAAATGAATAAAGTTGCTAACTTAGTCTTTCAACTGAATACGAGAGTGAAAGAAATCAAGGACTAATAGGCGTTAAGGTCTTTTGTGATCGATCATCGTTCACTGTCATTAGTAAAACAAATGACCATCGATCCTATAGACTATGGACGAAATAGTCAATGAGCGGGCAAAATAATTAACTGCTAGTAAAAGTTATTATTATAATCCAATTGCCCGAGTACGAAACAAGCGACATTATTTTCTTTTAAGGATATAAAAAACTCAAGCGTACTACTTAAGCCTAAACCTACACTCCCATGTAATTATTTAATATATAGTTGTCGTTAAATTATTAAAGTATAAATAATATTACCCTAAATTACTCTAGTGAGTCATTAATGATACATAAAACACAGCAGTTATATGTAGTTACATTGAATTGATTCTATTTTAAAAGAAATACATGCTCAAATCACCTGGAACTGATTTGATTTGTAGATAGTTGGACCAAGCATGGATATAATACGCGGATCTCTGTTATGTAAAAAAAAATATGACAAGATAGAAATTAATTAAGGATATGCACATATTCAGGTTTGAATTATTTTTTTTCTGGTTAACGTTTTATTAGCGAGTTAGTATTCTACAGGATGAAGTCGCTAACCCCGTGCCCAACCCTCCTCTTTTGTCGGAGCTTGGGACAGACAGTAATTTCGAGAGGCTCCAGGCGGAGCGACAACCTACCGTGGGAAAGAACAAACCAGATCCCAGCGGAGGAAGAAATTAGTAAGAAGCAATGGATGTGGATATGACATACATTAAGGAAAGCATCCAACTGCGTCACAAGGCGAGCCCTCACATGGAATCCTCAAGGCCAAAGGAGAAGAGGAATACCAAATAACACATCACGCCGAGAAATAGAGACAGACATGAAAAGGATGAACAACAATTGAATAGAACTAGAAAGGAAGGAGCAGGACAAAGTGAGTTGAAGAATGCTGGCCGATGGCCTATTCTCCATTAGGAGTAACAGGCGCAAGTAAGTAAGTGAGTAAGCAAGTAGTTACGTAAGTAAGTACCTATTCATATTATTAACGAAAAAGATCCAGTTTAAATAATCTGTACATTTGTAGATGGAGTTTGTCATAGAATGACATCAGGAGTACTAGAGGTTTCTTCCAAGCATAAAACACCGCATTAGTAAGCACTGACAGGTATTATATACTATAAATCGAATTTATCTCTATGACACCGTTTCATTTAATTATCCATCGTATAAATAGTTTTGAGAATCATATATAAAACCAGCTTATTTTTCCTCTAAGAAATGTTTGTGTTGGCGAATGTATGTTTTGTTGTGGCAGTAATAATAAATTAGCGTTTAGTATTTAAAGGACAGAAGTAGTATGAATTGAAAAGTCGTAAATATCATGGTGCTTTGGTGAAAATCAATCACAGTTGACATGTTAGATTGAGAAAAATGAAATAGCTTATATTTAATGAAACAAGGATTCTATATAACCATCTAATTATTCACTTAAACTATAATTTATTGCCGTGAATCCAAATTAGCAACAAACCGAATCAAATAATATGATCTATCTTACTTTAGATCCGGAAGCTAATTATCTTGTGGTGGATGCTACTTATGTCTACATAAGTAGTATATAACGCCGATCAAAAATGGACGGCCTGGCAACAGAAATTTGAGAAGATCGAATCGAAGAAAATGGAAACAGAGTAATATTTATGGTATTGAAGGAACGATAAGGTTTGAAACAATTGATGAAAGATTTTTAAATGAAATTTTGACCGTATGGTTTTTACATTTACCCAAAGAACTCTGTAATTTTGCATTGAAATACAAGTGATTATTCCCACTTGTGTTCTCGTTCATTACAATATTACTTAGCTGTTTAAACGATAATTATGGTTACAATGCGGTTTGTGGAGACTGTATTGATTTTAATAGTTGAACACATGAGTCGATGTAAGCTAGACAACTGTTAAAAACCTGGACGTAATGGATGGCCGTTTCATCCTAGTATGGAACTCCTCAACAGTGCGCATCCACGATCTCGCATGCGGGACTCCAACTCAGAGCCTTCGATCTCGCGCGAGAACATTAACCTCTAGATCAATGCTAGGGCATCCAACTGTGTTAATGTCTAACTTCAACTAATCCACGAAAATGAGCGCTACATCCATCATTGTCTTTTTTTGTTTAAAAAAGATTTCATTTGACCTGCCAATTTGACAGTTAATTATTAACGATTGTATCCATTGATATAAATAGAAGTCAATAATCTTTATTACGTTTTGCTAATAGAAAAAAAAACAAGCCAAAAAATATCTTGTTTATTCTAATGTAAACTTTGCTTTAAAGTATTACTGTAAATATAGTAAAGGTGACTCAATAATAAAGTACATAGGTGTTTATTTGGTTAATAAGTTACATTATATTAATAGTTAAACCTTCAAATACCTAACATTTTTAACTAGTAACTTATGATGAATTTTAATCAGAAAGGGGTTTTTTTGAATATCATAGTAATTTAATAATTGAATTCATGAGTCATTTGAAGTTAGACCATCATATAGAACCTGGAAGCACAAGACGGCCATTTCGTTTTAGTGTGGGACTCTTCAGCAGTACTCATCCAAGATCACTCCTCTCACGATTCGAACCTACGACCTATTAACTTATTATAATGAATTGAAAAATTTCGATTCGTTATTTTATTGTCAAAGATATCATTTCTAATTGGATATTTCATATTGATTAATGATTACTTTGTATTGGATTGAGCGCTTATTATAAATCCCAAATATAATAGGTGTAGCTGTATTCATTCAATTCTGACGGCCTTAAATTGCACTATTCTAGGAATTCCTAGTTAGTAAATCATTTCGACTGCTTTTATTCATCACAATTTCTTTATGTGATATTCATGAAATTCTGATGTGTGGGCAAGAATGATAATGATTGGTTGTTTGCTTAGTCAGACGTCTAGATAGTCTGATAGGAGTTATTATTATTGCGACTGTTGTTGGATTGTGTCGGCTTGTTATCGGTATTTTGGTATGGAAATATACTTACGTACTAGTCACGCTAAACACGTGTTCTTGATCTGGGTTATGTTGAAGTCCTGTAGAATCGACACTGGGATGGAATCTATTGTAGATATTCTTCTAAAGTATATTAACATCCCATTAGTAAAGATGAAGAAAATCCGAGTGTTATAACAGATTCTTTTGCACATTTCTCAATTTCGAACTTATCTGTCTATCGAATAAAACAAAACTAATCACCAGTGATTCTTATCCTATTGACGACTTAAAAATAGTTTCCTATCAGAAGGATATGAACTAGTCTTAACCAGTTAATAATTTTTTGGTTATTGTTTACTGTTTAGGAACAAACTATGGTAAACTATGACCATAGATCGCATATGTGCATCAATTAAATTTTATCAAATAGATACATCATTATGATTGAAAATGTAACGGTTGTCATTCAATTGTAAGCAAATGTTTTAAACACTATGCTGAGGAGTACTTCACGAATAAAATGCCATATAATTAGTTAACTAGCTCGTTTCAATACATAACATTTATAGTTAAAAATAAAACATTAAGACTATTCAATAAGTGATAAATGGATCCAAGCAACTACTAAATAACCAATTAGAATCGAGAATGAGAAAAAAGTGATATATTACTTTCTTTCCGGTGCAGATAATTGACTCTCTACCTCCCATTCGTCACCTCCAGCAAGAGCAAGTTCTCGATCTATTATCTGATTGAAATCATCATTCAACTCAACATATGAACTGAAATGAAAAGCATGAATCAATATAGGAAGAATTAACGTAAAATTGATTTCCCCTTAGGTTGAAGAAAGTAAAAAGCATAATATGAATTGATGTGAATTGTTTAGAAGTAATAGTTCAGAACTTTGAATAATTTTATGATAAGTATATTTGTTTTGTCATTTCTTTTTAATGCAGCGGTTCGAATTCTCAATTAATTCAAACATCACATGTCGAGGGCAACCAGTGGAGCTTTACAATAAGGATTAATTCACTATCAATACCATTGAGTCTTATCGTTCTCGATAAACATATAGTTTTGTCTGTGCTTTAGACAGATGATTAGATAACATGTGTTTATGGACTGTCAGACATATGATTCGACTTCTCCGTATAAAATTTAATCTAATCGTTTCATTCTTTCAAGTGTTGAGCAGTTGGATCATCGACCTAATTCCTATATTTAGAGTCCTCAGTTTATTATTGAGATCTCTTTGTAAGCAATTACATCAGACATGAACATAAACCACTTAAGAAGCGTTTAATTTAGAAGTTTCATGGTCTTTTAATATAGTGAAGTTGAAGTGATTATGTTTCAAAGCATCTAAGTGAATCAAACAGCTCTCTGCATTGTATACTTAGGTTGAATGATTAAAGAAACAACTAACAACGTTTAGACAATCGAGATTTTAATTAAGATCATGAGCTGATCAATATTAAACCACCAGTGAGAGCCTGGACGCACTAGGCGGCCTGGTGTGGAACACGTCAGCAGTGAGCACCCACGATCCCACACGCAGAATTCGAACCCGGGACATTTGGCCTCAATCACCTACGTTTAACCCCTAGCCCACTTAGCAGAGATCTGACGGTGTTAATGTCTGACTTCAACCAATCCACCATATTGCGCGACCATCTTCCATTATCTTCGGTGGGTATCTGCCTCATACCCAACACGATTCAACTCTACTGGTCACTGCCTCTCACTAGAATTCCGAGAATTACCTCTAACACTGATCGGTTCATGATCTCAGCTAGAACTCAACAATCTCCACAACGTCTAGACAATCTTTGGTAATGTCTGTCTAGGACAATAATAAAGTTGGTTTCTTCTTCTCTCAGAGATGTTTTAAATCATCCAACATAAATTGATATGGATCACAATAGCGAATCATCTAACTTATAAGTTAATTTACAAATTGTGGATCAAATTCCCTAACCACCACTGGAAACGTACCAATAACTATTCAGTGATTAGTTTGTGTTTAGTGACGGTCTCAAATGATAGTACAAACCATCAACAGATTGTAGATATCGTTTTCAGACAAGTACTTAAACTGTATTGATCTTTTCATGAATTATGTATAAGTGAACAGAATATCTATGAAAACACACACACACACACACACAAACACTGCTGTTTTATAATAACATTAACGATAAATTGGGATACACATTCAAAGTTTATCAAATATTTAAGTTTATCGATTAAGTATGAAATCAAGTGACAACAACAAAATCTCAGGTCATTTAATGATAATAGACATAGTAACAATTATTAGTATTATTATTAATGTAGAAACAATTTCTAAGTACAGAAGATTACACAAGGTCATGAAATCAATTTGGAAAATAAATATTGGAATCTTAAATAAAACCAACCATATTTTTTTCAAGGTCAAGGTCAAGACAGTGTACTCTGTCTGATACATTTCGAAAGTATTCAGCATAAACAGTAACTATAAAAATTGATTAATCGATGGAATATTGTTTGTTTTGTTTTTTTTTTTTTTAATATCATAAGTGTAACTTCTGTACTCTACAATTGATTGATCACTGGGTGGTGATCAATGTCATGCTTGTCTAGTCCTTATTAGTGCAGATCGAATGCTATCGATCATGTTGCAATGTGGCCACCAGTCTAGGTGACTCGACACTGCGGGCACTATATATTGAGATTTACATGCTGGTTGAAGGTAGTCAACAGGAAACCCTGGACCCGGGTTTCGTGCTATTTGGCACTCGTCAATAAGGTGTAGCTGTAATCTTGAGGGAACTGGTGCTCCCTGGCGGATTCGATATCGTGTCACTCAGCTTCACAGTCTGAGACGTTACCACTGAGCTATCCGAGCCGCGACTGTACTCTATGTTTGTTCAGAAAATGACTAATTCAAGGTTTTAATGATTGTTTAAAGATCCCCAATTATATTAAAAGATTAATATTTGAACGAAGAATATTCTCTTCAAGTTCTACAATTATACATCAAAATTAATAATCCAAATAGTAACCAGGTTTAGGGCAAAGTACATCGTTTAAAGTTAAAGCATGTGAACTGTATGATTAATATCAGAAGGGGTTTTGTAAATATTATAGTAATTTCAATGGTTCAGATCATGAGTCAGTTGAAGCTAGACCACCATGGAAAACCTGGAAGCACTGGATGTCCGTTTCTTTATATTGTGGGACTCCTCGGCAGTGAGCATCAACAATAGGACGAAACGGCCGTCCAGTACTTCCAGGTTTTCAGTGGTGGTCTAACATCAATCGGTTCATGATCTCAATAAAAACAATATTCTTTGGAAAAGCTTGAACCAGATTGCCAGACAAAACAGTGAAATTACTTCATATACTTTTGCTGAAATTTTATAAATACATTCTTTCTCTTTAAGAATATTCTTCTTTCATATAATTGTATTTCACGACTGGTTTAAGACAAATTGATGCTAGTCAGAAGAAAATGAAATGAGTACCAGATAACTGATGTATGGAACAAACTTTAATTTTATTCGAAACATGAATGGGTTTTTTTGTTTTCATAATGTTTTTGAATAATGCAACTAAATAATAGTTACTTAAGTGATGATGAAAAAAAATTATTAGTTTACAAAGTAAACAAAATGACCTACCTAAAAGGTGGAGGTTGATCTTGATGAATTTCATATTCTGCATCTTCAAGTCCATAATCTGTGTCTGCTAGCGGATAATTAGCAAGATCATCATCTAGATCACCATGTGTACTATCAGGTGATTGATAACGTAACTCAAATAATAATAATATCTAATGTAATAGTGCGAAAAGAAAAGAAATCATGATTACAATTTAAGCCCTGAATGAGTGAGTTAAGATGATACTAATTAATTACTTAGTAGTGACAAATGTAATGATTTGTAATACTTTAGTGTAACGGAGACATTAGCCAAATTAAAGTTAACATAGAGATATGTTTTGTATTTTATATGAGAGGGGCAAAATCAATCCACAAGATGAGTAAGTTAAGTTGCATAAATATTTAAGACCTTTAAGTAATTCCCCCTTATTCGATTTGTCATCACAGTTTAGATTTAAAGGATAAATAATACATAGTGAAATGGGCGATATCAGTCCCATTCATATAGTGATTAAAAGTCACTTGTTAGAACTTCACTTCAGAACTTTTGAACTTTTTGATTGTCGTCACAAATGAGTATGTGATTACTGATAGCTCAGGAGATAAGTAAAGTTCATCCAGTTTGTAGTTCATGTCGTTGGTTAAATTTAGTATGACAACCATTAAAGAAATAAGGCATTCATGCATAATGAAGAGAATGTTACATCTAGGCCACTAAATTGTACATCCAGTAGTTCCCATTTCAATTTTTTTTCTTTCTGAAGTCATCCCGTGACGGAAAATATAAGTTGACTAATACTGACATACTTGTAAATCATAAAATCAGTAGTAACTAAGTTTAAGAAGAATTCTTAACGTCCTTTCAACAAACCGTCATTAGTCGAGTCTAAATAATACTGACTGACGAGCAGTTGACTGTTCAAATAAAACAATGGTAGTATTTTTTTAAAACGTAAATATCACCAATACTTACGCCAGTTGGATGATTTGAACTATCCACAAGATTTTCTCGAAATATTGAATGTACATCTCGAGTCAGTGGATATAAATTGATTGACAGGGATCCTAGTAAACTGAGGTAAAACACAATGAACATTTAGTTGATGATCAGGTTTAATAATTAGCTTTATCACATAAATATATACAATGTTAGATGGTTGAATATAATCAATAGGAAAACCTGTTTGAAAATGACGATTCTCTGCTTGTGGTTAGAACCCATGTCACTCAACATCACATTCAGAGATGTAACTACTTAGTTATTCAGGAGATAAGTTTTTCACTTAATTCCAAGTTAGTTAGACTAGTGGCCGCATTGGGAGTTGACGGATATGATGTGATCTACACTAAGAGTCAGAGAAATATGACATGTACATTTCCGCTACTAATCATAAGTAGGTTAGTAAGAACTACGGAATCTTACACAAATTTAAAGATTTACTTTTTAATCGAAGCATAGAAATTACAAATGAAAGGTTAATTTACATACTTATGGTTGTACAACAGAACCCTATAAATTAAGAGTATCATTCCGAAGGAGGAATGCAACTGGGTAGTACTCTTGTAGTTTTGGTTGCTATATTAAGGCTACATAGCTTATACTGGCTACCGTACAAGCTAATTTATTCACTCTTCTTGATTAATATTTCGAACAGTGGTAATTATTTGTAGATTGATCTTGACTATTTTTAATGTAAGTGTATGTATGTGCATTTCTTATCTTACTCATTATATGTCTTGTAACTTATTTTGGTCTGAATATAAATATCGATTCACGATTGGCTTTATTGAGTGGGTTCACATGCCTTCTCGACTGAGTGTCGCTACGTTTTTCTCCTCTATCTCCTATTCTCTTCCATCGTTCCGTCTTCCCAATTGTCCGTATATATCAACGATTATACGAAATCAACCTATTCAAAACTTCATTCTTCCATTTGACTTATTTACTTCCGTTATTCACTAACGCGATTTAAGTCTATGATTATATACGAGGATTGACGATTTGTATATTTCGATAACTGTCATTCATGCAATCCAATGGGAGTCAGATTAAAGGCTGCCAAACTCTCATTTCATCTTATTGATATCAACTTATCATTAAAAACTAGTTTTTAAGTACATAACATTGAAGTTATTTTTTTACAATAATATGAGCTCACCTTATTTTTTAGAGTCATATTAGCCGCTTATAGTCTGAATCGAGTCTATAATTAATGCATCTACTGGAGAGAGAGTGAGTGAGAGTCACATCGCTTAGTGGGAGCAACTGGTATGAAGCAATGAGATTTTAGGTTCCAATTTAAGAAAGAAAAACATGAATATTAAGACTGATAAATCATAAATGACTTGATCATGAGGTCTTTCCCACCAAGCTTATATATACTGAGTTCGAACCCTAACGAATTTGTAGGTTGTTGAGATGCTTCATCCTAAAACAAAACAATTGTCTGGTGTTTTGAGTTTTAAATTGATTGTCAAGTTAAAATCAATCCTTGATGTAAACTATAAACGGTTCACTTGGTATTGTTTGGCTTGTGTCTTCCCATTGAAGTTTAAGACTGCAATTGATTAGTCTCTTATTGGTATATGTGCATACCGTGCGTATTCCTTGATATTGCCTCAATTCACAAGCTTTTTGTAAGCAATGATGGATAGAGGCTAGCAGTGGAATCCAGTTTGACGCGCGTTTCGTCCTATTTGGGAATAGTCAGCTGGATGTACCTGCATCTCAGAGTTGATGTTCACTTTAGTTCTCGAACCCAGTACCATTCGCTTCAAACACCATCGCGTTATCCACTCAGCTACTGAGTCCTGATGGCCACTTGCTTGTGCAATAGGGTGAATTTAAATTCACTTGGTATTGTTTGGCTTGTATCTTCCCATTGAGGTTTAAGACTGCAAGTGGCTATCAGGACTCAGTAGCTGAGTGGATAACGCGATATCGTTTGAAGCGGATGGTACTGGGTTCGAGTCCCAGAGTAGATATCAACTCTGAGGTGCAGGTACATCCAATTGATGAGTCCCAAATGGGACGAAACACGTGCGCTGAATTCCACTGCTATCCACTATCCATCATTGCTTATAAACATTCCATTTTATTGACTAACTACTCAAAACAATTTTAAAAAAAGATAATTACATTGAATACAATAGAATCTACCTATCTGGTAAACCTTTTCTTATTTGATAAGCTTTTAAAATTAATACATCTTTATCATCCAATGAACGACTAACTGGCCAACTGATGCGTTGTCCAAAATAAACACTATCATGTCCAGTAGCAATTCTTGAATTCAATTTAGCCTCTGTTTTAATTTTTTAAATAAAAAACAAAACATAGATTTGAAAATAATAAGCAAAGCAGAACAATTACCAAAGGAATAGTTTATGATTATTTCATTCGACATAACTATGACGTAATCAAATGTTAAATTGTTATGTTATAAAGAACAATAGTTAGATATACATTAGTAGTAGTATTTACCAATATTTATACGAATAGTTTGACAGAAATTGAATGTTGAATATGTAAAAGATACTCCTGGAGTTCTAGTGAGAAGTCGTTACCATTGGAGTTCAACCAGGTCTGTTGTGAGATAGGAACTCACTGAAGACAATGGTGTACGGTGGCGTAACTTCGTGGATTGGTCGAAGTTAGACATTACCACCGTTGGATACCAGCCGGCTCAGTGTTCTAGTTGGTTAAGCGCCTGACGCGAGACTGATAGGTCCTGGGTTCGAATCCTGTGGGGTGCAGGATCGTAGATGCGTACTGCTGAGGAGTCCCAAACCAGGAATAAACGGCCGTCCAGTGCTTCCAGTTTTTCCATGGTGGTCTAACTTCAATTGACTCACGATTTCAACAATTGAAAATGAAAACTTTGTTTGAAATAAACAGAGAATGTTGGTGGCTAACACAGTGGAATCTAAAACGTGAGTTACGTTTTATTTTGAGATTCGTCAGCTAAATGTAACTGTATTCCAGAGTTGATGTTCATTATATGACTCGAACCAATTACTGTTCGCTTGTTTGAAATAATATTAGCTAGTGAAATTTAAATTAATTCCGATGTTTAATTCCACCAAGCTTGTCTAAACGTTTTTAGGGTAATAATCAAATTTAGACTTCGATTATTAACTAAAGTCAGTCAGTGATGTTGACTATGAAATCCATAAAAATATCAACAAACCATTTACACTTATTAATCAGATGCTCGCTAGTAACTAATTTTGAGAGGTAATCCCGATGTTCTAGATAGAAGCCATGACTATTGGAGCTCAACCATGTCAAATGTAAGACAGTAAGGATACTAGATGATTATACAATATTATGAACTGATGAAAGTCAACTATGTGAACCACTGAATTCTGGCTCAGATGTATAGAATCTAAGCGTTCGCGCAAGAAACCAAAGGTCCTGAGTTCGATCACTGATGTCGAGGTCGTGAATGCACACTGATAAGGAATCCCTTAAATAGGGTGAAACAGTTAGTCAGTGCCTACTCGTTTATATTGGTTGTCTAACTAAGATCAGTCAGTTATATTAATAAATAAATTCAAAAAAATTTCTTTAACCCGTGTTGTAGTATACTCTTACTCTATTAGAAAACCCACAAACACCTCTGTTAATATTTCCAGTTTTGCCGTTCGAAATAGGCGAAAACATGACCAGAATAATAAGAAATAAAGGTGAAAGTATATTATACTGACAACTATGAGTGAACCAGTGAGGTTTAAGATAGAGCATCGTATATTGTTGCACTAAATTAAATGCGTAATGCCAGATAGTTTATAGTTTGTGATTAACTAAGTAAACATTGGGAATATCTTGCAGCTAAAATGTTCGAAACCAATAAAAAATATCTTCTATACAACTGCCTAAGCTAAATCACAATAAATATCTTTTCCTGATACGTGCTAGAATGAAGGTCCCGGGTTTGATTCCCGTATACGGGGTCGTGGATACAAACTGCTGAGAAACGTCATACGAGGACGAAAAAACATCCCAGTGCTTCTGAGTTTTAAATATTTTTTTTAAGTTGATTGGTTCAAGAATATAATATAAATCAATAAAAGAAGTAAAATAATAGAAGATGGAACCAAAACATGCTGGGACGGCTGTTAAGGTCATTGAAGGATGAGAGATTGTACGTTATCTCTCCGCATACAGAGTTCAGGCTTGAGTAGGTGAAATCAAAATGTTCCAGCTTTAGTAAATTATTTGTTTGAAAAGCAAATTTTCATCGTTGAAATCTCTTTTTGCTTTATTAAAGTAAGTTTGTATGATTGTGAGAAGTGTTATGCTAATTTCCTTACTTAGTATATTGTAGAATAAATGAACAGAAATTTACCTAATTTCATATTCTGTAACTACAGTGACCATCTTTTATTTTCATTCAGTTGCTTGTTATGAAGATACACGCTTAGGATGTCAGATCATTACAGGAAGCCTTGAACCAAGGTTTAATGTTAGACGACATTCAAAATCTATCTGCAATTTTAATAGAACTAATGTTCCTTCCCAAGGATTGGAATCTGTGTCACTCAATGTCACATCTAAAGTAATTACTACATCAGTAACAAAAATAGTTTCATTTGAATATATTTTGTGAAGATTGGTTTAATTAGTAGGTTATACTGATCATAGATTGATCTTAGTTGTGGTACTGCTAAAAAATAGGGAGGATTCCGCAACTGTTTCAGCCTGACACGAGACTTCTTAGCAGTTTGCACCAGAAATACTAAAGGGGAACGAACTCATAACCTTCAGGCCTCACTGGATCGATATTCAAGTGTACAATTTAAAATTAATCCGTAATTTTGCATGGATTTGATAATGTTAACTAACCTCTTAGACAGTGTAACTTTCATTTAATTTGCATTACAATTATGCTAAATGATGCTCTGAGCTAATCAGATCTAGGCCACATAATTGGTGAGAGATGTCCATTCAAGTAGTTGGTCGGAGTCATATTTCGGAAGCGTAGATATTAGTAGTTGTATATTAATAATCACTAATGTTGATAAATAATTCATTAACAACTCAATAAGATTAGTTTTAACAAATTGCCATCGAAACAAAATGGTTTAACAGAACATTTGTTGTATGCGTGATGATGATGATGAATGACTAGTGATCACATGTTGTTTATTAATGCGTCAACACATTAAAATAAACTTCAGTAATTTTGTGTACGTAAACAATTATCATTGTATTTCATTCTGAAATCCTATCAAGAACTGTAACTCTGTTAAGTAAATAATGAGTTTTCTTCGTATTTCATAAAGTTATACCACTTTTTTCATGCTTTATACAGTGTGATAACATGTTTTGGGAAAATATTAGATATAATGTAATTAAACGGTTCTGGTGCTAAACATTGTACCTGTAAGATAAACAAGCAGGCGAACTATGATAACTAGACAGAGGTAGGTGAACGTTAAGCCATTAAACTGACTATCTAAAGGAGGAAAGAATAATTTCATGTATTCTCTGCTGAAGTATCGTTAAGATACTTGACCGAACACTATCTAGAAATGTTTAAAGCTACCAAGACTAGCAGAAATGCGGAATGTCTATATAACAGTTATTTACAAATTGAACATTGTACTGTAATGAGCTAGTTCTTTGACGTAATTTTGAGAAATATATTATTTAGTTTATCATCAGTGACAAAGCAATGAGTAGGGGGGGCGATTATACCCCGTATTTGAAATTTACTTATTTGACAGAGTAATAATGAAATAGTGATATTTTAAAACTAGTATTCAACCAAATACCAGTTATCTCACATTTTGACAAATGTAGCTTTTAACATATATGTTCTTACTACAATATAGAAAGCTTATCAAATCAGTGACATAATAGATTTTTGTAGCATTTCTTCTCTGATTCATACCATTAAATAGTAATCTGTGCTAAATTGATGCTAAAAATCGTTTGAATCATAAATTAAAGTTAATTGGAGAACCACCGTAACTAATAAACACTGAATAACTATTCCATCTTAAAATAGAAATAAACAGGAGAAGGAATATATAAGATCACGTACAGGATTAAACCTAACCACTGACTGACTTTCTCTCCATGTAGTAGTCAATGATGGGTTAAATTACATTTTAAATTTTATTGATTACTTCCAAGTCCTGAGCTTCATTTACTATTGACAATAAATGTTAATTCTTTCCTACTTAAATGCTGGTTAATTGGTTCAACAGTCAATATAATTATTAAATGAAAATAGAACTTTTAAACTGATATTCAGTGATTGGACGTTATCTGTCGAAAGTCACAAACCTAAATTATGGATTATTTGGTCAAAGTTTCTCAATGGGAATGTTTTCATTTATTTGATATTACAGAACTCACAAGCTCTATCTAATATGAGATCCATTCTTGCTGATCGCATTCAGCTTATGTTAGAAAAATTTGCACCATAATTTCAAATCACTTAGACTATTTAGTTATATAACAAACTTCTTTAACATAATTCCAATAGCACTAAGAACTAGACAACATGACAAACCAATTGGTAGATAACAAATTTTTTTTCAGTATGGGGGTTGTGGGGATTGTTAAGTTTTTTGGTTGAGATCATGAATTAATTGATGTTAGACCACCGTTGGAAACCTGGAAGCACTGGACGGCCGTTTCGTCCTAGTATGGGACTCCTCAGCAGTGCGCATCCACGACCCCGCACCCAAAAAAAATTTTTTTTCACTTAGAAAATTAGTATAGATTTAATTACTTTTTTTGGAATATATATTATTCGTATGTCTTAATTAAAATATCCAGCCGACAACGCTGAAATAGGAAATAGAGGGGGTTAAAATCTGTTATCCAATTTTAAAAGTTCGCACCCTGTAGCCAATTACTGTTCTTAAGAATACTTTAAGATGAAGTAATTTCAAAGTATGGATAATTAGTTTGATTAGCGTAAACCAAAAGATAAAAACATTTGGCATATAAAGTGTAAGGAAGTGGATTGGATTCCCAGTGTTAATATCAACACCGGGATCCAAGTATATATAACTGATGAGTCCCAAATGGGACGAAACACATGTTTTAAATTCAACTGCTAATCACTAACCAACTTTATTTAAAAACCAGAAAAAAAACTATTTCTTAAGAATGTAACTGTTCAATGAAGTCAGTTTTGAAATTCTATACATAAATATTTGATTATAGGAATAAATTATGTAACTTATTATAACAAGATATCATAATAAAAAGTTGAGCAGTTTTTTTGACGATTATCCATTCGAAACTGTGAGTAGGTCTATTGATGAGAATGAAGAAGATTCATAGAATTTATGGATGTTGGAGAATTTAACACCACCAAAATATTTACAACTGGGATTCTTATACAAACTAATCTCAGTACCCTTTTAATAAGCAGTTAATATATCACTATTTTCTTTCATAAAATAATTCAGATTATGATTGGATGATATTTATATGAAATAATAATATACTCGTGTATTCTTATTCAAATTCATCGGGTGAAATAAACGTGTTTCACCATGCGATAATTTAAGTGTTTTCATCGGAAATGACTTCAGATGACCGATTTCGAAATTGTTTTCACTTTTTTTTCTTTATTATCTTTGTCTCCTCTTAACCTTCATTCGAAGTCTAGTTGACCTTTTATTTTTATGTCGAAATGTTCTTAACAAGTATATTATATGTGATCAGATTATTTGAAATGTATTGCGATAATATATCATCGTATAGTTCTGCTAATCTTCATTTCCTTATTACACTACCTGAAGTTTATCAAAGGAACTAATTACTTCAAATGGATTGATTTTAAAACTTGAAACTACTTACTAGTTAAATGAATATAGAAACGGTTACTAAGGGATTAAATCTACTGGGTTTTTTATACATGAAATAAACAAATCAAACAATTTCACCGAGTCGTTTGTTAGTTTAAAAAGAAAAACAAGAAAGGGTAATGTAGGATAACAGTATAGATTACATAACAACCGAAAATTAGTCACTTGTCCTACTACTACTATCCTAATAATAAATTCAGAAATTTCGATAGAAAAAAAGTAAGAAGATAAAGTTAATCGGTGAAAATGTGGTGTATTTGTGCTATACGTTTCGAGAAATCTGGTCATATACATTTATATTTCTTAGTGGTTGAATTCATGGGTCAATTGAAGCTGAACCACCACTGAAAACCTGGAAATACTGGACGGCTGTTTCGTCCTAGCATGGGACTCGTCAGCAGTGCGCACCTACAATCCCGCTTCGCGAGATTCGAACCCAGGACCTATCGGTGTCGTGCACGAACGTTTAACTTCTAGACCACTGCTAAGGCGTTCAACAGTTTTAATGTTTAAATTCAACCAATGCACTGGGAGTCCCATAGTAGAACGAAACTGCCTTCCAGTACTTCCAGGTTTTCAATGGTGGTCTAGCTTCAAATGACTCATGAATTCAACTACCAAATTACTATAATATTCACAATATCCCTCTCTGAATATATATATATATATATATATATATATATATATTATATATATATATATACTTATCAAAGTATTTTATATGAAAATTAATAAAGGTCAATTATATAAAATACACGAAATTTATCAAATCAAATCCATTTTATTCTTGTTCTACCAAAATTTATAAAAAGGACTAATTACTTTAGATTTTCAGAAATCCAAATTGTCGATGAGTAGTTAGTCCTTAGAAGTCTTAAACTAGGACAAAATAACTACCCTGTATTCCTTAGTTTTACTCCGTTAGTCTTTTTTTTTAGAATAAATACTCTCAAAGATTCAATGACTTCCCTCATATTACTTATCTATATTTGATGGTTAAAATATGACATGAATCATCAACTGATAATCATTACTTCTTATAGTTGAATTCATGAGTTGATCTAAGTTAGACCACCATTGAAAACTTGGAAGCACTGGATGGCCACCTCGTCCTAGTATGGGACTACTCAACAGTGCACATCCACGATCCCATCTCGCTTGCGAGCACTTAACGTGGTATCTAACGGTGTTAATATCTAACTACAATTGATCTTTCACAACTATTCATCCATTGTGTAAGGTAGATACCTGTCTCTATCCAACTCTAATGATCACGGTTTCTCAGTACTTCCAGGTTTTCAATAGTGGTTTAGTTTAGATCGACTAATGAATTCAACCATTATATTTTACTATAATCTCCACAAAACCCCCATTCTGATAACAATCATTAATTTATCTATACTTATATTGAATTAATTTATCATAAACTTACCTCGAAATAAAACTTTAATTCTACGATCCCCTTTACCAGTTAATCCAACTAAATATTTAAGATCCAAAATTAAAGACATTTCAACAATAATCTATCCACTATAAGTAATATTCCAACAAAAGTATTGATTTTGGTATCATTCAAAATGGATAAAGATTAATTTTCTAAACTTTCACAATCATCACTAACATAGTAGAAATACCTACTCAACTATGTATAATAATAATAATAATAAAATGAATGTAATAAGTATTATATGAAAGTGTTCAGCAGTCAGTATACTTGTATATGTATTTATCTATATGTAATTGTATACAACTATGTATACATATAAGTGTATATGAATGAAAATGTCTTTCACATAGAACTCTTTTGTTTCTTTCGATTGAATACCATTTTTATACTTTTAGGAATGGTGTCAATACTTTTATGAATCACGTGTCCACTAGTAATAATAATGATGATGATAATAATAGTTACCAATTGTAAGCTGATCAAATAGTATTAAACCAAATATTAGTTGTGATACACACATAAACACAATAATGATAAATGCATATAGAATGATGAATATTTCTTTTGTCGATTACTCAGGACAATTTAGATTTCATCATTTTAAGAAATCAATATGTGTAAGACTTTTCTTCATTATTTTGATTAATAACATGTAGTTAGTCAGAATTTATAGTTATTGTTGTCGTTCTTTTTTGTTGTTGCTTGATTGACTTTATGATTATTAAATTTATTATTTACTTTACTTATTTGGGCCTGTTACTAAAAATGGAGAATAGGTCACCGACAAGCATTCTACAACAAACTCTGTCCTACGCATTCCTTTCCAGTCATATCCAATTGTGATTCATTCCTCTCATATCTGTCTCCATTTCTCAGCACAATGTGTTCTATGGTCGTCCACTCATCCTTTGTTTAGCATTGAGGATTCCAAGTGAGAGTTTGCGTTGTGACGCAGTCCGCTGCTGTCCCCAATGTGTATCCTCTCCACTTCCAACACTTCTTCCTGATTTCTTCCTCCACTCGAATCTGATTTGTTCTCTCCCACAGTAGATTATTGCTGATAGTGTTTGACCAACAGATGTGAAGTATTTTGTGTAGACAGTTGTTAATAAACACTTGTATGTTCTGGATGATGGCTTTCATAATTGTCTAAGTTTCCACCCTATACAGTAGAACTGTCTTGATATTTGTATTGAAGATTCTGACATTTGTGTTGGTTGACAGTTGTTTCGAATTCCAGATGTTCTTCAGTTTTAAGTGTGCTGCTCTTTATTAAATTTGTTACTTAGTAATAATTTAATGTAGATAACTCGATTGTATAAGCGGTCACTCGTTCTCTGGATAGTTCAATTGTAAAGTCAATAATATGATGATAAGTGATGTTGGTTAGAATCCAACAAAGAAAATCAGTTCTCTCAAGATTGTAGAAAGTTATTATTAATGAGTACTGATTAGTTTGTAAATTACTGTCTATCAGGGTATTTTTGTCAAATATCTTCAACTATCTAATATCAAGTAAGAGCAATTTAATCATAAGGTATTGTTAGATGAAAGAATAATGAAAATCAAGGAATTAATCGGTTATTGTTTGCTTAGATGTTGGAAATATAATCTCCAAATTAACATGAACTCATCAATGACCTAGTATTGTTTATTGGTATCTTCTCATTGACGTTTAAGAATACAATTGATCAGTCTCTTATTGGCATATGTACATCCCGTGCGGAATACCTCGGTATTGCCTAAAGTCATAAGCATTATAAGCAAATATGGACAGTGTCTGGCAGTAGAATTCAGGACACGCGTTTCGTCCTATTTGGGACTCACCAGCTCCATGTACTTGCACCTGAGTTGGTGTTCACTCTGGGACTCGAACCCAGTACTATTCGCTTCAAACGTCATCGCGTTATCTACTCAGCTACTGGGTCCTAACAGCCACCTGCTTGTTCAATGACGTGAAGTTATATTCACTTGTTATTGTTTACTTGTATCTTCCCGTTGCTATTTAGGACTGTTATTGATGAGTTCATTGTTTTAATTGATTGTTAAATGGCTATTGGTAACTGACGTGGTATAAAATTATTTTCATTTATAGGAGGATTTTATTCATTTGAGGCTAGTTAAGCTCATTTTTGACGATATTTTATAGCCGTGTAACTGCTTATAAATTATTTCTTTCTAGTTCATGTAATTTTTAATTAGATGATTATAGTTTTATTGACACTGTTAATTAGCTGGATAGCATCAGAGGGATTTGCTTTATAAATTGCATTTCTTTGAAAAATGAAAAATATGTGTACATTTTATTTATTCTCAGTTGAGATATAGTTGAAAAAACGGAGAATATTAGACATCTGCCTTATCCTAGCACTGTACACTTCATGCCCTGGTACGACCAAGGGTGCGGATAGTCAGCTCTCCCTATCGAAATGCTCTCACATGGCCACGCGTATACAGCCACTGCCATGGAAGTCCTACTCACTGCCTGCCAGTAGCATTACTGTTGTTTACGAAAATGAGAGGATGAAAAGCGAATGTCTGACGCTCCAACCGAGTTAGTGGACACGGAGAGTCCAACTAGAGGAGTTGGAAACCCTGATTCTAAATCAATGGTGCACATGAGCTCCAGTATCCTAAAGGAACAAATGGAATATGAACCAACTATTGATCACCGGCTACCATGGGACTGCATCTCCTTACGTTGCTCCACTACCTAGTGGATCAGACCTTTGAGTCGAAGGCTCCGGGTGTGGCCTCCAAGTAAACCACCTGTTTCGGTTTCGCCACCCGGACAGTATCATAGCTCGCACACAAATCAAGTGACTTTTGTGGCCCATATATATTCGGTGCCACTTTGTACCAATACTTATTTGTTCAAATAAACATCCATGAGTGGCCACAACCCTATGTGGGATCTAAGCCAGTATCTTTAGATTTCGTCGTGAACGCTTAAAAGTCAAAACTACTGGGTCTGTTTCCATAGATACAATTCCAAGCCAAATCAATTAACGATATAATGCCACAATCATGTAATATTGTTAGCGATAACCATTTCTAAAAGTATATACTGATGATGTAGTCTAGGAAGACAATGAAAACGTCATCATTAATCTAAGCAGATTAGAGGAGTCAAATTATCTTATTTGCATATGACTTTTCACAGTGATAACAGTACTCAGTTTCACATTGAAATATTTGTCATTTTGAAGAACATAATTCAACACTACAAAGAATTTTAGAGAAATACATTTTTAGTATCAGAAGGGTTTTTTGTGGATATTATAGTAATTATAACAGTCGAAATCATATGTCAATTGAAGCTAGACCACCATGGAAAACGTTCGTTACGTCCTATTGCGGGAGGTCAAGCGTTCGCGCGCGAGATCTATAGGTTTTGAGTTCAAATCTCTCGAGGTGGGATTGTGGATGCGCACTACTGAGGAGTCCCACAATAGGATGAAAAGGCCACCCATTGCTTCCAGGCTTTCCATTGTGATCTAGCTCATGATCTCAACTGTTAAAATGTATTTTTGTTGCTTAATTATTATTATTAACAATGAATCGAATCAAAACTTGTTGATTAAAAAAATAACATCACATTTAGGTTTTTGATAAGAATGATACATATTAATAGTATCATTGTTAATTAAGTAATCAGCATATGACTATCTGTAGAATATTGGAAGAGTTTCATTGTTGTCTCATCTGTTATGACGAAAAACAAATCATTTGACTAACTAAACTGCTTTATATTAAAAGTAGAAAAAAACAACATGATTACAATGGAAATTATTATGAGACAAATGACTGATGATTAAATCTAATTTAAATAAGAGGTAAAACTATTGGCATTTTAGACGTACTAGGAAAATATTCAAGACGATCTAGACTTTGCAGATGATCTGGCTGTTTTATCGCATACGCAACAACAAATGCAGGAGAAGACGACCAGTGTAGCAGCAGCCTCAACAGCAGTAGGTATCACCATACACAAAGGGAAAAGAAAGATTCTCCGTTACAATACAACATGAACAAATCAAATCACACGTGACGGAGAAACTTTAGAGCATGTTAAAAAACTTACATATCTGGCCAGAAACATTGATGAACACGGTCGATCTCATACACATGTGAAGGCATGGATCGGTAAAGCGAGAGCAGCATATCTACTACTGAAGTACATCTGGAATTAAAAACAACTGTCAACCAACACAAATGTCAGAATCTTCAATGCAAATATAAAAACAGTTCTACTATATGGGGTGGAAACCTGGACAATTACGAAAGCCATCATACAGATGATGCAAGTGTTCATCAACAAATGTCTACACAAAATACTTCGCATCCGTTGGTCAAACACTATCAGCAATAATCTACTGTGGGAGAGAACAAATCAGATTCGAGTGGAGGAAGAAATCAGGAAGAGTGGCTGGAAGTGGATAGGACACACATGGAGGACAGCACTGAACTGCGTTACAGGGCAAGCCCCAACTTGCTATCCTCAAGACTGAACAAAGGATGAGTGGACGACCACAGAACACATTGTGCTGAGAAATGGAGACAGATATGAGAAGAATGAATCACAAATGGATATGACTGGAAAGGAATGCGTAAGACAGAGTTGGTTGTAGAATGCTTGTCGACGACCTACGCTCTATTGGGAGTAACAAGCGTAAGTACGTAAGTAAGTAATACAATAAAGATGAAGACAATGTTCTGGACTGAACAGTCAGGTCTAGTCGAGAAGTTACTATTTTGAGGGCTAACAAGGATTTATATTTGACGTGAGTCTGTTAGTACCGGTTGACCTTTCATTGATTTAACACTGGAACAAGGTCATATAAATCTGTATTCTGATTGTCGATTTTCTCACGTGATAATTGATAGGGGCTAAAGTCATAACAATATTGACTATAGTTCTTTACGTAGATTTATTAAATAGTCTGTGATGTGGAATTTTATCCTCAGTTCTGTGAGAAAGATATGCTATTTTCTTTCAATTCATAGAAGTAATGAAATTTACTCACGACTATAGAATATAGTCAGTTAAATTAACACTTATCT